GGGTGGCCTTAATGTCAAAACTGCTATACTAGCGCCATCTGTGTCGTAGTAGTTTGTATTTGGATACACTGGCTGGGTCCTTACAGAAGTAACTCACGGTGTCCTCTAATTTACTGTTTTTTGGTCCCTAGTCTTTTTAATGGGCATCCCAGGAGTTTGCTATCTCGAAGTCCATTAAATTGAATAAGGAATATATAGTATATTTCACGTTTTGAGCCGTTAAAACTGTTTGATTTGCTATATGTCTGTAACAGTGAAAAGTTATTTGATTTACCCACACTTTCGAGGTATTAGATCATTTTCTATCTTCGACGGAAAACACCTCTGTACCGCGTCGCGGGCATTATCCAACCGGTTGCGTCTACCTACGCGAATTCCCACATTGACTCGGAACACAGCCAGAATTCAGTTTAGTTACGATTTCGAAAACGAACCGACGTCCCGCCGCCGGCACTTACCGAATCTCCATTAGTTTCGAATTGCCTTCGTTCATTCAACTGCGTTTAAATCAGTTTAAGAGTGTTGTGGTATTGACCATAAGTGATTTGTGAATTGGATTATTCTTTTGTTGTTGGTATGTGTCCTATATTATTTAAAATTAATTAATTATAGTTAAATCCAAAATGAACAATATTCTCGGACGTTTAAACGGAAAATTTGCGCAATCAAAATGTCGTCGGAAGTTATTAAAAAGTTGGCGAGCCGAGGCCTTCAATATTTACAGAAATAGATCCGAGTTTCGTGTACACTTGTGAAAATTTAACGCTGGACGCCCACGCGTTTAGCCTTGCCCGATAGATGGCGCTGACCGCGGTGACTCACGATCGACGGTTCTGAGCCAACTTCCAAAGACCGCAGGAGTTATGATTGATGGTCTCTGCAAATGATTGACTCAAGTCAACCCTGAGAAGTAATTCATTAAGAGATTTAAATACTCTTGGCGTAGTTATGTATTCCTTATTATGAGTCAATGCAATGCGTTTTAAACATACAAAATACTATTAGCTGACCTGGCAAACGTTACGTATCTAGAAAATATTGAGATAAAGAAATGGTAACTGACTTTTTGTAAGGGTATGAGGAAGTAGTAAAGTTGGCAAAATACAGACACAAATGTATTCTCAGTCTTGTATACATTATGTATAAAATTTCATTATAATCGGTCTAACGATATTAAAGCATTTCACAAGCAGCATGACTGAAAATTTTTAATTATTTGATATTATCTACCCGTGAATTTTTCAACGTACAGCTTTGATGACTTGTCTGTATATAATACTAAGATGGAAAATATCTTTTATAAGAGTTCCTTTTAAGTTACAAGTCAATACAGAAAATATAGACAACATGACGTTAGGGGAAGTAAGATAAAATATGAAATATGTATATTTTAAATTAATAAGCATTCAACATTTAATTATTATTTCAAAAAATCTTAATAAGTTTTCATTAATTTTGAATTACCGTTAATTACTTTATATTCATTTCAATAACGATTAATAAATTGATTTGTGTATAATTTTGTATACTTCCTTTAATTTAAAAGCGACACAAAATAAAAGATATACGATTAACTGTAAGTTCTTAATTTCAAGAATTTTTTGATTTCTTGCATTGTTCGTGCACAAAGGTTAAAATTTTGTCCACTTTTATTTCGAATTGTGTAATGCCAAATAAAAATAACTCATTTTAGTAAGTAGATCTATACTATTGTTATAAAGCTGAAGAGTTTGACTAAAATAATATTTTTTTTTCGGAAATATAATTTGGCATTTATTGAGAAAGACTTTGGCACTATCAAAGTGGAAAATGTTGATAAAACGTGAAAATTATTATTGAAAACTGTTTCAAGAAACCAAGGAATATGATCTAAAAGTAACATTTAAATGTGAGATCATTTTTTGTATTCTTCATTTAGAAATTAATGCATAATTATTAATTATTTGTGAGAGTTATATCGAGATTATAAATCATAGAAATAATATTAATCTATCAAACACTGTTTGCCACGTCAGCAAAAGACACTATTATAAAAGAAGAAATAGTATGACAGTGCTACGCCGTAGCTGTTTCGTAGCGAGTTACGTGTACAATCAATTGTAAGAAAAAATTTACAATGTCGTTACACATGAACAGTTAATATCATTGTTAAGACGTTATTGGATTTTTTTACTGTCACTGTGATTTAATGCACCAAATAACTCGGGTTTATACCCGAGCAATTCTAATCGGGCAAAAGATGATCAACTTTTTGTCTGTCAATACGATCGATCAATAAACCTGTCAAGAAAAAGTATCTCCATCACATGAATAACCAGGAACACACTGTCATTTTATTTAAATGAACTTTAATGGTTTAAAACGCGATATATTAGTTAAACTTATTTGAAAAAGATTTTTTACTTGGCCCGACGTTTCGGATGCTTTGCAACAGACGTGGTCACGGGGAGACGAACGGAATGTCGGGCCGAAGTTAAAAATCTTTTTCAAATAAGTTTAACTAATATATCGCGTTTTAAACCGTGAAAGTGCTTTATTTAAATGTGTACTACTCGTGTAAACTATAGACACTATCTTTTTATGTCTATATTTTGTATAATGCGGTTACTGGTAGTCCTCTTTTTTATTTAGTTAGTCGAGTAGTACAATGTGTAAATAAATAAAACGTTTTAACAGGTTTAAAATTATAGTCCTCCCATGACAAAGCTTCCAAAACATAGGGCCGTAGTTAAATTAAAACATTAAAAATTAAGAAACTAGAAGTAAAATAAGCACCTCAAAGATACTATACCTATAGAACTACGAACCTAAGTACTGTATTACATTTTCCTTCGAGCGTTATATATTCCAATGTTTCACTTCTATGTTTATGTCCTATATGAAATCTATACTAATATTATAAATGCGAAAGCAACTCTGTCTGTCTATCCGGCTTTAACTCCGAAACTACTGAACTGATATAAATGAAACATTTGGTACACAGATATTTTAGAGCCTGAGAAAGGCCATGGGCTGAAAAAGGGGATGAAAGTTTGTATGGAAATTCGTGGTTTCTTAAGCTAGACCAATGAATCGTTCTTCTTTGGCTTTTTGGGAATAGGAGTGGGAGTGGGAGTGAGTGTGGGAATGAGAGTGGGAGTTAGACTAGGAGTGATGTGAGGTGAGAGTGTTGCGGCAAAGTAGCACCCTTGAATAAATTAATAAACAGCCTAAATAATTAAAAATTCTACCCCAATTAGCTATTCCACGCGGACACAGCTAGTTACTTAGAAACGCGTGGATTTTTAACATTTCACTTTCTAACACAAAGTTAAAATTATCTTATTTGAATGTGTAAAACTATTACTTTTTAAGAACAAATTGATTATACATTTCTGCAGATTAACGATAAAAACAAAGCATATTTGTAATGTTCATTTTAACTTACTTGCTAATATCTTATAGAGGGCACAGAGTGTTAAAAATCATTTTCAAATAAGTTTAACTAATATATCGCGTTTTAAACCGTTAAAGTGTTTTATTTAAAATATATTAAATATAATATTATAATAGCTATATGTTGAATTAAAAGAAAAAATTACACGTCGGGAATCAACATCAACAATCAATATGCAGGATTCCGTTATGTTGCTCCAATTATTGAAAATAAAATTATGTATTATAATAAATCCTAGAATTTCCAGAAATACGTCATAATTTAATAAAAAAATCGTCATTTAACACATACACTATACTATACAAATTTAAAGAATCATCGTTAAACACTTAACGTTTTAAACCGGACCCGACGCGGATGCTTTGCAGCCGTTCTCTTGATTACGGCTACAATGAAAGAGCAAAAAAAAAACAAAAATATCATTTATTAATTCTAGATTAAAATATAAGTAAGAAAGTAAAATCTTGTTTCCCCCTCGTGGGGCATGGGGCGAACACATTTCTTTGTCCGTTTCACTGATTCGTCCTTTAACAGGCAAGTAGTGGATCGGACTTCTGTGCCCTGCCTGACAGAAACAATTGTTTGTTTCCCTGGCATTCGAACCTAGGACCTCTCGATTTTTACGCAATGCCAATGCAACGTTAAACCGTTTGGCTTCAGAGGCGGTCTTAGATAAAAGTATGGTAGGAATTAATGTTTTTTTCATTCTAACATTTATTTATGAAGTAAAAAATTACCTTCATTCGCTCTATATTAATAATTTGATTTTGCAAACTTACTTCATCATTAAACATTTAAACTGTTGTTCACGACGTCGAGGATGTCATAAATGCGTTAACTAATACAAAAATAATCATTCGACTCCCACCAGTTGTTCCTATAATTAACGCGTTCAAAAAAACAAATTTTTCAGCTTGATATATTACATAGAATTAATGGATATGATAATTCTTACTAAACTTTAAAATAACAGAATTATTTTTAATGACAGAGGAGCAGCGAGCATAGGTGTCACTTGATCGGAAGTGAAATATCCCAGTCAGATATCATCTCTATAAGATGCGCTGTCACCCTTTTTTGGTTTTTGATATTCGCGTTTAATAATTGCATTAATATGAATAAATAAGACTACGATAAAAGTTTATTTTCATTGTACTTTGTCTGTGTATCTTACGTTTTACTGAGAAACTCTTAAAAGAACACAGTAGCGACTCGATCTATGTTACTACCAACTACCAATACGGTATGCTGTTGATCGTGGGTTCGAAACCCATCTGCATTTTTTAATCATTTAAATAAAACACTTTAACGGTTTAAAAAGCGATATATTAGTTAAATTTAATTAAAAATGATTTTTAACTTTGGCTCGACGTTTCGGATGCTTTGCAGCACACGTCTCCCCGTGACCACGGCTGCTGCTCGCGTAAACTATAGACAGTATTTTTTTAATCATTGTAAAATGTATTTTTAAGTTATAAAACCGTTTTATACCCATCTTTTTGTCCAGGTTTTCCCAGCGACGGCCGAACCGATTCCCCGCCAGTAATGACACACAGCTAGCACTATGGGGGTGGCCGACGATTTTGCCCCAAGCTTCACGCAGAAGCCGCAGCTGAGGCAGGAGGATGACGGTAACAAGCTGGTCTTCGAGTGCCAGCTCCTCGCCGCGCCGAAGCCAGAAATCAGCTGGTACCGCAGTGATGAACTGCTCAAAGAGGATAACAGAACACAGTTTAAGTTAGTAAAACAATTATTTATTTTAAATCGATAAACCAAGCCTCGGACCCACTGCCATTGCGAAGGTCTTGGTTTTTTTTCTGTCAAAGGATAAATCACAAGGATACAGAAATGTCCCAGAGATATAACATCTAAACGAAACACGGTGTGCGACCTATTTTGACTTTGCAAATTTAAAATTCTGTAGGCTGAAAAAACGCCAATCACGCGAAATTTATTTTTTAATCTGTGGATGGCGGTTCGTGACCTGTTTAAGAACATCAATAAATTGATTTTAGAAACATGTTAGACCCAATAGGAATCGACCGGCACCAGTTTGCTATATTGCTAAAACATCAGTCATCAAAAATGCCAAACCTAATTAACCGTCCCGTAAATGTTGAGTGATTTGTTTTTACACTACTTTTCATTGAGTTAAGTAGTAGATAAGTAGTTCTGCTAGTTCAATTACTTTTTATTGAGTATTTATTTTCTGTAGTTTATGCAAGACACAATTAAATAAAACACTTTTAACGGTTTGAATAACGCAGCCGTGGTCATGAGGTCTAACAACTCCGAAACGCCGGGCCGTATTTGAAATAAATTTTAAACGTTGACTAATACATTGATAATTAAAAAAAAAACGGCACGGCATCCACATCCTGTGAACTAAATACAAAACTATTTCCCGTTTTAAACCGTTAAAAGTGTTAAATTTAATTGGTACATTTTACGGCTCATTGATGTAAAATGTTATGGTACCAAATTAAAACTTTTTTTTACCGTGTTTACATTACCCACTATTAAATTTCAACTGTCTCCCACCAGGATCCAGAGTCTCGCAAATAACAAATACCTCGTGGTGTTAGAACTGGACGACGTGATTGAAACAGATGCAGGACTGTACAAAGTCAAAGCTAAGAATAAGATGGGCGAGGTGGCCGCATCCATCAATCTTAACTTCAGCCGTAAGTAACGTTTATCTAATGAAGGGAATGTTTTGGAATTATAGGTACTAGTCATATTTATATCAAATGACGCTGCTAGAGGCAGAGTGGCGAAATAACAAACATGATTTTCAATATACCCGAGGCCCCCCAAGGGGGGACCCCCCCCCCGTCGCCACCGAAGGAAAAGTAAAAATTATATTTTAATATTACAATAACATATATATTATAACATTGACAATTAACTTAGAAGAAAATGAATTCGCTTGAGTAAGAATTATGTTAACAATTTACGGTCACTGTGCTCTTGTAGATTAACATTTTAGACTGTGAAAATATAAATAAGGTAAGTCATAAAATTGCAGTTAGGCTACTCTATCTCTAGCGGCCTCAACTATACTCTTAAAACTATAACATGATCTTAAATGGTCAGAGGAGACAAGCATACGTTTTACTTGATGGTAGATAATACCCTAACCATATAACATCTAAGCAAGATGCACTCTGACATTTTGGCTTTCGGAGATCCATTCCGGTTGTTTCGTCTTGTGGACGGTGGTTCGTGACCCGGATTTCGAGGAATATCGAACCACTCATTTAATATCCAGATCTCCAGACGATATCCAACATGTTAAAAAAAGCTAATATTACTTTTTGGTGAATTTTTAATTAATATATTTCTTTAATAATTTCAGCTGCAGACGAAGAAAAACAGAAGTAAGTACTAATTTATTTTTTTAATTACTTACAAAATGACCTAAATAAAGACATTTTACAAAACTCTTAGTAATAGAACGCCGGTCTTGAGTATGACAGCCGAAATGCTTGTAAATCTTATTTGCAAAAGATTATTTGATTTATTACATCCAGCTGAATAAATTTCAAAATTCGTACGTTTGTATGGTATTTTACACATACGTGGTTAATATAATTCGTAAATAAGTTAAATTTAAAAAAAGGATTTTAAAACCCTCCAAGTGTTTTTTTTAAATGTGTACTACTCGCGTAACCTACAGACAGTATTTAACTTCCATACAATGAATTACAGACAAGTAGACGGTAAGGCGCCAACGTTCGCGCGCAAACCAGCTATAAGACAAGAAGACGATGGGAAACGACTTATCTTCGAGTGTCGAATTGAAGCAGAGCCCGTGCCTAACGTCAGTTGGTCCCACAATGGGACCGGCGTATCTCCAAGTCCCCGACACAAGGTAAATATATAAATAAAACACTTTAACGGTTTAAAACGCGATATATTAGTTAAACTTATTTGAAAATGATTTTTAACTTCGGCCCGACGTTTCGGATGCTTTGCGGCAGCCGTGGTCACAGGGGAAACATTTTCAAATAAGTTTAACTAATATATCGCGTTTTAAACCGTTAAAGTGTTTTATTTAAATGTGTACTACTCGCGTAAACTATAGACAGTATTTAAAGTAAATATAGTAAAAATACTGTCTTGGGAACTACTGTATGTAAATTTCACTATATGTATATACTCTATGATAGAAAATAGAGAAGCAAAGCGTTTACTTGTTGAAAGATGAAAAACTCTAGGCCTCTTTTTCCATTACACGGTTGTTCAAACGTACGGTGTGTAAGCCGTACGGTTGAAAAAACGTTTAGCTTGTACATGAGGCAAAATACCGCGGAGACATTGGTAGTACTGGGTAGCGTTTTTACTCGGGTGTGTAGGAGTGGTCATGAATTTTCTTACGAAAAAAAGATTATAGTTGTTATTACATATATAGGAAAAAGAAAATAGAAAAAAAGGGAAGTAAGTTTTGGATACATTTAGAAAAAAGGGAGAAATATGCTGGAAATGAATAAATATTTCTTTCCAGGAATCTTTTAAGCCGCTTTTTTTATAATGTCGATGGTCTTTCCCATTCAGGCCTTTCTTGAATAACGTAATTAATAATTTGATTTATGTTCATTTTATAATAAATCGCGAAACAGCGTATATAGCGGTCAGATCCGTGCGTACGTCCGGCACCGTCGACACACCCCGATAGACTGCATCTGGTGAAAATCACGCGGCGTAGACGCCGCGCGAGGGGCAGTCACGGCGCAGCGGCCGCGGCGCCGTGCCTTGGCGCCACCTGCATCTCGACAAGCTCATATAGTGATCCATACCACATGACGCCGTGCCTACACGCGCGAATTACCGTGATTTTCACGGCGAGAAACCGTTAATGGAAAAGAGGCCTAGCCCTAATAACATCGTAGCAAGTACGCTGTCAACCTATTTAGGCTTTGGATATTATCTACAATCTGGAACCAAAACGCGACTAAGCTTTACTGTTTGTTTCCTAAGATCTTTTCATTTAACCAACGAGCCTAGATAATATAATATATATTATTGACGCGAATGATGCATATTAGAAAAAATAATTTAAAACGGTTTAAAACTTCACACATAGTTTCGAATGCTTTATGGCCGCCTAAGCCCTATTCGATATCTTTGAAACTGGCTCGTTGGTCCATGGTGGCGAAAATGGGTTGGTTTGTGACATGTTTCTTATTTTACAATTTATAATTTTCCTGAAATATGTTGGACTTCATCTGGAAATTTGGATATTAAATTGGTGAAATATCGAAAACACCGTCCACAGATGAAAAAGCTGTAAAGTTTATTTGTGTTTCACTTTCAGTGCGTAGATTTCGAATTCCGAATCTCATCTTGTGTATATGTTATAAGCTAAGCTGTAAGCTGGGGGATATCACCTCCCAACAGGCTTAATCCCATGTTTATATGTCCTTCTCTAACATTAAAAAAAATCTTTGTTCTAAACAGTTTTTTTTTATATGTTTAATAAAGATTAGTCAAAATTTTTTAATGTTCATTAAAAAATATGACATTGCTAATTTAGAAAAGAAAGAATACATATGACCTTGACCTTGTTACTAGTAGAATGTATTTAGGTATATGTTATGCCCCTGGTATAAGTGACATAGATGTCAAAGATATAGATATACAAAAACTACTCAACATACGCAATTAATAATCTTTTTTTTTTTTTTTAAAAAAAAAAATTTTTTGGGGGGGTAAAAAATTTTTTTTTTTTTTTATTTTTTTTAAATTTTTTTTTTCCCGCCGCCCGGCGCGGCGGCTTCTTTGCCGGCGGCGTTTTTATAATAAAACGCGTTTTTAACCGTTTAAGTGTTTTTTTTAAATGTGTACTACTCGCGTAAACTATAGACAGTATTCGATTTTTAATTTCTAAGCGAAGTTGTAAATAATTTCGTACTAATAAGAATTGTCTTTCTTACAGCTAACTGTAAACAAGGACGGTAAATCATACTACGCATCCTTGGAGATAAATAACGTTACAGTTGAGGACGCAGGCAAATACAGGGTCACTGCTAAGAATGAACTTGGCGAGAGTAACGCCACGATCAGTTTGAACTTTGACAGTGAGTATTTCTTTGATTATAAGAATTAAAATGTCTTCGATATTGCCACTTAAAGTAACTATGTATTTCTGCGGTCTTAAAATGTATAAATAGATGATAAATCTTTGTTTAATAATAAAATAAATACTTATCTAGTAAACGGTAGTTCATGCGGTTTCTTTTGTTTTAAGTCCTTTTTGTTCAGCGTTTCAAGTAATATATATAGATTAAATAATAACATAAATAGTGCTTTTGTAACAGAAAAATAAAAAATAAAGTTAAAATTTTTAAAAACAATTATATCAACTATATAGTAGAAACAGAACCGATCATACTTTTGACGTTGTTTAAGTCCCATCTGTTTCGATTTATTTTTCTTTAAAAGAGCTTTCAAATTACTTATTTAATTAAACTAATAATTGTTTTTAAACAATTTTGAATAAAGTGGACTTATTCTGGATGAAATTGTTAAAATTATTTTAATTTTGATTGTATTTTACTTTAAGTGGCATACACCAATATAAAACATGATGGTAAATTAAAAGACGAATTTTGGTCGTCCAAACATCTGTTAATCAGCTTAAATTTTAAAAACGTATGTGCTTAGTTTAAAACCTATCATTTTGTGAGTATATTATTAGCGTTATCCGTCCTAAATGTAGAATTTGCAGCTGAGCTTTTGTATATTCATTAACTAATTTCCTAAATGATAATACATATTACACTTTAAATATACATGTGTTGTCCGTTTAAGATGTTTTCTCGTTATTCAATACATGTATATTATTACCAACAACACTCTACGCTTCACTACGAACAGTCGAACACCTCAAAATATATACTTAACTACTAATAGTGTCCCAGTTTTGCACGAATCGTACTTATACTAAATTTGTATTCACCAGTTGCTATACTGCTTTTTAACGTTCTTGTTAACTATAACTCAGCTCTTTGTGGTTTTTCGGGCTTTCTACAATCGAATTAGTCAACATCTAAAGATAGCAATAAAGAAACGTCGAGGAACATTTTGTCTTAGCCCATAAAACTATAAAGAGTTACAAAATCCTCTTACAGTCAAGCCATCAAGCTTTATCAACACGATCTAATATCTCTTTAGTAACAGCAACTGTTATGCGTACTATTTAATCAAATAGACTGAACATTAGGATAGTAATAATATACAAAAGTCTATTGTTATATACGTATTTTTATAATTAACTTCTTCTATACGATAAGCCTCAATTAACTCTTACATAAACCTGCCTGGATTTTTATCAATAACGAATTCACACGAAAGAAAACATCTTAAATGTAATATCGAAAGAAAGCTGCAAGTAAAAATAAAAATCACTCGAATCGATAAGTTTGACATAATTGATTTATAACGCAATTTGATACTAGGCGACGAAGCGCCTGTACCCGAGGACTATATTAAACCAACTTTCACCGAAAGACCAGTCATCAGACAATCAGAAGATGGTACCAAAATAACATTTGAATGTAGATGTGTTGGCAAACCGAAACCAACCATTACATGGTAAGGAAAGAAATATTAATTATGAATAACGATTCAATAATAGTTTATGAGTATTTATTAATAGTAACGATTGGGAACAGGTATCACGGAAAAAAATTAATTAAAGAGAGTAGTCGCTTTAAAATAACACTCGAAGAGGATCAAACTCTGTACCATATCGCGCGACTTGAAATAATCGGCGTAGAAAACGCAGACAAAGGCGAATATAGAGCTGTCGCGAAAAATAAACACGGCGAAGGCGTGGCCAAAATAAACTTAAACTTCCAAAGCGGGGACAAACCTAAGTATATACTTTGCTCATAATATTAAACAATACCAACTTTCTTAACAATACATTAATTGTAAACCTTTCGAACAGAATTCCCGACGGTAAGGCACCAAGATTTCCTAAAAAACCCACAATCCGACAAGAGGGTGACATCCTCATAATGGAATGTGTATTAGAGGCACACCCTGTACCCGAAATAGCGTGGTTTCACGGAGACAAAGAAATTAAGGATGGTGTCAAAATGAAAATGTCTAGAAAAGCTATAGGAAAAGATACATATAACTTAACGTTAGAAATTTTAAGTCCCACTACGGAAGATGGGGGGAACTATAGGTGTAACGCCTTTAACTTGTTTGGTGAGAGCAATGCTAATATTGCTCTGAACTTCCAAGGTAAACCGAATTTACAGTACGCATACAGTAGCCATTGCATGTTAAGCGAAGCCATCAATCAGCTGCATGATTCATTTTTACATAAAATGTTTCTGGAGAAGCACCACAAAATAAAATTTTAAAGTTAAACGAAATTTAAATAAACGGTGATTCCGCAATTTTTATGTTATAATATATACTAATATAATGAATTAATTTAGGTGGGGATGACGAAAACGGTTTCGCACCTTCGTTCGTGGAGAAACCTAGAATCATTCCCAACGAAGATGGCACACTCATTACAATGCGCTGTGTCTGCAAAGCTAAGCCGGCGGCAGAAGTCACGTGGTACCGAGGATCGACCGTCATTAAAGCTAGTAGCAAAATAGAAATTAAATCATCACTCATAAGTGAGGACGTGTACGAACTAGTGTTGCTTTTATCAAACCCTACAGCAGCGGACGGTGGCGCTTACCGCTGTCATGTACAAAATGAGTTTGGAGAAAGCAACGCCAACCTTAACTTGAACATTGAGGCAGAGCCGGAACCCGAGGGTGAAGGCCCGACCTTTGTCGAGAAACCAACCATTCAATCCAAGGATAACGGTAAACTAGTGATTATGGGCTGCAAAGTCAAAGCCAGTCCGCGACCAACGATCGTTTGGTACCACGAAGGAAAAGAAATAAGGGACTCGTCAAAAATCAAGATCAGGGTCGAAGTAAAAGAGGATATATACACAATAGTATTAGAGCTTATTGACCCTGGTATTGAGGACTCCGGATTGTATAAATGCAATATTAAAAATGAACTTGGAGAGCTCAACGCGAATTTAACGCTCAATATTGAAAGTAAGGAGAGATTTTTGTATTCATATTTTTATTTTAAGATCATCGTCATCTAACGTCTTTGTTTTTACAGTCATTCCAGTTATTAAAGAGAAACCAAAGATCATTAAGATAATTAAGAAGAAGACTGTGATTGTTGAATGTAAAGTATTAAGTAAATTTGCTCCAGCATGTACATGGTTTAAGGAAGCTAGTGCTGTTAAAGAAGATTCAAGGCATACAGTTCTAATTGAACCATTAAGAGAAGTAATAATTGATAATCTATTTTTCGTTAAGAATGTTAAAAATGGGGCAGTACAATATTATGTTTTTATTTTAGGGAGAGTTTACGGTTAAGTTAGAAATTTCAAATGTTAACCAACAAGACAAAGGTTCATACAAGCTCGTTGCCAAGAACGAAAAAGGCGAAGCCACATCACAAGTTGTTGAGGTCACTGATATTCCTGAAGAAAAGGGTGATAAGCCGCAGATTATCAAACATTTTAGAAGCTTGGTAAGACTCAATTTAAAAAAAATATTACATTACTATTTATTACCTTTTATATGTTATGTAATTTGGATAGTTATAATATATAAATACATCATTCGATCAGAACACACGAACCTCATATCTGTTTTTTTTACGATCCTACATAGATTTTAAAAAAGGCATCTTTTTATTGTATTGTTTATTAATTTAAGCTGCTAAGTATTTTTAACAATAAAAAAATAATACGATATAGTATAGAATTATAATTAAATTTTATAGGCGCGAAAGGAAAACGAAGAAGCTGAGTTTGTCGCTGTCTTGAAAACATCTGACCAATCGTGTAGGTGTACCTGGTATAAGAATACAACAGTGATAAGAGATTCTTCAGATGTGAACACGTCATTTGACGGCACAAATGCGCGACTTATCATACGAAAAGTATCATCAAAGTATGTCGCTAACTATAGAGTTGTTATAAGAAACGAATATGGTGAAGATGAGTCGAGTGCAGATCTGACTCTTGTTGAGGAAAAGGTAAACTACGATGGCAGTTTAAAGTATATTAAAAAAAAATCTAAATTAGAAGCCGCAGGTAATTAAGTAAATATGATTTTCAGAAAAAGAAAAAAGAGGAGGAGGAAGAAGAAACTACAGTTATAGAAGAATCTGAAGAAGAAATGTCGATTGTAGAAGAAAAATCAGTAATTGAAGAGACGTCAATTATTGAAGAAAATCATGTCGACGAAAGAAAGGTACGTGTTGATGAAAAAAGTAAAAGTGTATTAAAACAGTCTATTTTTACTAAGTGCTTTATTATTTCTTTGAGTAGTATTTGATTAATAGCTACAGCATAACTTTTCTTTAATTTACTTATAAACAGAGAAAACAAGAAGATGAAGAAACTACTGTTATTGAACAGAAAAAAGCACAGGCTAAGAAAGTCACAAAGAAAGAAGAAGTAAAGATTGAGGCTGAAAATGAGCAAGTAACAGTTGCAGCGAAAAAATCTGAAACTAAATCAGAAGCAAACAATGTTGAAACTAAAGTTCAAGAAACCAAGAAAACTGAAATAGAGGCGGAAGAAACAAGAAAGATTCTTGAAAAGAAGGCTACCAAGACCGAGGAAGAAAAGAAGGCATTATTAGAGAAAATTGAAAGTAAGAAAAAGCCAGAACCGGAGCCTGAAAAGAAAATTGAAGGTATTCCTAAACTTAAACCAGTTAAACCAAAGGAAGAACCTAAAGAGGAAGAAAAGACTTCTGTTAAGAAAACAGGAGAAAAGAAGAAAGTGGTTAAGAAGGTCACTGCGAAAAAAAGGAAAAAAGGAAGATGTAAGTATAGTTTGTTAAAAATTTTATTTACTTGCAGATCTTCAAAATACGGCGCTGACCTCTTTTATCTTATACTTAAGAAATACTTAAATACGTGTAAATATCCCTTATTTATACTTATTGAAGTACTTCTTTAAACGTAATCTATAGTGATTTTGATGTGATACTCAGTGCTAACGTATTATGTTGTTTCTATGAGTGTTGTCCTAACTCTGTGTTGTAAATAAGTATTTTTATTAGGACGAGTTCGAGTTTGTCGACGATTATGAACGTCCAGTTTTGGAAAAGTATGAACGAATCACACCAACACCACTTGAAAAAACGCCTAAGGTGGATGAAACACCAAAGGTAAACAGAATTAACTACAACACTAACATTACACATTTTTTTATTTCCCTACTCACGACTATTTATAATTTATTAGAGTAAACGTGCTTCAATTTCTGAAACTACAAAAAAGCGACCTGAAGAAATAAAGGACGAAGAAAAAGAAACAGTTCTCCCTAGTGATAAAAAATCGAAAGTTGAAACAAAAGAGCAGGTATTTTTAATTTATTCTAGGAAAAAACGCGTTACAAAGACAAATTAATTATTATTTTTCTAAACAAATTCGTTTTTAAATTGTTTTTTAATGATAAGGTTGTCGAAGAAACATCTAAAACGGGCTTTAAAAAGGGTATTCCTAAACCCGAAGAGCCTGTTGATGAACTATCAAAGGTAAAACTTTCAAAGACTCCTATAAAACCAACACAAGAAGAAAGTGAGGAACCAAAAACTGCTCAATCTAAAAACATAGTGAAAAAGGTAATACAATCTCAGTAATTGACTTTAGAATACATACTATTTTGTATGGTTTAATGTAAACTATTTTATTTACATACACTTTTATTCCAAAGCCTGAAGAACAAAAAGATTTTGTTGATGATTATGAAAGACCAGATCTTGAAAAATACGATAAAGTTACTCCAACTTCATTGGATAAGACGAAAAAACAAAACGGCGTTTCCGAGGTATTTTAAGTCACAAATGTATTCGGAAATTTAGATTTCATTTGAGACAATAAAAATAATAACAAAAATATATATTTTATAGGAGCCAAAATTAGTTGATGATTACGAAAAACCTGAACTAGAAAAATATGACAAAATTACACCAACACCTAAAGACAAACGTCGTTCTAGTGAAACACAGGTATATTTTTTTCCACAATATTGTTGGTATATTTAAATAAAGAGACAATTCTAATAAAATTCATGACTTCATAGGAGGAGGTAGATATTATGAAGGGTAAAATAAAACCTAAAGAAAAAGAAGATGATCTTCAAATGCCTACTCTTAGAAAACGATCTGTAGTTAAAGACAAGGTAAAATCATAGTGACAAATATTGACGGTTCTTTTTTAATCGTAAACAATACAAACTATAGTTTTCACTTTTAAAAATATAGGAGGACGACAAAAAACCAGACGAGAAACCAAAACCAAAAACAGCGAGTAAAGACGAAACAAAACCCAAAAAACGACCCTCACTTAAAGAAAAAGAGGTATTACTTTTTTACCCTTTTATTGACAACAAAATTAAAAATATAACAACTAAAAAAACACACTTTTGTTCCACACTGGCACTTCCAATATTTTAATTCTTTGAGGCCTCTAATTCTGCCTTAAACAAATTCCTAAATAATACAGCGCTTTTAGCTCTACAGTTAATTTTCTTTGCGCTTTAATTTACATAGTGGTAAGTACGTCTTCAAAAAAATGCGAGCATGGTAAAATAACGAGCCTAAAAGCTTTACAAAAAGAAAAAGTAATATTTATCTCATAAGAATATAAGTCTTTTTATTAATTGTTTTCTGCGTCGTTGTCTATTCGACTAAATTGACTCAATCTTGAAGGTCGTCGATGAAGAGTTTGTTGATGATTATGAGAGACCGGTTCTTGAGAAATACGAGAAAATAACACCAACACCTACGCAGAGAAAGAAGAAGGTACAGGTTAACACTAACAGAATTAGTCATTACTTACACATACATAATACACCTTTACTCCAGACTTATTTTTTTAAAGAACAAATCATTGGAATTATTTATATACAAACCAATTTATCACTTCCAATAGGAAGACAAACCCTTGGAAGATGAACCCTCCACAACAGCTTTAAGGCGTCGCTCTGTAAAAGACCAAATTAAACCAGAGGTATGCTAGGTGCATTAAAATACAATAATGATTATATTGTGTTCAAATAAAATACTTACAAACACTTTTTTTGTTAGCCTATGGAAATTGATGAAAGCGAAGATAATCGCCCTGTTTCAAAATATCGAACAAAAATCTCTCCAGAACCGATGGTTTGTATAGATTTAATATATCATACATTCTTACATTGTTATTTTTATCAATAAAATTAATATTATTGAATTAAAATTAACACGTCATGACTGTTTAGGACGAAAACAGTGATATAAAAACATACGTAAAATCCAACATATCAAATGACGAAGAACCAAAGCAAAGCTATTCTTCTCCATACAAAAAAGAGGTATATAGTATAAGTGGTATAAGTTAGAATATCTTTTTAAAGTATAAACACATGAATTAGTATGAATTACTCACATTTTATGATATTTATAGCAAGAACCAAATTATAATGTCGATGATGAAAAGTCTACGGTAACAGAAAGAACAAAGCGTGAACCATTACCTAAAGATACACGTCGTCCGAGTGACGTAAAGGTACTATAGTAAAACTAATTAAAATCATAAGAAATAATACTTTCATATATCAATAATTATAAATGTATTTGTTAGAATGAAACTATCGTCGGAGAAAAAGAATCAAGAGAAAACGATGATAAAACAACACTGCCTGAAAGTAAGAAACCAAATCAACAAACACAAGATAAAATAAAAATAGAGGTATACGCGTAAATAATTAAATTTAAAAAAAGCCACTGACAAAAAATTAAACGTTACTTTATTGATGCAGGGCAATGAAACAATAATGGAGGACAAAGAAAATATAAAACCAATAAAAAAAGAAAAACCTCTAACAAAAAAACGACCATCACTCAAAACTAAACAGGTACACACATAAAGTGTTACTCAAAACAGAAATAACATGCACAAAATTTTGAGATTTTTTCACAACAGCTCACAATTATTTCGTAACACACTGAAGGGGATATAAAGTATGAATTTTGTTTGTTAGAGTTCGCTGTTCGGGGTCAACTTTGCTTTTCGCACTGCGAACTAAAATATTTCTTACAGGATCAACCGTCGATCGAGATGGAGTCGGGTACTGTTCTGGAGACACCTTTTAACCTCGGTTCGCACGTTATAAAGCTTGGTGTGACACGCTCATTCTGACTTTCTTCCTTTCAGCTCTTAAAACAACACTAGCAAGAGAACTTCTTAACACAATCACTGCCTGCAAACTTACACATACCAAAACGTTTTTTAAACTTTAAACTTTATAGGTGGAAGAAGAAGAATTCATTGACGATTACGAACGACCAGTTCTTGAAAAATACGAAAAGATCACACCCACACCACTCGAGAAAAAGAAGAAGGTATACACGCTACTGCTTTTGCATACATTCCAATTTCAAATTTACAAAACCTTTAACTATAAAATACACTTGCATTATAATAATCCCTTGCTACTATCCCGAATAAAGCTACTCGCAGAAGAATAATTAAAATTATTTTAATTTGATTATAACGATATTTTAAGGCTTCTATACTTAACAATAAAAAATAGAATTTTGCTTTGTATAAAGTCATAAAACAATATATGGCGTTAATCTAAAATAATAACGATAGGAGGAGAAAACTCCTGAAGAAGTTACGTCCGCTACCGCTCTGAGACGACGCTCAGTCAAAGATAAATCAGAGGTAGTGTATTATTTACTAGTATATTGACTACATTTAAGTACAATTTTTATAATTTAACTTAATTTCGTAGCCAATGGATGTTGACGAGAATGTTAGTTTGTCCGCCCCGAAAAAGCCAGGAAAAACTGAACCTGACAACGTTACATTGACACATAAGACACCAGCAGACACGACACCCACGGTTTGTATAATACATATCACTTTAAAGAACTCATTTAAGGCCCACTGCTGGGCATAGGTCTACAATCTCATGTAAAACTTTTAAGAACTTAAATCCACGCTTCAGTGCTCCTTGTTGAACTTAAACGACGATAATTAAAGTAGGGATGATGACAGAAACCGATGGCTTGATTGCTTTCTAAGACACTCTAGTTACTAGTAGTTAGGACTTACGTTGAATTACAATAACTATAAAAGTACTATTCACTAGGTGGATGAAGCTGAAGCGAAATTGAAAGTTAAAAAACCAGAGATTGTTGAGGACGCAACGATTAAACGACCGAAAGACAAAAAGGTATACACAAATCATCATCATAAATGGTACACATTAAGCTGAAGGGCGACTTATTGATAAGTAAATAAATATATATACAATCCAAAGCTAAGGGAGTCTCACCAGTCCACAATTAGTAAACTTATCAATAAATTGCGATTAAACTCCTTTCAATCTGTTCGAGTCGTATCTATTAATTTGAACTGATGTCATGATTTAAAAATAAAAATCACCTGGTCTCGTTTATAATGATCCGCAGATAAATACCGAATCTAATAATTCAAAGTCGAATCTGCCAATTGAAAGAAGATTCTCATATATTATAAAGGTACAGAGATAAAGAGATGCAAATAATTCTGTTGATGTAACGTCACCAAAATAGCACACGTTATTTATGTAGCACTTCACATGATCTAAATATAGTGACTAAACAGTCGTCAAGCACTATTGTTTATATGTTCAGCATAGAGATGTAAATACACAACACTCTACCTTTACTTCTGTTCAAATGTATTATAATTCTATTCTTCTTATCTATTCTTCTGTAACTAATGCAACTCCGTGTGTGATTGTGGGGTTAGGGCGAGGATACAGAAGAGTCAGTCAGCCTCACCAAACCCAAAACAAAAACGAGCACAACTGCCCCCGAAGAGGCATCACTGTCCCAAAAGACACCAGCAAAGAAAAAGCTAACGGTAATATTATCACATGTTTTAAACATCTCGAAAATTACTTTTATTAAACTGGATTTCAAAGTTATATGCTTATGTCACACATAGGAGGGAACAGAAGCAGCTAAGCTCAAAGTTAAAAAACCAGCCGTTGTCAAGAAGGGCGACGTAGACGATGTTGGGGTAAATTCGAGAGATTTTGACACTAAACTTTTTGAGATGCTTAAAATATTTTACAACAGTGCTAACGCCACAGTTTTCGGGGTTGAACCACTTGACTAACACCTAAATGCTTCAGTAGTAATAACAAACATAGAAGTAGTTAAGCTATATATTTAAACATTACAAATCTCGTAGGAACCACTCGCGATACAAGGCGGTAAGTTCCAAGTGCCACAGCTCAAGAAAACGACAAAGAAAACACAGGAAAAACCAAAGACAGCTACACAAAGTGACAAAGAGAACACTGAAGGGGTAAACTCTTTACACAATGAATGTTTCAATTCTGTTAACTTTCTTATAACAATGTGTCACACAACATAGATGTATATACACTTTTCATACCACCACATTGATGCCACACACCTTTTCGATGTCTTCTTCTGTACACTTTTGTCTGTATACATTGTACGTTGAATTTGTCGTTGTTGCTTATTAGTGTTCGCATGTTGCTTTTCCATTACAGGTCTTCACGTCGCTACATCTCTCAACTTTTAAGGGCTGTGGTCTGCTATAAACGTTGTTGATCGCGAACAGAGTAACGCGTAACGCCGCGTCAAATGCTCGCTATAAAATACTTTAATGTATTTTTTCTAACTAGGCATTTTCAGCAAACACACACGTTACAGGAAAACGTGATTTTCTCACAAGGTTTACATTGATTAACACTAAAAATATTTTGAGGCAGTGGATTATATACCTATATTGTACTAATGATTGATTAATGACTTAAATTCACTTGGTAAAAACCACAATTTCATGCTAAAATTTAAAAAATCCTAAAAATTGACGGAATGTAAGCAAAGTCCACGACGAAAGATGGTAACAGTCCCACTCATGCACGATAGCCGAGAAGTTACAAACGTGAAGTTACATAACAACGACTTAGAATTAATAAAAAAAAGGAGGGCACAAAGGTGATTTTAAATATTGTGTTCTATATATAATAGTTCTCTCTAAATCCTTGTGTCGTCTGTGGCATCAACCAAACTGTATAAAAGGTTATCACTGAGTCTCTATAGCCATATGTGTTGTGGTCATTTGGCAAGTTAGAAAAGAATAACAAATTTTTAATAATTGGAGACGCGTATGTCTTGGCTGCCGTCAGAGTGTGAAAGAGACAACAACACTGTTTTCTATAATACGTTGTACGTGTTCCTCTGTAAGCGTCGACGTTTATGAAAGACCACAGTCTTTTAAAAGGATGCCGCTGAAATAAAATATGGTTGCGCTATCATTAAATATTTGTTTTATTAATGAAACATTTTTTTAATTTCAGTACGAATTAGACTTTGTCGATGACTACGAAAGACCAGTACTCGAGAAATATGAAAAAATGACTCCGACGCCTACTGTTCGTGAAAAGAAAGAAAAAGAGGTTACTCAGGTAAATAAACTTTTAATTTTGATTATTTATAAATGGGAATTAAGAATAGAAGAGTAATATTTAATTTATATTGGTACTAATTTTAATTTATGTTTATTAAGTTAAATTGATTCCTACTAAGAGTGGAATAGATGCACGAGATCAAGTAGGTATAGACTGTAGTTTACGCGAGTAGTACACATTTAAATAAAACACTTCTAACGGTTTAAAACGTGAAACGTATTGGGTAATTTATTTTGAGATATATTACTAATATATAAACCGTTGAAAGTGTTTAATTTAAATACAAATTATGTTAACTTCAAGTTATATCATATACGTATCTAAGCGTTTTTGGACAAAAATATTTATTTATTTTATCCAAAAACCAAAAAAAAATTTTTTCAATAAAGTTCAAAATTGTAAATCGATGGCGATAAAGAAATAATTTATAATATAAGAACTAAGTTTTGAAATTAGTGCAAGTATATGCGAATCGTTCTTTCTCTTAGCTTTGACTCTTATGAACATCAATCACACCAAATGAAATAAAAAATAAATTTTTAAGCAAATATTTACTACCTTATTTACTTAAAACGTATTATCCTAGACAAGTCATACATTATCTTTAAAGTATTCGTTTTGTTCATTTAAAGGGGGTTACAATGATAGCACACGCAGAACAGCATTTAGCTGTTAAGGTATTCGCAGTTTGATTCCCTGTTTGACCATTTTGTTCCTTTGTTTATGATATTTGTCCTATGTAAAAATCCTGGTGTTTTATCCATGATGAATCATTGTTGACATGTTTTTCGTGTGTGGACATAAGTATGCACTTGACTTGACTTATTTTGTTTTTTTTAGACTGAGAGTAGACGTACTTCCGTGGCATCAGTACAAAATGAGGTAAGATACGAAACAAACTGAGTTGTTTTCAATACAAATGTTTATGAATTTTGAGTTTTGAACAGTTATTTTTGTATGTATAATTTTTTTTTATCCATAGTCCTGTAAGAAGCTATTTTATATTCAAAAGTTTAAGTATTGTCTGTAGTTTACGCGAGTAGTTCACATTTAAATAAAACACTTTAACTGTTTAAAATGCGAAATATATTAGTTAACTTAATCAGAATTTATTTTAACTAGGACATGACATTTTGAATGCCTTGTTTTGAATGCTTTGCAAAAGCTATGGTCAGAGGGGAACTGAAAGTGGAAGGTGTGCCTAATATCAAAGTCAAATCTGCTATACTAGTCGTCGGGCCGTATTAAAAATGAATTCTAATTTCGCGTTAAAAGTTGTTTTGACACACTCGAACGATGGCTCAAATTCACGACCAAAAAACACGGTACCTTTTTCATTTTACAAGAGATGTCAGTTTCAAAGGGTTTAGGAGTTTGATGATACTCAGTTTGGTAACTCAATTTGTTAAACAGAACGGTGCATTACTGGTTGTGGGTTCGCGTCTCGATTTTATGATGATGTACACATTCACTTATTACTAAGTTAACTAAATATTACATTACTTAACTTAGTAATAATGCCTTTTGTAGGCATTTATAAATGACTGCTGTCAATAAATATTAAGTTAATTTATACAGTAAAAAACTAAATGATATCCTTTAAATGCAGGTACATGAAAAATCCGAAAGCCGTAGAAGCTCCATTATTGAAAACAAGGCAGTGAAGGTAATTTAGCAATTAATTTATTGTAAGAATTGTTATTTTCGGCCTTAAAGATTTCGTTAAAACTTTTATAGTTGAGGTTCACTTACATTGCGCGAGAGGTGCATGTGTCAATAAGGTTAAAAAAAATCGTCAAAAGCGACCGCTCGGAACGCTGACGATGTTGGTTCCAGTCCTGCCAGAGTCGTGATTTTTATCAATTTATTTTTGATTTTAAACTTCTATGTGTGAAAACAATTTGGTTATTCACAGATGACTAAGGAATCTGCGGAAAGTAGAAAGTCATCAATTTCCTCAATCTCCGAACAACAGCAAGTGTCTTCAATGAAGAGAGGGTCGCTTAAGGTAAGTTCATTAAGTTCCACTATTGTATGAAACGATTTTTAAAGGTTGGAAACATTAAATTTTACTTACAACCTGGGTGTCTGTAACGGTTACTGTAAAGTAGAAACGTCGTTTGGGTTTCAACTTGTTTGAAATTGTTTTATTTAAAAATAGAATGTCAGGAGATGGTAGAGACATGTTTCATGATTTTTCTTGCCTTCGTAAATATATAATATATTTGGTAAAAGTGTCTGCAAATGTTACGCTTTATTTAGTAGAAAGGTTTTGATTTTATCATTTACTAGGAAATACATATGTTATTTATTATATAAGCTATACCAGCTTATACAAGTGTGTGCAGTAGATAGTTTAGTTAGAACGCAGTTTTTATTAGCGGTTGAGAACCCTGTAATACCATCAAAGGATTTGTAGTTAAGCCGAGCCCCCTATAATGCTTAATTATCCCTAACAACTTGTTTTTAGACCGCTGTTAAACAGGAAGCAGAGGTGAATGAATTAGAGAAAATTAAATTGAAGGTGAGTTCCACTTTATTTAGATGCATGATACGGGAAATACAGGATATCTTAGTATACAAACAAAAACACAAAGGCTATGTTGAGATCTCATTTCAAAATGTTGGAGACCTTTGACTTTGTCGCGGACATTTTGTCGTAATTGAGAAATGCTTCTCGACGTTTATCAAATAAGCGACGTCGTAATTGAGGAACTTCGTTTCTCAACTAACAGGTAAAAAAGTTCGAAGTAGCTTTCATTGTTAAATTTGCACCTTAGTTTTTGCGATAGTACCAATCCATGAAATCAAACCAATTAAATGTTTAAACGCGAACTCTATTAGAAATAATTTTGAGGACGATCTTCTTTCACCATAACTGCTGTAAAATATATGAAACGTTTGGTAGTTAAGATTTCACGTTGAATGTGTTGTATTACTATTCACTACATTTTACTTATATGGCACAACCCAAAATTATATACTAATAGATATGTTAGAGCATAATAATATATAATAAGTTATATATATTGAAATAAGATATCCTGTAACTGTACATAAACCAATACCCACCCATTGATGTTGTCTCATTAATAGATGTTGTTGTGATACTGCAAAAGTGCAAAAGTGTCTTAATCCAACTTCCTTATCTATCGTTTTTTGTTAGGATGGAATCGAAAATGAAGACAATTATGATAACCCGGATAAATATCCTTGGCGACCTACGAACACAGACACACAGGTAACACATCATACACACGCACTTCTTTACTATACAATACACACACCTGACACTAATTTTGTTAATAGGGCGCGACCGAAAAGACTCATCCAAAATGTAGTATGAGCTTAGATCAACCAAATTCTTATGATAGAAATAATAGACGACGTGGAAGTAAGGCTGAGGTAAAGAATTTTAATGATGTCAAATTGATCTATATTATCATTGCATACATTAAAGTATAATCTATTAATTAGGATACTGAAGATCGCGAAAAGATTGAGATCAAACGTAGAATTTCGTTAGATAGACCAACCGAGTCGTCTAATCCCTGGCGACGTGCCAGTAAGGATCAGGTAATGTTTCTATTAAAAATTATTAATATATAAAGTATTTATATGATTTTATTCACCTATTCAATAATAATATCAGGATGACGATTCTGACGATGATTTCTTCAAAAAGAGAGAAATTAAACGAAAGACTTCGGTCGAAAGGCCGAGTCATCCGACCTTTCCTTGGAAACCGTCTAACGAAGAGGTATTTATTAAACTTCGAACGGTGTGTAAATTTCCCCTTAAAAATATTAAAAATCAAATTAAATTTTATTAGGATGAAGAATTCGATACGGACACTAAACCATTAAGTGGAAATGTTACGACGCCAATAGACAAAAGTTTAACATCTGAGGTTAGTTTTAACTGGCGCAGATTAATTGCGTTAAAAAATATATAAAGTATATCTAAAATAACATTTACATGCTTAGGAATCGCTAGAAAAAGATAAATCTAGAAACAAAAACCCGGACGTCAAGCTAGATTTCAAAGACGATAGTAAGTCATTGGATAATACGAAACCAGATAGTAAATCATCTGATAAAAAGGCTGTAGATTCTAATCTTGATGAGGTAATTCCATAGGTTACATTATATTACTTTGATTTGATAGCAGTTACTCAATTTGAAATTTGAAAACAGGTTAGAACGACGACAATAATTACTAAAAAAGATACAGAACCACAAGAAGCATTAACAGATACACATACAAAACAGAACGTTAAAAGCACTTTGCAAACGAACACGGAATTAAATGAAGAAAAATCTTCATATCCTTGGAGACGTCCTAGTAAAAACATAGAGGTAATTAATTACATACATATTAATAACTTTACAAAGTTGAATACGAAATATGTCAAATTATCAGTTATACTAAAAATTTAAGTGATCATAACATTATTTATTCGACTTAGGTACCAGAAGATGTAAAACAGGATAACACATCGAATGACACTACACAAAAAACACTGTACCCATGGAGAAAACAGAAAGAGGTAACACATAAACAATCTATACAACACTTAGATAATTTTTACCAAATTTTCTTACATACATTGTTGACTCTAATAGGTTCCAGTATTATTAACACCCGAACCAGAAAAGAAACAGAATGAGGTACCTTTTTCTTGGCAAGTGATTCCTGAAATACCACAGGTATAAATCATGATATACGATAAATGAATCCCGCACTTTTAATGGTTTTGTTAAACGATGTTTTACAATTAGGCCGAACAGACGCCAGAATTGGAAGACAATTACAAACCGACACTGCGTGAACCCGAACAAAACACTGTACCATGGAGGAGATCTAAATCTCCACAGGTTGTCCATACATTTATACTCGTAACATTTCGCTTCATATTACACGCATAACAAACACATTTGCACTACAACATTCATAGTTGGCTAATTGACAATTTGACACCGGTTGCTGTGTATGATACGACGGTGAATCCAGCAATAATGGATAAAAAACTTGTATATCAATATGAAAAGTATTTACAAAACTCAAATAGCCAGCTCTAGTAGAACACAAATACACAACGTGAGGTCGCCATTAAATCAAATTATTTCTTATAGGCTGAAATAAATAACCAGGACGAGAAAAAGGCTTCGTTAGAAATCCCTCAAGTTGCTATTAGTGGCACTCAGTTACCTAACGAGGTATACAGATGATATTATAAAATGCACAGATCTGCACAAAGTGTATTTTAAGCACCATCACAATTATTGGCATACACACATAGTAGTTAGGCTCAGATCAACTATAGTAGATTTGTACTGGAATGCTTGTCAGAGTTTAACCTTATTTACTTCTGTTAGACTTATTTTCCTTGCTTCCGCTTCCGCTGACAAAAGTGATTTACTTATTTGAATGTGATACAGGTAAGTGACGCTAATTCTTTATATTTTGTATTGTATAGGTGAAGAAACACAAGGAAGAAGCAAAAAACGCAACAAGGTATGGAGTGATCTGTAAATTATGTAATTAAATAATATTTATAATCTTACAGAAAGTTGCAGTAAAAGAAGAAGCAGTGGAGCAAGAAGTAAAGAAAGCAAAGGTTACATCTGTCAAAAAGAAGGCTGAAGACCTTCCTGAAATAGCTGATTATGATCGACCAGATCTTGAAAAGTATGAGAAGATTTCACCAACTCCAACAACAAGGGAAAAGCCCGAAAAAGAACCGGTAAGGACACAGATATGCTAAGCATGATAAAATTTAAGTTACCTTAACAGTAATGATTAATAATAAAAAAATAATCAGGCGGCTGAAAAACCAAAGGTACCTGAAATCAAGGCACCCGAAGAGCCACCAGTCGCTCCCAAAATTGAAGTCATCAAAGAGAAATCACCCCAACCGGAAATGCCTCGTAAACCGTCTCTATCACCAGCACCACCAGCAAGACGGGGTTCTCTCATTCCTCCACCGGAGGAAATGGGAAGACGCCCTTCGCTTATCATCAGTGATGAGGTATTTATTTGCGTTTTATTTATTACAAATAATAATTACTTTACAATCTTTAAAAAATATATAATTATAGCTGTAATAATGTCGGCTATTACAATGAAGGTATGAAAACTTTTACTCGTCATTGTAGTGTCTGAGAGTAGCTTAGAAGTATATCTACAGAGCAATCGAACATTCTGATAAAGTAAGTACTAAGAACATTGCTATGTGCACACCACAGATATAACTTACTTTATCATAATGGTCGATTTCGATTTTTGATTCACAAATTTTGAGCCCCGTAGAAACCCCATTCTGTCAAGCCGAACCCATAACAAATAGTCCGTCCTAGGTGTTTTAAACGATGACACTAATAATAGGAACACAAATCACTCAAAACCTAGAGCTTTAGTACTGATTGAGGTTAGTTTTTTTACTCTAGCTTAAACTCCTCAACTCCTCGCTTATTAGACAATACGCTAGGGAAAAGACATAGAACAAGAATTAAGATCGTAAAAAACGTAATCCACAGGAGAATAGAAAACTAAGACCCGGTGAAGTGATCGAAGAGAAGAAGGTAATAGCAGTGATTCTGCAAACATTTCGTGAATGCTACTCGTTATTCTATTGCCGTGAAGATATTTAACAGTATCTATTGAGAAAACTCTTAATGCATTTGCTGGCGCGGTTCGCAATATTACGAATAAAATATTTCCTGAATAATCACATGAATTCGTCCCGGAAGTACATTATAATGCTAACGTTGCTAAATGTTATATTCACGTTATTATTCAGTTCCTTCGCTAAATTTTTCGTACGAAGCACAAAGCTATATGCGCACACTTTTGCGATTCGGAGCACACAAATAAACTGCACAGCTTTCTAGCACGTATGCACAATAACGACAGAAGTCGAACGACAGACAAATGTTTAACGAAACAAAATGTTTGAGAACGGGTGATAAGGATAACTAACAATAATTTAATTTAGCAAAATAACTGAGCACTGCTGGAGAGATCACTGCACCGAATAATGCAAGTAGGGCTGGATAGGTGGTCACAGGTTCGGCGGCAGAGGTAGATAGGCAAATTTGTGTTGTAAGGATTATTATCAGTATTTTTTAACAACAGGTCACGAAATTACGGCCAGGCGAAGTTTTAGACGAGAGAAAGGTGAGAGCTTGGGTCTGGTCTTAGGTGGTCGCTGCTCGCTTATGCAAAGCATTTTGTGGAATTTTTTTGATGGGCAAATTTTTATTCTTAATATTTGCACAATTTTTTTCAACACTGTGACACTGTTACATATGAACAATTATATTTGTCACATATACAGTCCCTAACAGTAGAATCTACTGCGATATCGATAGACACCTATATGATTATCGCATCCTAGTGTCCACTCAAAAGTAGCATAATCTATTAGACACTGTAGTATTTCTGTAAAAAAGAAACTTTCCTGTCATAGATATACCTTAAAGCCGCTTAGCCGACTGCGAAAAATGTTGCTTAACATTTTTCAAGCGATGTAGTGACAATAACGACCGCGAGAGAACAATCACATTGGAATTATAACGAAAATGTGAATAACTAGTGCATTCAGGTTCTCTCGTGAGTCAAGCTTGATAGAATTAGAATGGCTGAGTTTTAGATAACCCGCTTCTGTTTCCAATTAACCCTTCAAATTTCTAAGATTTAAAAACTTTCTACAACCTTTATTGATAACTAACGCACAGAACTACTGAAGAATGTACATACGTTTATAAGTAAGCACATACACAAGACAAGATAGGTAACATGAACGATCACCACATTGCAAACGAATGAACTGCACCCTCATAAACATATGCACAAATAACTGGATGTACTAAAAATAATTATTTTTTCCCGAATAAGAAACGCGGCAGGCCGGGCGAAATTTCCGATGAGGTATACACTGAGTGGATATATGTTTAGATCTATGTCATAGAGGAAATTCGTGGCTAACATAGATTTGCAAAGTGATTAATTTAATGTACGAGAGGAGACAATGATACCAGTAATAAAGTCTGTGAAAAACGTTTTATTATTGGTTGAGATATTCGAAAAATTTGTAGTTATTCGACAAGTAGATAGAAATAATAGTGCGATAACACCTTCTCGTTCTAACTGTTTGACCATCACGTAACAAAAATTGCATGAAGCTCAGCACGTCAGTGAAAAATGGCAGGAATGTAATAAAGTTATGCATAAAATAATAGAGATTTACCAGCACAGATCAGCCACAGATGATGTTGATAGGTCAGTTGGTAGAGCAACGAAACGGGTCGTGGATTCGATCCGCATCGGTCCAACATATTTCTAATTTTTTAGAGTATGTTGGACGTCTGGAAATCTGATTAATAAACGGGTCACGAACCACCGGCCACAGATGAAAAAGCCGTGAAGCGTACTCGCGTTTCGGTTTCAGTCTGTGAATTTCCAAATATCTAAACTTGCCAGAAGTAGGTCTGTGATAGAGCATCTTGTATAGATGCGAACCTCATGCTTGTCTATCGACTTCTATAATTAAAAAAAAGTGAATATCTGTGTCAAAATCTTTATTAGTAAATAATAAAATCCTGTCCATTTATCGTTGGCGATGCGTCACCCAAAAACCCACGTTAACCTACATATCTAAGAGTTATAGTAAGTGCTTGAGAATGTGATGGCCATTAGTAAACATTGGTCCACAATATATCTGCATTAAGTGGTAATATCTCGTTATGTTGATTGCATTATAACGCGTTACACTTGATTCACTTTTGCTTCAAAACAACATGAAACTGAATTTTAACTCTAGTCACGCCATTAGAATATGTATCCGGCGTTACTCTTGAACCGCCTCGTTACGTCAACGGTGCCAGTTATTATTTTTTTAATCTGTGTGGCGCAACAGGCTTGGAATATTAGGCAGTCCAACAAAAAAATACTTTATTCTCTTTAAAATTTTAAAAATTATTTAGATTTGTCAAAAAAAAATGTTTGTCGGTTAGTCCGTCGTGGTTCTACAGAGTGTTCCAAAGACCAACATGACCGAGAAGAACACTTAAGAGAGTTAGACCGGCTTTTTTCAACATGACTTAAATCTTAGAAACTTGGTTAGGTTAGAATCGAATGGTCAAAGCCAAAACAGGTCGACAGGGTATCTTGTTTAAATGTTATGTGACCGGGGTATTTCCCCCCTTCCATCAAGTAAAAAATAAGGATACGATATATTAATATTTGATGATACGATGACGAAAACTGATGATTTATAATAACGCTTATATTTTGCATAGCAGCCAAGAACACTCTTTAATAGTCGAATAGTTGCCAACGCTCAATGAATTATAGCTTCTATCTTGTATTGTAAAGACGATATATGTCTTACAAAATCAGCTGCCATATTGCATTATTGATCTGATTAATAAAAGTATTTGTCAGATCAACAGGTGTTTTCGCCGATCGGGGTGGCTATTCTGAAGTGAGCGATATCAAACTACCCACGACGTCGTCAAAGTCTCGTCGTCCTTGCGAGTTAATCTTAAAAGATAGACATGTACTATCGCGGACATTTATTTACTATACGGAATTTATTTTATGCATAATCATACGTATACGGACCGCAAGTTACGAAATCCCTCAAAAATGATTAATCCCCCCTTTTTTTAACATTTTCCACTGTTTCCACGCTCCTATTGGTCGCAGCGTGATCTTATATAGTCATAATCTTTTATTAATAAATTGTCCAATCGAAACAAAAATATTTTTTCAATTCAAAACAGTAGTTCCTGAGATTAGCGCGTACAAACAAAGAAAATCTTTAGTTTATGATATTAGTATAGATATATGTCACTGCTCGTTAATGTTATATCGCGTAGTTAAGAATAGCCCTCTATAAAATTACAAGGCAATACAGCGTGGTACCTACAACGGTTTTCCTTGTCCATTAATAAGCTGTTGACAGGTCAATTTTAGAATTTCATTTGTTATATATTTTAAATTGTAGATAATTTCGTCAATTTAGTAGTCATTGTTTGAGTTAAATATGAATAATTAAATTTATTAGCTCAATCGGTTAACACTTATATTGTGAACGAACGATACGATAGGAAACGAAACAAAAGAATAACGCCTCATGTTAACATTTTGTTTAGATCAACAGTCACGCCAGAGCGCTCATAATTAGAAGATTTGCCAGGTATAGAATTTCTAGACAAAGCTATTATTACAAACAAGGACAGCTAGAAATAGACAAAACAAATATAAATCTGATTGATAGATAGTATGTATAGATAGGAATACCTCACATGCGCGTGGGCCGGCCGCCTCGGACGTGATCCGCAACAATACTGCTATCTGAAGAACTCTTGGCATTGATGTTGTTTCAACGTTCGACTTTCGGCGCCTAACCGTTTGAAATGACAGGTGCTTGTAAGGCTGAAAAAAAGACAATATAATTTAATAGATCTGAAATTTTACTAAAAGCCTTTGTCAAGGAAGTTGAGCCCAAAAATTCTGTAATAGTTTCGCATATGCGTGGTGACTGGGGACTCTCTATCATAGTAAATATTTTTTAATTTATTGTTAATATTATCAAATATTCACGTATAAGCAAGAAAATTAGTATAAGTCAAATATTAATAATAATTAAGTACCTACAATAAGAACTTTTAAAGATACCTTAGAGGCTCAATGTAATAAATTAATATAAGTGATGAGATTAAAGTAACGAAAATAATAAGAATTAAAAAAAAGACAAAGACAAGAGAGGCCTGAATGGTCTTATAATAACACATATGATGATTCATGAGATATGTAGCATTGACACATATTGATTAACTTATAATAGTATGATGGACAATGTCGTAACTATTGTCGGTCAAGATTGAGCTGGATTTAGACGACTCAAAGATCAACAATTTGGCGCTTAACTGGATATCGCTATAGTTAATGATATGAAAGATGACGTGTCTAAAATTATATAGCATTTATCATAGGGTTGTAGAAGAAAGAAAACCGGAAATAAAATATAGAAGGACGATGCTATACCTTCTATTTATGGAATTATAAGACTATTTATTACATAGGATATTGATGTTGAAATAAAACTTGATGAGCCAAAGGTATCTGAATTCTAGCATTTAATAAACGCAGACGATAATCAATTAGTATTAACTTCGGTTTTTATATTATTATCTTTAAAAGAATATAATTCAAGACTGAAATTCTCATCAAAATTCTTTGAAGCGTTTGGATCTTTAGTCAAATTCATTGCGCTTATCGAATGTAGCTTCGCGGAAAAGAAAACATCGTCTCTCCAATACACATGGCTACCTCTTAATCGGATAATTAATTGAATTGGTCTGCTGATTTGTGCTGTGCACAAATAGATACCCCCGCCCCGCTCCGCATCCCTCCAATTTCGAGGCGACTATGTCCGCGCGACCCTTTCAGTCTTTTGACATTCGCGCCAATTTTTACATGTAACGAATCGAACTGCCCGTAATCGAAACTATTTTTTTTTTACTTAACGCATTTAATATTCCAAGTATGTGTACGTTTTTTAAATTCGCAAGAGGCGAAACGATTTTGACTCGGTTAAAATAGAAATAGTCTAATTATTAGTTATGGAAAAGTGACTGTGTGTTGAACGTTTCTGTTGTTTTGTGGCTACTGTCTAAGTATGGCAGCAGTAATCAAGAAATCTAGTAAATCCATAACATCTTCTTCTGTTTCCACTAAAACAATTACCTCTTCTGCTGCTGGTAAATCTGTTACTTCAACTACTGGTAGTAGGTTATCTGTAACCGCTGTTGATTTTCAGCTCGATGTGGTAAGTAAGCGCTTTAATATCTCCTTGCAAGTGTGATTTTGATGGGTCATCGATTTATTTAGAGAGTCCAATAGGCGAAAATATTTATTTACATTTAAAAGTCTATTACTTATTTGTCTATTAATCTTAATACTTATTATTTATTGAAAATTTCCGAATGTCCACTACTGTACACTACTCGGACATTTGACCTTCCATCCAAGTGAATTCCAGTCTTGTTTTTCATCCTCTATTATAAAGATGTTTGCTTGACCTAGTTTAACTTCGAAATAATAATTATTCAAAATTTTAACTTATGATTACCTATTTAATTTTCTATAAACTTAATTGTCTATATAGGTTTATTTATTCCTTTTGGAAGAAACTTTTCCAGTTCAAAGAATTGTTGGTTACCAACACTTGTGCTACATTTGTCAGGAAGTCCCGTCTTTTGTCGGTTGAAATCATTTGGCGAACGTGTATGATGCACAGCATCTGTCATAACACAACTAATGTATCTCGTTGAGATATAATTTTTCAGTCTATATTCAGAACCGAAATGCTTATTACATCCATGACCTATTAACATCTATATGTCCCTTGAGGTTACCTGAACGGTACCTTATACAGACGTGCTATAATTTTCTATGTTATGTGTTAAGCGACAAATGAACCTGAGATTTATTTGAGCATTTTTCTATTGCTTTAAAATGCCGTTTTCGTAGCATCAATGAAAATATAAGACCGCTAGAGGCAGAGTAGCCTAACTGCAATATTTTTATAGTCTAAAAATGTTAATCAAGCTCACAGTTACCGAAAATTGTTAACATAATTCTTACATAAATAATAGTATAAGTTCACGTTCGCCTAAGTTAATTGCGCATTTTATTTTCCTCTTTTTTGAAAATCGTGTTCTTTGTCATTAGGCAATTCTGCCTCTAGCAGTCTCATATCATTAATTAAATTGAAGCTTTTGAATTTCATACATACTCTGTCATTGGTCTCTTAGTATATATCTATTGTTACAGTTAATTAAACTTTTGTAATTTTATGACTATTTTTATTGGAATTATAATTACTCTATGGTTCATTTGTTGCAACTAACACGTCTATGTGATTAACCGCAAATAAGAATGTAATATTCATTTCGAAAAATTGATATAGCGAAGAAAATCGGGCGACTCAAGACGACCATCGATCCAGGATTTGGAGGATTTGATTAACAAGCCTTCTGTGCCATTGAAGCCACTTGGAAATGATGGAGCTCCATCCATTGTTGATGTACAGGAGAACTACAGTGCAGTTGAAGGTAAGATAAGTGAAAACACGTTAAAACACTTTTAACCGGTTAAAACGCGAAAACTTCAACGAAGCGAAAAAACAAATATCCGCAGCCAAAATAGGTCGGTAGCACATTTTGTTTAGATGTTGTGTGGCTGGGGTATTTTACCTACATGTAAAACTCATGCTTGTCTGTCCTCTTTTATCATAAAGAAGTTAAAAGTAGAATTTAACCAGTCAAAAAAGGTTTATTCATAAGTTATATATGAACAATCACTTTAAAATACCGCTTAACATAACTTCATTGCACAATTTTTTAGTAGTTATACGAGTTGGTACAGAATGAAAGTAAGGTTAGTTGAATTTATCTACTTAAATACGATTTTAGCACAAAAAATATATATAACAATAACAACTTTAACAAAAGCGATGATGCAGCTAACGATCATGCTGTTAACTAAATGAAATATCGTGTCTACTTCGTGTCGTTAGTTAGAGTCGCTAGTTACGGTCTCGCCTATGCTAACGAATTTTTCCAATTAAATTTTTTTTTTGAGTATTGCCTTTCGTGTACATTCAAATACATTTTATAACGGTTTGAAACGCGAAATGCAAGCAAGCAAAGCATCCATAACGTCAGGCGGTAGTTAATATAATTTGTTACCTAACACATTATGTGTTAGTTAACATTATTTACATTTTTGTCTTGACTTTACAAAATTGATTAAAATGATTATTAAAGTATACAGAAACCGAATTAAAAAAAAAATTCAAACACACATACGTGAATTAATTAAATGCTTCGATATCAACAGGTGTTTAAATATCGGAATTACGATATGAATCTATTTTTACGCGTATCGATACAGGTAGAGGTACGACTGTGCCAAATTCCATCTCGATAACAGAGTAATTGCTGAAATAAACAAGTGTGAATAATAGAGATATTATACACTAGCTGCGCACGCGACTCCGTCCGCGTCCCGTCGTTTTTGCGAAAAAGCCTTAAAAGAAAAACATAAACTGTAGTAAACATAAACTCATGGGAATATTTCATAAATATTTTTTGGTTTCTTCAGCCGTTTCGGCGAAGAAGTTTTCCCGTATTTCCCAATGTTTCTTCGCTCCCATAGGCGGCCGAGTGATAACCTTCCTTTCTCGATAAATAGTCTATCCAACACACAGATAATTTTCAAATTCGAACCAGTAGCTCCTAAAATTAGTGCGTCCAAACCAACTCGTCAGCTTTAAAATATTAGTATAGATTATGGAGACACCCCAGTCTCGATCTCCAATTTTTTCAATATTGTATTGACGTTCTCAAGTTTACTTGGCTTTATTGTTAGTAGTATACATGAAATTTTGATTTGATGTGAGTAACTATAGACATAGTTTTTCCAGTCCCTAATTTTTTTTGGGTTACTGGACTGAATTAATACAAAATAACGGCTTTAGACAAAGGCTTACAAAGGGAGGGTAATGATTTTGTTTGTCAACTGATTTAAATAACTATTTAAAAAACACCACATCAAAATCCATTGCGTAGTTTCAAAGATATAAGCGCACATAGGGACAGAAAAGGCGACTTTGTTTGATGTAGTGATAAATACATAGTGGTATATTGTACATTAAAAACGGATTAATATTTATTTATTAATCATGCCTCTTTATATTTTCATATACAGATCAAACTGGATACATTACCGTACAAGTGGAAGGTAACCCAGCGCCGACGTTCAAATTCTACAAGGGCGTCACAGAGATCATCGAAGGTGGTCGCTTCAAATTCGTCACCGATGGTGACACCGGCCTCATCACTCTCTGCATGCGAAAAGTGAAGCCTAATGATGAAGGAACTTACAAAGTTGTCGTCAGTAACATTCACGGCGAGGACTCGGCAGAAACACAGCTTTATGTGTCCGGTAAATATAGATGACATCTCATATATGGAAATTTTGACGAGCTTTTTGGTGATGGTAGCATTGTATGGCTAATAATCAACGGGTGGTTCGATCCCCACCATGTCCAATATGTTTCTAATCAGTTTATAATTTTTCCGAAATATATTGCTCTTCGTCTGGACATCTAAATATGAGATGGGTGGGAGGAATATCGAAGTCACGAACTACCGTCCACAAATGAAAAAGCTATGAAGGGAATTTTTCGCTTTCAACCTGTCCGAATATTCAAAGCCAAAATAAGTCGACAGCGCATTTTGTTTAGATGTTATGTTGCTGGGATATTTCACTTATCATCAAGTGATCACTCTATCATAAAAAAAAATAATTCGAAAAAAAAATTTTCGACTGTTTTTGAGTCTTTAGCCCGTCGTAATTGAGAAACGGTTCTCGACGTTTCGTCGTCATGAGTGAATGAATAAAAACTGAAAAAATAATCATATAATTATAAGTTTCACTTAAGTTTCCTTATTGATATAGATTAGTAATTACTAATTCGATCTGTCGGCTCTGAAATATGGTACAGTAAACACCTGCTGAAGGTATTTTTTTGGTCGAAGCCGAGTTCGACTACAAATTTTCTATATAATCCTAAAAATTTGTCTAGCCTAGACAACCGTTTTTCTTTTGCAATCAGAAAGAAGAAATAAAAGCCACACAGCTCTTTAACTAGGTTTTTTTTATTGTCGTTTATTTAGTAAAAAGGGAACATATTAATATATATTATTTTACAAATAAAAAAAAATATGTCTTGAGGTTAAACCTCTCGAAAAGAATGGAATCGAAACTCTGCATTGACTATATTGTCGATTAATCTTGAAACACGAAATTTTAGAAATCTATCAAAATCAGTTACTAAATCAATGAATTTACAAATATTGTAACAGATGCCAGTGGTATGGACTTCCGTGCTATGTTGAAGAAGAGGAAATATAAAAAATGGGGTGAACCCAAGGAAGACCCCAATTGGGGTGACCTTAAAGAGGTCGAAAAGCCTCTGCCAGCTCTAAAGAAGGTCGAAAAGGTAAGATTTTAATGTATACATTTTAAGATTTCTTTTCCTACGAGTGATATAGTGATGTAAAGTAATTTGTTATTTGAAAATAAATTAAATTAAACTAAAAGAAACCGTAACATTAATCATGTCTTTTAAAATAATACTCTAGCTAGAATAGACTTATTATTTGTAAAGGCATTTTTAATTCATGTGAAATAAAAAAAAAAAAATATATAAAATACAATGACAGCTCCATCAAGCCTATAATCTTTTTATATATAACGAACTCTGTATAAATACACAATACACTGTATATTATATAAAAACACGTACCAAATACAATATCAAATATACTATTCATTATAACTATTTAAGAACTCTATTGTATAAATAACATATACATACAATTATTATTTGAACAGGCACCTTGGCCCATTGGTACAAATGCATGGTTAATAGGATAGTGTGTGTTCGATTCCCACCATATCCAAAATGTTAATGTCAATTAATGATTTTATCGACACATGTTAGACAACTAGAAAATTAGGATATAAAATGGTTGGTGGAATTCATGGTCCATCCAAATTCCATCCTGGTAATGAACCACAACAGGTGAAAGAGGTTTAATTTCGTTTCTGTTTTAATCTGTGGATTGAATATACAAAACCAATAATTGGCCAGAGCGTCTGGCTTAGGTCCTATACTCGTATGGCTGGGATGTATCACCTTCCATCGAGTGAACTCCATGCCCCATGCTCCATCCCAAGAAAATACCGCATGCATCATCATTAATTGGTTCTTAGGGCTTAGAAACTGGATATTTCGAGGACGAAGGAAATATAGTGGTCATATCCGAGGGTCGCGAGATGCTTAGATTTCCAGCTCAGCGCAGAAACTCCTCAAACTGGTCCTGGGTCAAGGTCATCAGTTTTATGAAATTCATGCCACTTTATTTACTAAAATTCTTAGAATCTCCACGAACTGTAATGGACTACACCGTGTTGATTCTATTTTTATGTTTCACATAGAATACTTTTTGCTGAAACCTTTTCCAATTTTGTTTTGACGATCTATGACAGTGACAATATTGTCAATCGTAACGTTACCAGTGTGTTGATACTATATTCTTCTAATAATGGCTGGGTGGTTAAAAAAGATCTCAGTCTTATTCCAAGTAAGTGGAGCGCAACGGAATAGATAACTCTTCAAATCTTCCTTGGTTTTTGACACAGACTGTTTGAACACAACATAGCTTAAATTAATATGGCTTACATCATGGCACAAATACAGATTTGTCAGAAAAATATATAACAGTCAATATAACTTTTAGGGTGTTTATCAAATTAGGAGACGAATGTCTCTTCCCGAAATAATACCCGATTGGCCTGACTTGATGGAGGCTGTCAAAACGAAGGTTCGACTAAACAGGAAAATAAACGAGGAACTTAAAAGTACAAGAGTGTCTGCCCTTTCGGAATTACAAAGCTAACTAGAGCATTATACATGGTCGCTACCATTTTTCAATTACAATAATTTTGTGTTTATTTCCGTCAAAGGACAGATATTCTGTTTTAAATAAAGGAATGAATTCTTAAATAAACGAGAATGCTAAATTTATCCTCTGAAATTTGTGCTGTCAATGTTTTATCTAGCCCTTCTTAGTTATCAGTACTATTTCAATTGGTATCGGAAATTTCAGAGCGATTTAAAAGAGATGCATAAAATTTGAATAATAACCAGCACACGGTTTGAATCACCACTTCTTTACTTCTTTAACGTTTCCAGGGTGAGAGTGGAATGAAACTGATGATCGTTCACTCCTTTCGGGTCTTGTCTCTCTCTCTACAGGTTTCTGTGACGTCAGTTTGAGGAGCTTTTGTCACGTCATAAAACACTGATTCATATCTTATGTCGCTTTTGCTGCCAACGCAGACGAGTCGAATTAATCATTGAGACGTCAGCAATAAAACTGGAAGAGTTATTCGAACTATGCACATTAAAAGCATATAGCATTTACGATTTGACTCCTATGACATTTTATCGCTTAACTTATCCAAAATTTTGCCACCTGCGTTGGTGCAAATGATGTCTGACGCATTTGTATATGCAGATTTTGGAATTTTATTGAAAAGAATTCACCAAGATTATAAATACGCACTATTATGACACAGTTATAAATATAAATAACAAAGTCACACCATGCCACACATAGACGATTGCTTATACAAAGTAGCGATTAAGAAGCTCGGTGGGTTCGAGGAGGTTCAGTAAGGCTTTGTGAATATTTTGTAGAGACCCTCTAGTAGAAGACAGTCCTTGGCGGACCTGATTCCGGATTGGCCCGTGCTGCACTCGTTCAAAAGAAACGAGGTTTGACACCGCGTTTACCGTCGTTAGATGACACAATGCATCTTGATTGTACCACGAAATCGCACAAAAATGTTCACCACCACACCCCAAACTCGGTCTATCCGGCGAAAGTATAAATTAATCTACAGCGCTGATATCCAACAATTTACCTCTGAACACCAATTAATTATATTGGAAATAGAATGAATGATGGTTTGAGGCCAGCGCACGCGTCATCTCGGACTAGAGTTTAATCTTAGTCTATTAAATCATAGTTTGTTTAAATTAGAGCTTTGATATGTTTATAGCGAAGCATAGAAATTGTTTTAATTATCAAGGTATATCAGCGCAGGATTGATTTATCCGGACACTCACAACGCAATACACTTAGATCAATGTTAAAAAGCACTTTCAAACCTATCTCTTTATCTGTCTGTTAGCAGCTCTTGCGCACTTTCAAGATCTTTTATAGCCGCACTTCGCACTGAACTTAGCACAGAGACATTATGTTTCAGGATCTATGATGTTCAGAAATTTAGAATCCATAATCGCGGTGACTTTACCGTAATTGTTGGTTTTTGGGTTCTACATTTATGGACAATCATGGTTGACACTATGAGAACAGTATCTATTTCACTTATGCACACTTCTTCGGAGATAAGGAAATTCAAATTTCTGTACAGTCGCATGATGTTTGAAATTGATGGGTGACGATAAAGATGGCTAACGATTCGGTTATCTCATCAGATCAATTTATTACACGCATTGGGTTTACTGTCACACTTTCCGTACTGAGTGGTCGTTCACATGTGTACAACGTTCAGAGTTCAAATGGACAACGGTGGTCAGCACCTAGCTTTTGTCTGAACAGCACCTTTTTTGTATTTGCACCAGAATGTATGTTGAATACAAGATGTTTCTATGTCTCACTGTATGTTTCAGAAACAAGAATCATTCTTGAAGCCTCTCGTGGATCAGAATGCAAAGGAAGGAAAAGATAAGAAGGTCACATTCGAAGCCATCTTCTCGAAACCAAACTCCAAGCCAAAATGGTTCTTCCGTAAAGATGTAAGTTACATATTTTAATATTTTTCACATGCTATTGCACTTTTCAAGCTTCAACATTTTTCAAGCTTCATCTTACTTATTTAATTAATCTCTTTACAGGAACTATTCCCAGGATCTAAATACAAGATGACAAATGAACAGGACTCGTACAAGCTGATTATTTTCAATCCTAAAGTAGAGGACACTGGCAAGATCACTATTGAAATTGGTGGTGTATCCTGCACTGCTTTCCTCCAAGTTGAAGAACCAGATCCCACGTATAACTTCACCAAACATCTAAAGAAGACCCTTACTGGTTACACAAAACACGAAGTGGTCCTGGAGTGTACTGTATCAAACAGTCTTGCTATTGTATCTTGGTGGAAGGGCGAAGAGAAGATTGAAGATAACGACGATATTTCCATTTCGAAGGACTTGTCGGGAGTCTGTAAATTGATAATTAAGAAGGCGAAATTGGAGGATGCTGCTAAATACTCGTGTAGGATTGAAAAGCAAACTGATAAGACTGAGTGCGACCTTAAGATTGTTGGTGAGTGAAAATGTTTTGGTTACATTGGCATATATTTTATATTTTAGGCAATTGCCAAAATTTATCAAGTAGGGAAGTGGTGATATATAGTGCAGTAAAAACCGCCAGATGGTGTCGTTGTATCGCCACACAGATAACTTGCTTTCTTCAAAGTTTTTAGGTTTCGCAAAGGTAGTCGAGTCCTGTAGTTCGACGGGTTCCTTGGTTTAATAGTAGCAATGGTACGAATATCGTAATTCCGTCCGAGTCACGAATAATCGCGTTTCGGTGTCAATCTGAGAATTTCCGAATATCCAAAGCCAAAATACGTCGCTAGCGCATCTTGTGTAGATGTCATATGTCTGGGGTATTTCACCGCAATTCTCAAGAATAGTAATTGTTAACGACGCTTCGTTATCTAGTGGATGTTAAAAAGTCGACTTAGCGAAGACTTACACAATTTATGCTTTGAAGTTTATTCAGACAATTTACATCTTTATTTCAGAATACCAATACAAGTTCACGAAAGTCTTGAAATCACAGCAAGCCATAGAGAAAGACACGATTACGTTACTCTGCGAGCTGGACGACGCCGCTGGTGATGTTAAATGGTTAATATTTTATACTTATATGATATATGACCCACTATTAGGCATTCTAGTACTAAAAAAAGTATATAAATTTAACCCACCTCGCTCCTTCAGTGTGTAGTGGCATCGGTTATCGATTTTTAAAGGTGTCATCAGCACTGTCAAATAAAAAAAATTAACGTTTTAAAACGCGAAATGTATTACTTAAATTTATTTACAACTTATTTTAACTGCGACCGACGTTTCACGTCAGAAGCCGTGGTCACGACGGGTATCCCGTCGTGACCACGGCGCGTTTTTAAATCGTTTATTTAAATGTGCACTATAAACATTGGTAACACCTCTTTAAGAAGAATTTTAAATGCCGAATATTTCGCGCAACCCGAGATTAGAATCCAGAACTTTAATTGAAACATTCCTCGGGCAACAAACAACGCCAGGCCACAGTTCAAATAAGTTTAACTAATTTATATCACGTTTTGAACCGTTAAAGTATTTCATTGTGTAAATTATTTACCCAGAACGTTTTATCCGTAGCTATGTGAACAAAGATTTACCTAAAGATGATCTTCTTCTGTTCAGGTATAAAAACGATCAGCCGTTGAAGGTTGACAAGCGTATATCCATAGTGAAGGAAGGCCGGAAGCGCAAAGTCGTCATCAAGGACGCGAAGGTGACGGACGCTGGAAACTTCAAGTGTGTCAGCAATGCTGATGAGACGGCTTGCGAATTGATAATCAATTGTGAGTAGCCTACTATATAGATATAAAAATTGGTATTTCTGTCTATATCTTGTTCTATGTCTATCTATAAAACAAAGGAATTTGTTTGACTTAATATTAACGCAATGGCATAGTAGAAAATAAATTTTTAACTAGCTGCAGACTTCGTCCGCGAACGTGGCCACCATTTTATTTATTTTTCCAAACAACCTCCTCAGCTTTATATATTAAAGCTGTTACGCACTACGTCGTTTGCGTCACGCCGTTTGAGTTATTGTTAGCAGACACATAATACTGTCGCGGACAATTTTTCGGTCATTTAAGAAGAAGAATTCATTCCTACATATTTTTTTATTTTTAGAGCTTTTTCGCAGCTCATGCAAAATGAATCAAAAATGAATATTCTTTACCATTTCCCTCTGTTTCGTTGTTTCTATATTTTATAGCCTAAAACCTTTCTCAGTAAACATATCCACCAGCTAAAAAATAATTTTTCAATCCGAACAAGTAACTCCTGAGATTACCGCATTCAAACAAACAAACTCGTCAGATTCATTATATTAGTAAAGACTAACGGTATTTGAAAAGAACGCAAAAGTTTTCTTTCATTAAATCGGAAGCAATAAAAAACCTTACAGTCACTGAACTTTCGAAACTCGAACACAATGTTTTCAAACTAGTTTTTTCCCTTTAGACTCTAATCGCTTCAACAAGAAGTTGAAGGATACTGAAGGAATTGAAAGAGAGAAGGTTGTTCTGGAAGTGGAGCTTCAAGATCAGACCGCAGAAGCTGTTTGGTCGTTCAACGGGGCACCTATTGTTCCAGATGAAAGGTATCATAAACAGAATGTACATTTATTTTATTTTATTTTATTTAAAAACATCATAGATGCTACACCAACAATACTTTGTAGTAAAGAAGGTAAATCTTAGGTCAAGAAATACTTTTCAGGCAGCTTTTGAAGGCGCTCGTTAGTCTAATAGTAGGTAGCAATGTATGACTCTATACTATTACCTATATATATACTATAAACGGGTCGTTGGGTTCTAGATCCTTCTGTTTTTGATAAATTCATATTTTTTTCTGAAATATGGACTTCCTTGAAATCTGTATATTTTATCTATATTCTGTTCTTTACAGGATTGAAATCAAGAACTTGGGTGGTGGTAAACACCAGCTAATATTCAACAAATTGGAAATGGAGGATGATGGTGAAATCCTCTGTGAATCTGGCAAGCTTACCTCGTCTTGTAAGCTGACAGTGAAGCAGGGAGAGTCCAAGCCTATGATTGAGTGTCCTGATGAGTTCCACGGTACCGCTGGACAACCATTCGTTATCGAGGTGCCATATAAAAGTGAGTATCACATTAATGTTTTTGATAAATAAACTTAGTATCTAAATCAAAATGAATCGAAATTTTTAATGGCGTAAAATAATCTAAATGCTTGTAAATAAAATGTATCGCAAACATATGCAAAATTATGTCTGCCTCATACAAGAAATCGAAAGAAACGGAAACTCACACCTATTAAAATGGGGTCGTGGTAAATTTGTTCTTCATTTGTATTTTGGTCAAAATTTCATTTAATAGAAAAAGTAAATGACCTGACACGGTAGATGAATTATTGGTAGAGCGAACTATATGATCACCGTTGATCATAGGTTCCAGTCCCACCTAAATAATTAATTCGATTTAATGCAAGTCCAATTACATTTGACCTGCTCTCTGTATTTCATTGTCCCACATTTAAATAAAAATGTCTTTACAGTTACCGGCACCAGACAAACACAAATCGAAGCTAAACTTATTAAGGACGGTAAGATTCTACCCAACAAAGAAGTTGAAGCTGTGGTTCAACAAGAGAAGATCTTATTTAAGATTAAAAAGCCACTTAGAGAATTGTCTGGAAAATACCAGATTAAGCTGTCTAATGCGCAAGGCGAAGATTCGAAGGATGTGTCTATTATCATGCAAAGTGCACCAACACCACCACAGAACGTGGAAGTCAGTGAGATCTTCCAAACATCTTGCGTTGTTACATGGAAGACGCCTCAGGACGATGGAGGTTCACCAATCATTAAATACATTATTGAGAGACAGGTTTGTATCAATATTTATGTTTGAAGCAAATGATAACACTATATAAATTATATAATTTGCGCAAGAGGTACATGTATTAATATATTAAAAAAAAATGATGATACCGCATAGGACGCGGTGGCTCAATTGGTTAGAGCAACTGTAGATGCCGGTTAAAGTCAAGCCTGTGTCGTATTTTTTTCTAATCTAAAATCTATTTTGACTTATAACCTATCTCATAATATTTTTAGGACCTGTCCCTCAAAGCAGCATGGGACAGTGTGGGTGAGGTTGCTCATGGTGAACCTACCAAATACAAGGTGGAAGACCTCATCCCCAAGAAAACCTACAAGTTTAGGATCCGCGCTGTCAACAAGATCGGTTCCAGTGAGCCGGGAATATTTGCCAAGCCAGTCTTGGCTAAAGATCCATGGGGTATGGAGCCATGTTTATCATTCATTCATGCTTTACAGATGCATCAACAGATCAGATAATAGCATTTATTTATATAACTCTTTTCTACTGTTGGTGCACAATGACAAGAAAATTAAAAATTAAGTACAATTATTTTTTTTTATATCGAGGACACCTATAGCAGACTGGGTTATCAGTGTTCAAGGATGAATAACTAATAAGAAAAAATAATAAGATATTTAAAAACTTAACTAACAATATACTTCATTTATCTATAGATGAACCATCAAAGCCGAAGAGTGTAGAACTAACAGACTGGGACAAGGACCATGCAGATCTCAAATGGGACAAGCCAGATAACGATGGTGGAGCACCAATCACTGGCTACGTCATCGAATATAAGGTATCTTTGAATATTATTTAAGCATTTTTATGATAGAGGAAGACAGACAAATACGGAGTTAACTTGTTGGTAGGTGATATCTACCTCGGCCTATAGTATCTAAACAAGATGTGTTGTCAACCTATTTTGACTTGAATATTCGGAAAAACACAGAATGACCGAAACGCGATGAAGCTTTACGGCTTTTTCATCTCTTGACAGTGGTTCGTGGCCCGTGCGGGATATTCGATATTCCTACTAACCGTTTTCGAAGTCCATGATGTTTCAGAAAATATAAAAATTACAAACATGTTGGACTCGGTGGAGATCGAACCCACGACCTATTGATGATTTCAGCCATACATTGCTACCATTAGACCAACGAGCCCTCGTGAATTGAGTTTATGTAATTTATAGCAATTTTGATAAAAAATAGGAGAAATTCGGCAAAGACTGGGTAAAAGGAACGGAGGTAGCTGGTGATGTGACGAAAGCGACACAAGATGGCCTCAAAGAGGGTTGCACCTATGAGTTCCGGGTCCGCGCCATCAACAAGGCTGGTCCCAGTGAACCAAGTGACAGCACTAAGCCAATCATTGCTAAGTGCAGATTTGGTAAGTCATATTTGATTCTCAACGTTTTTGTCGCAATAAAAAAGGTGAGGGGTGGAAGTTGAATCCACCACTAACTGTTTACTGTGTATGTTTTTCCATATTCAATCACTGTCGTGACACCGCCGATGATCGATTTGAATTATTGATTTAATTTTATGATGATTCGATGATCAAACGCGTCACGGTATTTAAATGAAAATGTTGGTGATTTATTTGAACGACTCGATCGATAAATCTACCTTAAATTTTTACATATTATCGTTAAAAGAATACTGGATCTCAAATCATGGAAAATTTTGATTCTGGAACTGTTTTAATATTTGAATTTTATATAAATATATTCATAATCAACTTTACAGTCAAACCATACATTGTGGGAGAAGGTCTACAGAGTATGATCATCAAGAAGGGACAGGTTATCTCGTTCGACATCAAATATGGTGGAGAGCCTGAACCAGAGGTCAAATGGATGAAGGGAGAGGAGGTAAATATAGTTTACGTATTTATCAAGGTGTATTCCGTTTAATTACACAACCTTTGATCTATACACACTTGACATAAATAAAAGTTACAGAAATTGATAAAGTTTTTTAAGGTATAAGTAGAAAGGCGATTTTAAGTAAGACCTAATGGAGACCAGCTAATACAAATAATGCCAATATTATTGGAGCAGTCCAATTGAGAAATGGTTCTCGTTGTGTCATAACTAGTGAATAGCTTCATTAGAAGACGCTAAGCTTAACATGACAGCTGTTGACTGTCATGCACCCATGATGGCTTAACGTCAGGAACTATTGGCTTGAAAACTCAAGTTTCACATAAAATAATTAGGTGTCTCAAATGAGGCCTTAAATATCCTGATAACACTAACTTGTGTTACCGTGTCACCAATTCGCTTCCAAAAGTACCCTTTATTAACCTATTTACATTATTTTGTCCAACAAAAGAGACGCGGAAAGCCGTACACGGAAAAGGTTAGATGGGTGGCGATAAATGTTGTCTTAATTATTCTAAACTATCATTATCTATCTACACTGAAATGTGGCTAACATAATACGCTTCTTGTGTTTTGCTGAATTCTGAACGTTATGGTTTTATTTTGAATACGTCTACACCGGTAACTAAAAGCTCTTCATAATTTTCCCTCTTTCTTAAGTCCCCGTCTAATGAATCATTGGCAAAATATATTTATTATTAAATATTACATTTAATTTTTTTTATCGTTCTTACATGTTAGGTTTGACAGGCCAGGTTGTCAGCGCATGTCAATTGAACACTAATGTTTTCCATCATCTTTTTAATAAAACCATTATAATTTACATACATGTAGCACAGTAAGGGTCAATTCCCACCAAGGCGCGACGTGTATCTTCAAGTATGGTCGCGACATGTCCCATCCTGGTGTGACCTGACCCTAAGATAGGATAAAAATAACGTTTTATATAATGATAATACCCTGTAGGTTTATAATTCTTACTATACCGTTCAACATTATTAAACTTTCGGCTTTATAGTCACTCAAGTAAAACCATAACGTATCCAGCGATTACTGAATTCAGTCCAACACAAATATTGTTTTAACTTATCACTATGAACGCGATACACAATCGCTTTAGATGTTACTGACAGGATGTGTCACTTGTCTTCTTGTGTAAGATGCCACGTCACCATTCGCAACTGGTGTCTTAACTGTGGTTAAATTAACGGTAACGAACTTCGAAAAGATAATGTGTATGTGTAGGCAATTTTTTAAATTGGTAAACCATATGTTGATCTCATACATGTTTGTCAAAGTTTGTTATCGTTTTGAAATTATTTATAAGGCCTCTGGGTATCTACTGTAATTTGCTGTTGGTTACATATTATTATAATGGATGTTATGCTATTACTGAACGATAACTGATCAGTAAAACGGACACACATTTGCCCCATGTCCCGTAAAAGGGAAACGAGATTTCTCTTATTTCTGAAAAATTGCTACTGATAAAACACTTTTAACTGTTTTAATCTTGAAAAATATTGGTAACCTATATACTTAACTTTGATCCGGCGTTTCGAATGATTTGCAGCTCTGGTCACGGAGAGACGTCAAATTGAAGTTCAGAATTAGCTAATGTATTTTACGTATAAACCTGTTAGAGGCATTTTACTTAATCTGTAATACTCTCATTCACTGTATATAATATTTAAGTATAACAATTTGAGCAAATTTAAAGTAAATGGTCAAAGCCATATTTCTCTATTATACTATGTAACCTCTGCAAATTCCAGCAGCTCATGATATTATGTATGAAGTTTGAGTGCATCTCATCTATATCTCTGCACTTGCGAAGTGCTACAAATGAGCATAAATACACTCAGGACTTCAATTTCAACTCGAATTGTCTTAAATTTAACACAATACTGTCTGTTCACTTAACACTCGATGTTGTGGTCTATGTTTTCATATTTGTTTACTATTTTATCGTGAATACATTTTTAAGAGCTTGTTTTAAACTAGAAACAAACGCAAAAAAAATACAGCAAAAATCTTCTCAAAAAGTAAATAACATGTTAAAAACATATATCGTATCTATTAGAAATATCGCAATCACCAAAAATAACAAATATGTATAGTGGCGTAGCCTTAACGTCTTATGAGGCCTAAACAATCTCTTAATTATATATTTTTGAGAATTATTATTATTGTAATTAATTAATTCCCGCCACTCTGAATTCAGACAAAGTGTCAACGGTTTACCACCTTTAACTGTCAAAGTTAACATTTTTTATCATTTTACAGGACTTTAATCATTTTAATGCACGTGACATTTATAAACGATTTTCTTACTGATAAAATTTTATTAGATCTTCTAGCTTAAAACAAAGTGGTTTTTTTTAAACGATTCGTAATAATATTACGTATAAAAAACATTTTAAAACGTACAATAATGTTCTGCAAAGTGTATTCACGTCATTCTTATATCCTACTGTTTTGTATCCACACTCTCATTATTGGAATGGTATAGGAAATTAATGATGATGGTGAGCGCATCACAATCGACAAATACGAGAGGAACACAGTTCTGACCGTGAGGAAGACCACGAGACCTGATAGTGGAAAATACAAGCTGGTGCTGACGAATTCGTCTGGGACCTGCGAAAGTATTGGAGACGTCGTGGTGCTTGGTAAGTTAGGAAAGATGTTAGACTTTTCTTTATTTTTAGAAAGAGACAGTTAACAATTTTAGCCAACATATATCGTAATTATTTGATGATAGAGAAGGACAGACAGTCATTGCGTTCACTCGGTGGTAGGTGAAATACCGCAGCCATATAACATCTATATGAGATGCGTTGTTGGCCTATTTTAGCTTTAGACATTCGGAACACGACATTCATCTTTACTGATTTTACATCTGCGGACGGTGATTCGTGACCCGGAACGAATTTCGATTTTCCACCACCCAATAAATATCTCGAGACCCAGACGAATTCAAACATGTTTCAGAAAAATTCTTTATTAATTAGATAAATGCTTGACCCGGTGGGAATCGAACCCACGGCTCGTTAATTACACCATCGAGAAAGTATATTATACTCTATTGCGCGTTTCCGCAATGTTTTCTTTACCAGTAAAAATTAAATACTGGCATGCGTTAAGTCTAAATACTGGACAAAGTTTACGCGAGTAGTACACATTTAAAACACTTTAACGGTTTAAAACGCGATGTATATTAGTTTCCTCGTGACAACTGCTGCTGCAAAGCTTTGGAAACGTTGGGCCATAGTTAATATAAAAAAAAAAAAAAAGGGGGGGGGGGGGGGGGGGGGGGGGGGGGGGGGGGGGGGGGGGGGGGGGGGGGGGGGGGGGGGGGGGGGGGGGGGGGGGGGGGGGGGGGGGGGGGGGGGGGGGGGGGGGGGGGGGGGGGGGGGGGGGGGGGGGGGGGGGGGGGGGGGGGGGGGGGGGGGGGGGGGGGGGGGGGGGGGGGGGGGGGGGGGGGGGGGGGGGGGGGGGGGAAAAAAAAAAAAAAAAAAAAAAAAAAAAAAAAAGGAAAAAGAGAAAAAAAAAAAAAAAAGAGAAAAGGGGGGGGGAGGGGAAAAGGGGGGGGGGGGGGAAAAAGAGAAAAAGGGAAAAAGGCAAAAAAAAAAAAAAAAAAAAAAAAAAAAAAAAAAAAAAAAAAAAAAAAAAAAAAAAAAAAAAAAAAAAAAAAAAAAAAAAAAAAAAAAAAAAAAAAAAAAAAAAAAAAAAAAAAAAGGGGGGGGGGGGGGGGGGGGGGGGGGGGGGGGGGGGGGGGGGGGGGGGGGGGGGGGGGGGGGGGGGGGGGGGGGGGGGGGGGGGGGGGGGGGGGGGGGGGGGGGGGGGGGGGGGGGGGGGGGGGGGGGGGGGGGGGGGGGGGGGGGGAAAAAAAAAAAAACCAACAAAAAGGGGGGGGGGGGGGGGGGGGGGGGGGAGGGGGGGGAGAAAAAAAAAAAAAAAAAAAAAAAAAAAAAACAAAAAACAAAAAAAAAAAAAAAAAAAAAAAAAAAAAAAAAAAAAAAAAAGGGAAAAAAAAAAAAAAAAAAAAAAAAAAAAGGGGGGGGGGGGGGGGGGGAAAAAAAAAAAAAAAAAAAGAAGAAGAGGGGGGGGGAGAAGGGGGAAAAAAAAAAAAAAAAAAAAAAAAAAAAGGGGGGGGGGGGGGGGGGGAAAAAAGGGGGGGGGGGGGGGGGGGGGGGGGGGGGGGGGGTTAAAAAAAAAAAAAGGGAAAAAAAAAAAAAAGAGGGGGGGGGGGGGGGGGGGGGGGGGGGGGGGGGGGGGGGGGGGGGGGGGGGGGGGGGGGAAAAAAAAAAAAAAAAAAGGGGGGGGGGGGGGGGGGGGGGGGGGGGGGGGGGGGGGGGGGGGGGGGGGGGGGGGGAAAAAAAGGGGGGGGGGGAGGGACCCCCCCCCCCCCCGCAAAAAAGGGGGGGGGGGGGGGGGGGGGGGGGGGGGGGGGGGGGGGGGGGGGGGGGGGGGGGGGGGGGGGGGGGGGGGGGGGGGGGGGGGGAAGAAAGGGGGGGGGGGGGGGGGGGGGGGGGGGGAAAAAAAAAAAAAAAAAAAAAAAAAAAAAAAGGGGGGGGGAGAAAAGGGGGGGGGGGGAAAAAAAGGGGGGGGGGGGGGGGGGGAAAAAAAAAAAAAGGAAAAAAACCCAAAAGGGGGGGCCCGGGAAAAAGGGGGGTTGGGAAAAAAGGGGGTTTTTGCGCGGGGGCGCGATAAATTTTAAAATAAGTTTAACTAACATAATATATCGCGTTTTAAACTGGTAAAGTGTTTTATTTAAATGCGTCAAGTCTAATAAGCTATAGCCTAGACGTTAGCTGTATTATTATATATTTCGCGTTTTAAACCATTAGAAGTGTTTTTTATAAATGTGCACTACTTAGATAAACCACAGATAATATATATTATTTACGTTATTATTGTATTCAGACAAACCGAACAGACCGAATGGTCCAATCGAAGTTACGGATGTCAGAGCGGAGAAGGCGACAATCAAATGGCAGAAACCAGACGATTTCAAGGGATCAGATATCACCGGTTACACTCTTGAGAAGTTCGATATGGTGAGTAACCGAGCTATTGAACTAGGTTTTAGATCCCATTACGTTTTAAAAACAAATGAAGTCAGACAACAGGTACCAGATTTGATAGTCCTGATGTCCTGAATCGTGATCCTTTACTTATGCCAACATAAAATATAAATTATGCTAAGGTCTGACTTAACTTCTTCGCATAGAAAATTATTAGTGATTGATGTTTAGTTTCAAAAGAATAAGTGCTGACATGCAATTTGGTGAGACAATATCTATACTAATATTGTAAAGCTGAAGTGTCGTTTTGAACGCTTTTATCAAAGGAAATAGTGGTTTAAAATGAAAAAGCATCGGGCTGCGACCAATAGAAGCGGAACGGATGAAAAATTTTCCCCGTTCCTTCCACATTTCTCGCTGATTCTTCGGTCATATTAGCCGAATGCTAAATATACAGCACACTATTGCCTTCCTCAATAAATTATCGAACCAACAAAAAAAATTTTCAATTCAAACCGATTCAAATTCGTGAGATTAGCGCATTCAAACAAACTCTTCAGCTTCTATTAGTATAGATATTTAGACCTCAAAATCTCATTATTTTTATTACACTTGATACAGGACACTGGAAACTGGATTCCATGTGGCGAGACTGGACCTGAACCTACCGAGTTCACGGTGAAAGGTCTCACCCCCAACCACAAGTACAAGTTCAGGGTGCGAGCCGTGAACAAAGAGGGCGAGAGTGAACCTTTGGAGACGGACGGGTTCATCGTTGCGAAGAACCCGTATGGTATGTAACATTACTCATTTATTTCCTCTTACTTTTAACGGGTTAAAACGCAAAATGCATTGGGTTTTTTTCTATGATAGACGAGGGCAGAGGAGCATTAGGGTTCACCTGATGGTAGGTAAAACACCCCAGCCATATAATATCTAAACATGATGCGCTATTGATCTTTTTGGCTTTGGATACTCGGAAAACATAGACTTAAACTAAAACGTGGTTAAAGCCTTACATTGCACCAACGAGCCCGTCGGCCCGACGTTTCGGATGCTTTACAGCAGCCGTGGTCATGGGGGGTCTGAAGATGGAGGGTGTGCCTGATGTCATATGTAATGATAATGTAAATTAGTTCACATTTTGCGTTTTAAATCTTTACAAGTATCTTAATTAATTTTATTTACATTTTTAAATTCTTTAAAAAAATGTATACTTTTGAAACATTAATTATATTTTTGTCGCTCAAACTAGTTCGAAATTTTAATTCATCAAAAGTAATTAGGTAAGGTATACGTTTTCATAATAGAAGAAATATCTACTGTTGGCTCAAACAAATGATTTAACAAACCTTACAAAATTCTCTTAGAAAATTTATCAATTCGTTTGCAAGAAAACCGTCTTTTGTAACACCTATAAATATTAAACCTTTACCATGTCGTTAACAGATCCTCCAAAAGCACCCGGAAAGCCTACAATCGTCGACTATGATAATACGTCTGTTACTCTACAATGGGAGCCTCCAACTGATAACGGAGGTAGACCTGTTTTGGGATATGTCATCGAGATGAAAGACAAATTTTCACCAGATTGGATTGAGGTTAATATACTTTAATATAAATTACTCACTTAAAGCTTTTATTAATCAACCTAATTCGTCTATACACTTGGAATTTTGAATCAAATCATTTATTCCAAATTAAAAAAACACACACACACACACAAAGTGTACAGTAACAATGTTACTCCACACTTTGTAAATGTAGCTGGGAGTTAGGAGAATGCTGACTTTCAGTGATGTCCCACCCTTGATATTTGAATTAGAACAGTATATACATATACTAGTAAACATACATACATAACATATTTTCATGAATGCACAAAAATACATACCCACACATGACACAATGTTCACAAACTAAAAAGATCATCGAGATAATTTAAATAAAAAATACTTAAATAATACTTCTGTTGAAATTGCTCGTTTCAAATGTTTTCTTCGTAATACAAGACTTTAAAATCTTATTTATTATCTGTTACCTTATATACACCACGTATGCCTAAGTATATAAATACTGGCCTTTAACAATCAAACATTTTAGGGTTCGAAACGCGAAATAAATTATCCAATTTTGATTCGTAGTAAAAGATAATAACTTCGCATTTTAAACCGTTAGAGGGGTTTAATTTGTAGCGATCACTGAAACTATATTTATATAGATGTAGGTATTATATATGACAATATTTAACAACTGGTTTATTTTTTAGGTTTTAAAGACAACAGATACTAAGACTGAAGCCAAGGTGGAGGGTCTTAAGGAGAAGATGATCTACCAGTTCCGTGTGAAAGCTTACAATAAAGCTGGTGTCGGTGAAGCTTCAGAGCCAACCGACAACCATCTCTGCAAGCATAGGAACTGTAAGTGCTCAAAATAATATAAAAGCCTACACAATATGACGCTGCTAAAGAGTGATCCAAAAACAAAAAACATGATTTTCAATAAGGAGAAACTAAGGAGGACCATGAAAATATAAATAACTCAAGTCGTAAAATTGCAGCAGGCTACTCTGCCTCTAGCGGCCTCGTATCTTCAAAGAGAATATTTAATTTCTTGTAGTGTGTCTTTTTTATCCTAATAAAAAAAAACATAGTTTATTTTAACTACATTTTTTATAACTTAGAACACCCGAGATGTGTCTTGCACAGAAATATTTTTATAAAAAAAAATATTTCCTCATATCTCCGCTAGAGGCGCTGACTACTATATAGAACACTTTTAGTTCTTTGTTAGTGACTTATATTACTTCTATGTAGGTATTTGTTTATTTTTTTAAGAACGTTTTTATACTGGTAACATTTGATAAATTTATTTTTTCTTAATTACAGTGAGACCTCGCATTGAGCGTAGTACCTTCAAATCGGTGATCATAAAGGCCGGACGCACTCACAAGTGGTCGGTGGACGTCTTCGGTGAACCGCCACCAGAAAAGACCTGGTTTGTATTTTTATAGTAAAATTCTTACATCACTTCGGTTTCTTTATAGAAGATTTTTTAAAGTTGTAAAGGATTTATAAAAGCGCCACCTGTACTCACCACATGTAAACAGGTAATGTAAGTGACTAAATAGGGTGGCAATTATCGTGTTTATAAATATGTAGTTAAATTAAAGCTGTAATAATATATATATAGGCTTTCTAGATTACATAAAAGCAGTGTGTCAAATCCTGTTTCGCCCTTTTGAGTTCGTTACACTGACCGATTTTGTTAGCCACCAGTTGTTCAGACGTCTGTGCCGTATCCGAGTGAAATAATTATTTCCTCTGGTTTTCTACTCGAGCCTTTAGCCATTGAGCTACGCCGTACCCATTTTATATTTCCACGTTGGGAACAGTTCAAATTCTGATGATGGCATATCTACAGGTCCTGGCGCGAGAGCATAAAACTAGTGAACACAGAACGTATTAAGATCGAAAACCAAGACTACCACACTGACTTTACAATTGTGAACGCCGTCAGACGAGACACGGGAAAATACACACTCAGGGTCGAGAATTGCAATGGCTCTGACGCAGAGACTGTGGAGCTCACAGTTTTGAGCAAGCCTTCGTCGCCTAAAGGTTGGTAAAACTTTTGAACCCAAATAATATATTGTTACCCCGGGATTCAAACTCAGGAACTTAAGGCAATGCTAGGCAACACCTTTTACGGTTAGCTATTCAGAATCCAAACGTACTACTTTTAATGACAAAGGGGGGCAGACAAGCAAGTACTTCACTTGATGAAAGGTGAAAATATCCTAGGTAACAGTATAAACAAGATGACCTAGTTTGGCTTTGGATATTTATAAATCCCCAACCTGAAACCAAAATGCGATTAAACTTTTTCATCTATGAATGGCAATTCGTGTACCGGAAGGCATTTCGATCTTATTACCACCCTTAGCTTACCTCGACTACAGTCTGACGAATTACTATAGTAAAAATATAAAAGAAAAAAACAATACCTTTTTTCTTATAATTGATTATATATTATTAATAATAAATTGCTAAATTAATAATTGATTTCTTATAATGAATCCTTTAGGTCCACTTGAGGTTACTGACATCCATGCCGAAGGCTGTAAGGTCAAATGGGAGAAACCAGAAGACGATGGTGGCTCTCCAGTTAAAGAATACGAGCTCGAGAAGATGGACCTGGCCACAGGAAAATGGGTTCGCGTTGGCAGGTACGAATCGTTATTCATATTAGAATAGAATATGTAGGGGAAAAGCCGGAGGACCTTGGGAAATATTTAATGAAACGAAAATTGAACGGAATTGCCATTATGACAAAATTTGATTTCCATAAAGAGGGTTATTGTTAGTTAATCTTAAAAGATAAGACATACCGTCGCGGACATATTTAAAATTATCTAAAAGGGAGGAACTATTTCATACATATTATTTGGGTATATTGAACCGTTTTCAAAGGGCACGCAACGGAACTTTCAAAGATTATTCAAATTCCCCGTTTTTTCCACATACCCCTCTGACAAAACATAACAAACAAACAAACTCTAGCTTTATAATATTAGAGATTTGAAAATTGAGCTTCAGCACATCCCAAGATCATCTTTTTTATTAAACTGTAAAAAGTACTTGTTTTATTTCCTTGGCGTTGTTAAAATAAATTGTAAATAAGTTTACTAACATATTTCGTATTTTGAGCCGTTAAAAGAAGTTTTTTAATGTTGTAATTTCTATTTTTTATTCTTATATTGATTTATTTTAAATGTTATTATTACTTCGCTTCCAGGGTTGCCGGCGACAAGAAACCACTGGAGATGGAAGTAACAGGCTTAGAACCAGGTCACCAGTACAAGTTCAGAGTGACAGCTGTGAACGACGAGGGCGATTCTGAACCGCTGGAGACGGAGAAAGCCATCGTCGCCAAGAATCCCTTCGGTATGTGTCTCATTGGGCTAACTTAAGGGTTATTCAATACTAACTGCCCTGGCAAAATAAAAATGATAAATACTAATGCGTAGAATAGTAATTTTGGGCATTCAAATTTGTTTTTGCAAATGTCCTCCCGATCTTCATTAACTGTGCTGTTAAGTGTTACCCACGACGCCTCTTGCCGTCGCTAACCTTAAAAGAGAAATATTATACTGTCTTTGAAATTTTTTAGATCATAAAGAGGTATAATTCTTTTATATTTTGGTTGTATTGAACCGTTTGCGCAGCGTACGCAACGAAATCATTCCAACATTAATAATTTTTCCTGTTTTATCCACGTTTACCACTGTTTTTGCGCTCTTATGATCGTAGCCTGTTTTATAACGTTGAGCCTTCCTCGATAAATGTTCTAAGTAAAACAAAATATTTTTACAATTCAAACAGTTGTTCTTTAGATTAACGCGTTCAAACAAACAAATTCTTCGGCTTTATAATACTTCTACAATTAGGAGGAATGACATAAGAAACTTCAAACATTAGTACTAAATTTTAAAACGTAATAAACTTCGAACACCTATTTACACTGAAAAAGAAATTTACGCCACAGGCGGGACTAGAATCGCCAACCATAGCGTTCCGCGCTGCTGCTCTAACCAATTTAGCTAACGCGAGATTTGTATAATGCCACACTGCAATAACTTACGAAAAATATTTTCAGATATAATATAATTTAATTAATAACTGTTTTTGATGCAAACTGACCAATATTTAATTTTTTTTTGCCGTTTTCCTCAAATAGTCATGTATAGTCATAACTGGATCTTAGGGCTTCGTACTGAAAATACTTTTTATATATAGTTCTTATTTTATTTTTATATCATTACAGATGTCGCTGATAAGCCCGGAAACGTTGAGGTCGCTGATCACGACAACCAGAGCGCAGAGATCAAATGGGATCCACCAAAGTCAGACGGTGGGGCCCCCATTCAGAAGTACATCATACAAAAGAGGCCCAAAGGTGGAGACTGGGAGAATGCTGCCGAGGTTGGTAGTCTTTTCGATAATAGAGGAGGGCAGAGAAGCATGGGATTCTCTTGATAGTACGTGATTGATCATTCGATTCCCGCCGGCTCCAATTTTTTTTTTAATAATGGACGTTGTCTGGACAAGTTTGGATTTTGTATTAGGGATATTGAAATGCCTTTTTTTATTAAACTCTCTAAAAGGACTTTGAAACACTCCAACCGACTAAAAAATACTTAGTAAGAGTATGTTTACACCTACATGATATCTGTTTGTTGTTAAGTAGAAAAAAGTCACACAATGTTTACACACCTATTAATAATTTTCATCACACTTCTGCAGGTACCTGGCACCGCGACAAGTGGTAAAGTGGACGGTCTACCTGAGGGTGGCGAGTTTGAATTCCGCGTGATCGCAGTCAACAAGGCTGGACCCTCGGAAGCGTCAGAGCCAACTAAGATGACCACGATCAGACACAAAGCTTGTATGTATAATATCGACATTTGTGACCTATATTAGAAAACTTACTTCTCGTTCATTCCTTTAGACTCTGACGTTTTTTGAAACAAAAACTGTGTTTTTTTGAGTTTAGAATACTGGGTTGGTGGAAGGCATAAGTATTAAATTCAGAACTGTTTTTGTATTCAAATATCTGTATTGTTATAGACCATATCAAACACTATTAACAATGGTCGTTTCAAGTACTGTCGATAAATACGCGAGTAGTACAATAATAATAAAAAATTAACGATTTAAGACGCGAAATGTATCAGTAAACTTACCTTTGATTAATTATAACTACGACGACGATCGACGTTTCAGATGCTTCGCAGCAGTCCTAGTTTCCCCGTGACCACCCATTTTCTTTAAGTAATAATTTCACTCAAGAAATTGCATTAATTATTTGTTTGAATTTGCAGTGAAGCCTCGTATCGACCGAACCAACTTGAAGGCTGTAGCGGTACGAGCGGGAAAGCCTATCTTCTTCGACGTGAACGTGAGAGGAGAACCGGCACCTAAAGTGCAATGGTTCCAGAAATGGAAGGACGTCGAAAAAGAGGTAAGTGACGTCTTGATTGTAACTTTGTATTTCGTATGTATATATATTTCCTCAGACATACGGAAAAAATATTTGTGCGATGTGCAAGTGTTATATTAAATACTGTCTATAGTTTACGCGAGTAGTACACATTTAAATAAAACACTTTAACGGTTTAAAACGCGATATATTAGTTAAACTTATTTGAAACTGATTTTTAATTTAAATTTAAATAAAACACTTTAACGGTTTAAAACGCGATATATTAGTTAAACTTATTTGAAAATGAACCTCCCCGTGACCACGGCTGCTGCAAAGCATCCGAAACGTCGGGCCGAAGTTAAAAATCATTTTCAAATAAGTTTAACTAATATATCGCGTTTTAAACCGTTAAAGTGTTTTATTTAAATGTGTACTACTCGCGTAAACTATAGACTGATTTTTAACTTCGGCCCGACGTTTCGCATGCTTTGCAGCAGCAGTGGTCAGGAGTGAGACTGCTGCTGCAAAGCATCCGAAAACTATACTGAACTAATATATCGCGTTTTAAACCGTTAAAGTGTTTTATTTAAAAGTGTTATATTCACAATAATAAAATACAAAAATGTAATCCTCCGCTTCCGCTATGTAATAAAAAAAAAAAATCTTATAATAGCAATGAAGTTATATTTGCTATTTGCTTAGCATTTGGGTGAGAGGTCGGTTGCTTCGAATCCTAGAACTTCCCTTAAAAAAATTATTAAAAAAAAATATTTGTGCTTCATGCCTTATATACAGGTAATAAGGGATATTTAAGTTTTGTAGTTTGCGCGAGTAGTATACAATTAAATAAACCACTTTAACGTTCATAGTTTAAGCGTTAGTTAAAATAATTTTCAAGTTCAAAGTTTTCAAGTAATTATTATATTTTTGTCTTTAGGTCACGGAGAATGTAATCAACGTGGATTACAACACGAAATTGGACATCAAGGATTCGGTTCGCGCTATGACCGGCACATACCGTATCCTAGCTACCAACGAACACGGCAAGGACGAAGCTGAAGTCGAGATCACAGTACTGTCCTCGCCAAGCAAACCTGGTGGTCCACTAAAGGTTACAGATGTCACAAAGAACGGATGCAAACTGGCGTGGAAGAAGCCGGAAGATGATGGCGGTAAGATAGTACTCTAACATTCTTTGAAGCTGTGTTAAACTTAAAATTAAAGCAGTTAATAATTGAGGCCGTTAGAGGCAGAGTTACTTAACTGCAATTTTATGACTTGACTTATTTATATTTTTATAGTCTACAAATGTTTTTCCAGAGCACAGTGGCTGAAAATTGTTAACATAATTCTTACACAAATAATAGGACAATTTCATTATCGCTTTAGTTAATTGCGCATTTTAATTTTCCACCTTACTGAACATCATTTGTTTTTGATTAGGTCACTATGCCCCTAGCAGCCTCAATTGAACTTGTTATTTAAATCTTTTAAACAAGACAACTAATAGAAATAATTGATTAGTAGCGCTAAGGGCGTGATATAGGTCGTTCTAAGTTTGTTACGATTGTAAAATTAAAAAAAATATATGATCCCAACGTTTATCTTATTGAAAAATTGTATCTTATCCAGGTAAACCCGTAACCGGGTATGTGGTTGAAAAGTTAAACAAAGCAACCGGCCGGTGGGTGCCTGTTGGCAAGACTGATGACACAGAAATGGATATCAAGGGATTACAAGAGGGAGAAGAGTACGAGTTCAGGGTTAAGGCAGTCAACGATGAAGGAGAGTCTGAACCTTTGAAGACAGACCACTCGATCATCGCCAAGAATCCATACGGTAAGAAATACAATTTAAACTTGACAATCTTTTCATAAGAGACTCTGTAATAAATCTACTTACTGTAGCTTGTACTACTTATACTATAGCTTAAACAACTTTTGCACCGCAGGTATGTTTAATTTAAAAATGTTGTATTAATTTTAAAACATTACAGCAACATTATTATTAAGTTTGATGTGATTTGATGTTTTATTTGTGAAATTATAAAGAAGATTTATAATTTCAGAACTGCGAAGCATTTGATTATCCAATAAGAACGAATCATTGTTGTTGTAGTTTAAAGTAAAATTAAAAAGTTTAAATCCTTTATTCAAGTAAAAGTAAAGTATAAGATCACAGCATAACTTAAGTAAATGATCGTATCGCCTTACCACCTCAGATATTCCTGGAAAGCCATCCGTCCCGACTATTGATGACTGGGATGTAGACCGCGTGGACTTGAAATGGGAGGCGCCCAAGAACACCGGTGGTGCACCCATTACTGGTTACATTATTGAGAAGAAGGACAAGTTTGGAACTTGGCAAGAAGCACTTGTCACTACGGTAAGCGAATGTTCAAAAGACTTAGATATGGTTACATAAGCTTCCGGTTAACTTGATGAAAGGTGAAACGTCAGCCACATAACATCTCAAACAAAATGCGCTGTTGATCTATATTGACGATTAAGCTTCGCGAGATTAAACTTCCCAGTTCTCTCATCTTCGGGCGGTAGTTCGTGATTTCGACGGACGGAATTTCGATAGTCCTCCTACCTCTCTCTATGACCTCTATCTTGGCTTAGAGGCAGTTCAAATTCATTAGATACATGTTGGACCTGGTGAGGATCGAATCAAGGCTCAAAATTTATTAGCAATGCATACGTTGCTTTCATTCGACTAAGGAGCTTCTTAAGATATATAAAAAAAGCAAAGACACTTATATAGCAAATGTGTACATTCTAGCAGTAAAATGCGCTAAGGAATCAGACATAAAGAGGTCTGAATATTTTCACAGACACCAGAATGCAAAGCCCGTGTGCCAGATCTAAAAGAAGGCAACACGTACCAGTTCCGCGTGAGAGCTGTTAACAAGGCGGGTCCAGGAGAACCGGGCGAGCCAACTCAACCACATCTTGCTAAGGCCCGATTCTGTAAGTACTTGTGTAGTTAATGTAGCCCCAAATTCTGGTATGGTACACTAGGTACCGGACATTGATAACCTTAACGCCAAAAGGACGTAAGTAATATATATTTAGTAGAATCTATCACGCTTTGTCTGCTTGAAGTAGGAAATTAAAACACAAAGTTTGTGGTTTACGTGAGTTATGCACATTGAAAACACTTGTAACGGTTTAAAACACCAAATATATTAGTTAACATTATCTATTTATCGTTGTACTTATCGTTTCGGATGCTTAGAAACAGCTATGGTCACGGAAAAGGTGTTTCATTTAAATGTGAAGAACTATTCGTGTAACATACGAACAATATTCAGCTAAGTTTTTTTTTATTTATTTGTAGTACTAAAGGAATATGTGTTAATAGTTGTTGTATTAAACGTAACACTTTTTACCGTTTTAAACGCCGCATCTATTTATTTATGAAAATGTTCATCAATCTCGCTACTTAGTCACTGCAGATAAACATCAATGGCATACCTAATCAAATCAATATTAGATACTGTCTATAGTTTACGCGAGTAGTGCACATTTAAATAAAACACTTGAAAGGTTTAAAACGCGATATATTTGTAAAAATCATTTTCAAATAAGTTTAACTAATATATCGCGTTTTAAACCGTTTCAATATTAGTTTTAATTCTTATTCATAAAAAAATAATTTATCATTCAACAGTGAAACCGCATATCAACCGCGACAAAATGGTCGCCATACGAGTCCGGGCTGGAACCACCATTAAGTTGGATGTCGATATCAAGGGTGAACCTCCACCGACGAAGACCTGGAAGTTCGCAAACAAGGTTTGTAATAAGACTCTTTTTACGATTATCTTTACCACTATGAAACTGAAGAGTTTGTTTGTTTGAAGACGCTAATCTCAGAGAGTACTAGTTCGAATTGAAACAATATTTTTGTTGGGTCGAAATGTTATTGGCTATAAAACATCACAATGCCACCGATAGGAACGAAGATACAGATGACAAAATGTGGTACGCGGATGATGTCGCGGATATAGCTAGTTTATTTATATATATACGAATAAGTACTAGTATCCTTTACAATTTTATCACCTTATAATTGAATGCTTTAATCGTTTTTCTCATGACTATATAAAAAAAACATTTACTGTCTCTTTTAAATATTATTGTCGTTTTGTAAGAAAAATTGCCTTATTTCGATTCAAAATGTAAGTTTACCACATAAATAATGAACAAATAATTGTTCTTAAAAAGCAACCAAAAGAAATAATGAGTCGTAGATATAATAAAATGGATACTAAAGAGTTCAATTTTAACTTTATTTTTTCAGGTCATAGAGAACGGGCCTGGCGTGAAATTGGAAAATGAAGACTACAACACCAAGCTTCAGATCTCTGAGTCCTCGTGGAAGAACACTGGTATATACACGCTCAAAGCGGAGAATGATTCGGGTGTGGACGAAGCAACTGTGGAGATTACAGTGCTCGGTAGGTGGAAAAAAAATGATTCAAAATTCTTTACAATTAAGAAAGACACCTACCTATTTAAAGATAAGAGAAATTATCGGTATATCCAAAGTCATAAATAGCCGATAGCCCATCAGTCCTCCTACCCTCCATCATAAAGAAAGTAGTTGATCAGACAATTGTGTTCTAGTAGTCAGACAATAGTCTTCTACCCAAATGCGGATCCAGGGGGTAGGGGGAGGCTCATGGCCCACTGGATCCGCCCTTGGTTCTACTCGAGCGAAACATTTTATACACTATAATTTATATAATTAACTAAAAATAATGTCTTATATTACAGACAAGCCCGGTAAACCGGAAGGTCCCCTCGAGGTGTCCGATGTCCATGCAGAGCATGCGAAACTCTCATGGAACAAGCCAAAACACACTGGTGGTTTGCCACTCTCCGCATACATCGTGGAGAAGATGGACACGATTACCGGCAAATGGTCGCCGGCTGGTACCATCGATCCGGATACTACTGAGGCCACTGTTACTGGTGAGTAATTTGGGGCTTGGATTATAATTATTAGGGTTCCGTGAGCAAAAAGAAAAGTGTTACTATAACCACTTAAAAGAAAGTAGTTTGTAGTTTACCGAAACGAAACGCGTATTTTAATGGTTTAAAACGCCAAATGTTAACTAATTTACATGATCATTACATATTATATTGGGGACAACCTCCAAGTTCAGTCCACCCACGACCACGGCTGCTGCAAAGCATCCGAAACGTTTGTTAATGTTATTGACAAATTGATAGTACTACAGCATGAGGTTTCGGATGCAGCAGTCGTGGTCACGAGGATTACCACTGTTCCTAAGACCCTTCTATCCGTTTTTTATTAGGTATCTTATTTAGATGATGTGCGCGATAACAACTTATATTTTTAATTTAAAGTTTTAAAGATCGTTCATATAATATATTATTAATATCAATAGATAGACACTTACAATGCAAATAAGTTTCACGAATCTTAGTTGATAAATTTTTTGATGTTTTATAGATAATCTGACTTAACTGATTTATATCTCACGCTCATGTCTCTCTTACAGGTCTTGAGCCCGGTCACACATACCAGTTCCGTGTGAAGGCCCTTAACGAAGAGGGAGAATCAGAACCCTTGGAGACAGACCATGGCATTCTTGCTAAGAATCCGTACGACGTTCCGGCCCCACCAGGTCTACCGGACATCGTGGATTGGGATGAGAAGTCGGTGAAACTGAAGTGGGAGCCACCCATCAGAGACAACGGAGCACCAATTACTGGTTATGTAATTGAAGCTATGGACAGGGACCGCGGGGAGTTCGTCAAGGTAGGTCTTAGTCGTAGTTCTATTTCACTTTTCATTGCATCATTAGATGTAACTTTAACTTTGAGTTCAAATGAAGCATCAGATTTGGTTAACAAAAGTACCTTAGATTAGAAATCATGTATGATTTCCAGCGTTGAAGCGAGTTTATATTATCAGTATTATTAGTGTCCACACTTATGGCTTGGAACTTGAAGTATATTTACTTGATTTACGACGACGACGACGACGACCTGACATTGCGATAAATTTACTTATATATTTCACGTCTGAAATCAATAAAAGTGCTCTGTATTATCTCCTAACATGTTTTTAACATGCGGCTCCTGTCTAACATACTTTTTATACAGTTGAAAACGTTCGTAACGTAGTAATGAAATCGTGTCATTTTTTTAATATCCATAAACCCGATTACGTTTATTTAAAATCCTGTTGCACCAGATTTATAATTATTAAAAGCTATTGATTGTTCACAGATGGCTGAGGTCCACGGCAATGTCTGCCAAGGCACAGTGCCCAAATTGGAGGAGGGTAATCAATACCAATTCCGTGTGAGGGCCATCAACAAGGCGGGTCAATCTGAACCTTCTGAGAACACCAACTGGCACACCGCTAAGCCAAGATTCTGTAAGATTTTTGCAGTCTATAGATCGTGATAGTATTAAAATGAACTCTCTGCCAAACTGATCACTCAGTCAGATAATTTTCAATAGTAGGCGTTAAATTATGGAAAACCTTTGGATGGAAAGCTCACCAAACGTTAATTGGTCAAAAGAAAATTACAGCGTTTAAAAACTAATAGTATATAATATAAAGATTACGCGAGTAGTTCTCATTTGAAAAAAAAAACTTTTACGGTTTAAAACGCGATTAGTTGAACTTTTTGAAAATTAAAATAACTACTGCCCGACGTTTCGGATGCTTTGCAGCAGCCGTGATCGGGGAGAACGGGCGCCTTAGTTAAAATAATTTGGAAATAAGTTTAACTAACATATATCGTGTTTTAAACCATTAGTGTTTTATTTAATTACAAAGTTATTTATCTTGCGGTGATAAAACAAACGTAAAATTCACTTTGTGTTAAAGTTACTAAGTTTGTATATAAACTACTATAATATAATCTGTGAAATACTTACAGTGAAACCAAGAATCGACCGCACCAACCTCAATCCCATCACGGTAAAAGCTGGTCTTCCCGTGTCTTTGGATGTCAAGGTATTCGGTGAACCCCCGGCTACTGTCACTTGGCACTTCAACGGCCAAGAGCTCGCCAACCGTGAGAACTTGGAAATCATCAACGTTGACTACAATACCAAGTTTTTGATGATGAAGAGCAAACGCGCTAACAGTGGAAAGTATGTGATTAAGGCCAAGAATGAAGTTGGAGAGGATGAGGCTGAGGTGGAAATTCTTGTTGTTGGTAAGTAGCTGCTTTGATAAAAAAAAATCGTATAAAGAAGTATCAACTTAAAAAAACTTTTAAGTTAAACAAAGATTTAAAGATTACAAAAAAAGATTTGACATAATCACACAAGTTTTACTAGTGTAGTCCTTTCATTTGATACCCATATTGAAGGGTTAAGGAAAACTATTTAATCCGCCATTTTGTATCGGCGGCCATCTTGGATTTATAATGTTATTAATTATATTGTATTGTCATCTACATTAAATGTGTGTAAATAATTTCAGATAAATCTGACAATGGTGCTAAAATTTCAATTTCTAATTTTGACCCAAATAAATAAATTCCCTCCGGGTCGAGCTAAATAAAACCGTTTAAAAAGAACAAAATTCGTTTTGAACAGAGAAATGATTTGGATTCAAATTAACAAAATCTTAAGATGATATATTGTTTTGGTTCTATATATTAATTCTAATTATGTATTGGCCCTAATTTAACTTTGTAACCTTTTTTCTATAGGTAAACCATCCAAGCCAAAAGGTCCGCTGGACGTTTCTGACGTCACAAAGAACGGCTGCACATTGACGTGGCAGAAACCTGAAGATGACGGTGGTTCGCCGATTGAATACTATGAAATTGAGAAGCTAGATCCACTTACTGGTAAGTTAATGTTTATTATTTCTAAAATATCAATAACAAAACATTAAGTATTTGTTTTTTCATACATTTTTCTATGTCATGACAGTTGGGAACACAATTGAACACTGAACTAAAAAATTAAATATAGAAATTAAAAAATCTAATCTGATATCACTTATAACTATTATTATTGTATTATTTCATAACCAACCAAACAAACTGTAAAATTTACAGTTTATTTGGTTATATTTAATATATCGCGAGCTCACTCCATACATCATAGTAAATGTTCTTAAAGGGTACTTTTATGTGTTTGTGAAATCCCGTTTCCCCCTCGTGGGGCATGGGGCGAACACATTTCTGTGTCTGTATAATCGATCCTATTAACAGGCAAGTAGTTTATTAGATTTATGTGCCCTGCCTGACCATAACAATTTTTGTTTCCCTGGAATTCGAACCCAGGACCTCTCGCGTTTAACGCAATGCTAGGCAACACGTTTAACCAGTTGGCTTCAGAGGCGGTCTAACACTTTTATGTACTGCATTTATATAGCTAAAATTTAAAGCAGCTAAATATATCGTCTCTGTTTTCAGGCCAATGGATACCATGTGGTACAGCGAAGGACTGCAAAGCGAACGTGGCTGGTCTGCAAGAGGGCAAACCTTACAAGTTCAGGGTGAAGGCTGTTAACAAGGAGGGAGAATCTGAAGAATTGGAGACTGATAAGACAATTATTGCAAAGAATCCCTTCGGTACGTTATTTTTTTAGATTAGAAGTGAAATGGCTAGGATCCCATTAGATGGAACAACATAAAACCTTTTGTTCTCGTAAGACAAGTATTGAAGACCAACGTTTTTATTGTCTAACCCAAATAATATATTTTAGACGAGCCTGGCAAACCTGGCAGACCCGAACCCCGCAACTGGGATAAAGACTTTGTCGACCTGGAGTGGTCTGCGCCTAAGGACGACGGTGGTGCACCAATCACTGGCTACATCGTCCAGAAAAAAGAAAAGGGTAGCAGGTAAGATTTACATAACTTTATGTATATTGAATTTAGTTCTGTTGAAATGCGCTCGTTGATCTAACGATAGCTATATATGGCTTTAACCGGTCGTGGGTTCGACCCCCACTGGGGATCCATGATGTTCCTCGTCAATTTATAATTTTTCTGCAACATTCGGTAGAAATATTTCAATTCGATCCGAATAAAACCACCGTCCACATATGAAAAATCCGCACAGTTTCAGTGTCGATCTGTGCATTCCTAATATCCAAAACCAAAATGGGTCGATAGCACATATTGACGATATGGCTGGACCATTTTACCTTCATCAATGAACACCAAGATTATCTGTCATCTATAATTTAAAATACATCTTTCAGGACATGGACGGATTGTCTACGAACAACTGGCGATCGGCCAACTGGTCATGTCACAGATGTGGAGGAGGGCCACGAGTACCAATTCCGCGTGATCGCGCTGAACAAGGCTGGACCTGGCGAACCATCAGAGCCCAGCAAATCGGTCATTGCTAAACCTAGGTTCTGTAAGTATCACCTAAACAAATATAATCATTATAATAACCATCAAGTCGACAGCTATATTTAACCTTAACAAAAAACTGATAATTTATTTACTGCCTGTAGTTTTCCCGAGTTCACGTTGAAATAAAACACCTTTGACAATTGAAAACGCGTAATATATTAGTTAAATAAGCTAATATATTTCGCGTTTTAAACCGTCAAAAGTGCTTTATGTAACAATGACTTATTTGTCATAGAATCTAACAACTAAAATAAATATTTCTATTTAATTATTATAATTCAAATAGAATATTTTTAAATTTATCAAATAATTATAAATTCACTAAATTATAACAGTATATTAATTTATGATACATTATCAATGAGATGATACTATATGGAACTAATCTTTTAGTGGCCCCACACATCGACCGAAAGAACTTACAAAAACGCAAGATCAAACTCGGACAGACACTCAAGTTTGAAGCCGACGTCAAGGGTGAGCCCGAACCGGCCATCACCTGGACTCTCAATGAGAAAGTTCTGAAAGCTGACGAGCGACTTAAGATCGACAACCAGGACTACCACACATCGTTCACACTGCAGAAAGTCACTAGAGCTGACGGTGGGAAATACACAGTGACTGCTAAAAATGATAGTGGCGTTGACACGGTTGAGATTGAAGTTATGGTTGTTAGCAAACCTGCTAAACCAAAGGGACCCCTCAAGGTTAGTAAAAAATTCTACAAAGCCAGTAGTAACAATACAAAATATATTTAAGAGCCAATTTTATATTTAAATAAAACACTTTAACCGTTTAAAACGCGATATATATTAGTAAAACTTATTTGAACATATTCACATACTTATATCACATACGGCCCGACGTTTCGGATCCTTTTTCGAAAAATACCAACTGCAAGCGAACAGATGGCGCTGGCGTAAACGTTTTTACATTGACGTCAGAGAAACGCTCCATCTTTAGTCTCCCCGTGACCACGGCTGCTGCAAAGCATCCGAAACGTCGGGCCGAAGTTAAAAATAATTTTCAAATAAGTTTAACTAATATATCGCGTTTTAAACCGTTAAAGTGTTTTATTTAAAAACCCGTCATAATACAAAATGTATTTTGAAACCAATTTTATTATTAAATTTTTCCCAGGTATCTGACGTAAAAGCGGACGGCTGCAAGCTTAAATGGGAAGCGCCAGAGGACGATGGTGGTGAACCTATCGAAAATTACGTGGTAGAGCGTATGGACACAGAAACCGGTCGCTGGGTTCCTGTTTGTACCACCAAGACCCCTGAGGCTGATGTTACAGGATTGAATGAGGGCAAGGACTATCTGTTCCGGGTAAAGGCCGTTAATCCGGAGGGCGAGAGTGAGCCGTTGGTTACTGAAACGGCTACGACTGCCAAGAATCCCTATGGTAAGTTATTTATTGATAAATATAAGGGACGCAACAGAACAAAAGTTTCAGATTCTACTAGATCTACATTGATGAAAACTTATTTTTACATCCTATCTGTACGCGAGTAGTGCATATTTGAATAAAACACCAACGGTTTTAAACGCAGACGGAACATATGGCGCTAGCGTAGCAGTTTCTTACTTTGACGTCAGAGACACCCTCCGTCTTTAGTCACCCTGACCACGGCTGCTGCAAAGCATCCGAATAGTCGTGTCGTAGTTAAAAATAGTTTTTTATATAAATCGCGTTTTAAACCGTTAGAGTGTTTTATTTAAATTATTTTTACATGATTTAATTAAACATGCAAGATTGAGATATGTAAATGATAAACCATCTGATCTTTTGCTATGATATATGGCTAGTAAAGTAGTATTGTATGTAGATATTTAGTGATACAAGTAGTATATATAATATTATTTATTTACATCATTAATGAAATTTTATAATCCTATACTTTTTTGTTATGCCAACATATCGGAGTAGAATGGTAAGGAGTAAATTGTACTTTATTTTTAATATTGCGATCCTTATTATATTGTGGTAATACAGGCGAACCAGATGCTCCTGGCAAACCGGAATTCAAGGACTGGAGCGCGAACCATGTAGACCTAAAATGGGAGAAACCTGCCAACGACGGTGGTGCACCCATTACGGGGTATATCGTGGAAAAGAAGGACAGGGATACCGGCAAGTGGGTGAAGGCCGTTGAGGTGAGGTGTTGCTTAATTCACTTTTTTTTATAAATAGAAGAGAAAGAATATTCTCTTCTTTTTATCATTCATACAAAATTATTAAACAGGTCACTTTCCTCTTGTAGAGAATGGACATACATTTTTTTGTTCGACTGATTGATTTTATTTACACTACTACAAATTCCTAACAGACTTCTATCCCTGTCCGATCGAAACTATTATGTACTGTCTGTAATTTATTTACTTGAGGAATACACATTTAAATGAACGACTTTAACGGTTTAAAATGTGATTTATATTAGTTAAACTTATTTGAAAATTATTTCAACCACGGCCCGACGTTTCGCCAAATACCATCTTCGACGCAACAGATGGCGCCAGTCTCGCAGTTTCTTACTAGACGTCAGAGACACCATGTTTAGACTCCCTTTGACCACGGCTGCTGCAAAGTAACCGAAACGTCTGGCCATAGTTAAAATACGTTTAACTAATAAATGTCGCGTTTAAAACCGTTGTGTTTTATTTAAACGAAACTATTATGGCCAATGTATGTTATATGAATAGTGAATAGTGATTTGAATCTAAAGTTTTTGCGTCTGTAATCAAGCAATGCTAATCAATGTAAGCACGGAGCCTCTCAGTTTAAAGACACGCTTAAATTCTAGGTACCCGGCAACAAGACAGATGCCCGTGTACCGGATCTGATAGAAGGAAAGACCTACCAGTTCCGAGTGAAGGCTGTCAACAAAGCCGGTCCCGGCAAACCTTCGACTGCCACAGACAACCTTCTTGCTAAGGACAGATTTGGTAAGAAATAGAAACAAGTATTGCATGTACGCGAGTATACATTCGAATAACTTTTAACGGTTATAAACGCAACATCTCTAGCTTTTGTAAAAAAAGTTCATTTACTTTGCGTTTTGAACCCTTAAAATTGTTTTATTTAAATAAGCTATATTAATATCAACAAGATTATTCTCGATAAGTCTCTGCTATATCAACAAAATTTGACGAGCAATGTCGTTTATCAATGTCCTAATAATTATATGATTTGTTTTATAGCTCCACCACGTATAGATCGCACTAACATGCGCGATCTTACATTGAAGGCTGGACAAAATATTAGATTGGATATCAAGGTCACGGGTGAACCTGCCCCAACAAAGACCTGGTAAGCAAACATAAAATTTGGGATTCCAGGATCCAAGGATCTAAAATTGACCATGTTTTTTATACCTTTATAAATTAAAAATCGATTATAAATAAAAAACAATTACGACACGGGTAGGACTTGAACCGGCGTGCACGGCGTTTCGTGTTGTTGAGCTACCGTGTCCTACAAGTAATCGTAAATTTTTTTAACCGTTTGATAATGCACCTCCCGGAATTTTTTGACAATTTATAATCGATTCTTAATTTATATAGTGTCATAATATGCAATAACATGTTAAAAATAATAAACTATTCAATATCTTTTTTAACTCCACTAAGGTATTTTAGGATTTTCTTTAAAAGCCCTAAAGCTCAAAATTACATTTGAAAGAAAGGACTAGAACTTATTTTAATTCCACTATTAAGCATTATTTTTTCTGCCCCTAGGTTCCACAACAAAGAGCGCCTATCTACGCGAGATGATCTATCTGTAGACGTAGAAGACTACAGAACCAAATTGTCCGTTGTGGTAGCCTCTAGGAAGCACAGTGGTACTTATGTCCTCAAAGCTGAGAACAGCAGCGGAAAGGACGAAGCCTCCATTCAAGTGATTGTTTTGGATGTGCCTGCTAAACCTGAAGGACCGCTGAAGGTAAATTTATAACCATATATTTTGTATGGTGATGGTGTTATTTATGACAGATGTTTGTCACAGTAAATGTTATAATATCGTGGTGATAATTTTGAAGTTATCAGATATTGATGTGAAAAACAACAAGAAAATCGTAGGTATTATTTATTATCTGTATATTTCTCATGAAATACTCAAAACTCGACTTTACATTACTATTCGTATTAAAGTTTAAAGATATAATAAAAACAAAAAACGATACAAAATCACTTAAGGATACTATACAATCAAAAATCGTTAAAAAAATAAAATTCAGTTAAGCATTACGCCTTTTGTACATATTAATCGATACATAAGTAATCGAACTGAGAATTGTCAATTGTCAAATTTATTGTCAAACAATACTTAACGTAAAAAGTAAACAACTTCAAGACCGGCAACATCTAAAATTATTATTTTCTTCGTTCATGTTGACTAAGATATATTTAGTGTTGTATAAACATAATCGACGTGAGTTACCCTACCATTTCTGTAAAAAAAAATTTTTGAAAATGACCACATCATATTATTTATCAATTCCAGATATCTGACGTACATAAAGAAGGTTGCACACTGAAGTGGAACGCGCCTCTTGATGATGGTGGCGCGCCGATTGATCATTACCTTGTGGAGAAGCTTGATACAGAAACCGGAAGATGGCTCCCAGCTCTCAAGACCAAGGAGCCAAAAGCTGAGGTCGAGAACTTAGTTCCTGGACATGAGTACAAGTTCAGGGTTTCTGCTGTTAATAATGAGGGTGTCTCTGAACCATTGGAGGGAGATCACTCCATCATTGCCAAGAATCCATTTGGTAAGTTTTCTATATAAAAGCTTATGTATGTACTTAGTTGTGGTAGACAATTAATAAAAAATCGTAATATACTTTTGATTTACTTGGTTTGCCTAAATTATGAATTTGGCATTAGTCTCATTGCTTTTTAAATGGTTACAGATGAACCAGGCAAACCAGGAACTCCGGAAGTTGTTGACTGGGACAAAGATCATGTGGACCTCAAGTGGCAGAAGCCCCTCAAAGATGGTGGAGCACCCATTACTGGTTATATCATTGAGAAGAGGGAAGTCGGCTCTCCCAAATGGGTTAAAGCTTGTGAGGTCAGTCTATGAAATATTTCTGTAAGGAAGCAGAGGCTTGCATTTTTTTATGTATTAATTTAGATAGATCCACTAACGATGTATTGTTAATGGGGAAATGGGTGAAATAGTTAGCTGATGGTTTGGACTGATTACCCAGCCTTCTACACATTCTACAAAATAATAATATAAATTTACATGCTACGTATATATTACTGTTCCTTAAAAGTCATTTTTTAACTGAAATTAAACAATTGAAGGTTGTTATAAGCGAGTGTATAATAAGGAGTACATAGTTTGGCACAAATCTTAATTAATCTTGACTAATAAACCAGAGTATTACAAGTATTCAAGTTTCAATTTAAGATATTATTATGATTACTAATACAACAAAAGAACCTAAACAATAACTTTGCATATATTTTTGGGTGAAATACAAAAATACAAATTATTAACCCTAAAGGTATTATGGAGGTTAGTAAGCCTAAAAAAAGGGGAATTAAAAGCAAAACAGTTCTACAAAGGGGGGTTGATGGTGAGCTATGGGCTTTCTTGGGTATCTAATGGGATATATATATTTGTTTCTTTAAGTATTTTCTTAGGCAACTCCTTATTTGTACTTATTTTCATATAAATATTATATAATATAAGTAAAATGTTCTGATTATGTAGCATATTTGTTATTTCTTCATGTGTAGGTTGGACCTAATGATAACGAGAAAGCTACAGTTGGTAACCTCGATGAAGGCACTGAATACGAATTCAGAGTTAGAGCAGTAAATGAAGCTGGACCCGGAGAGCCAAGCGATGCAAGCAAATCTGTGACATGCAAGCCACGAAGATGTAAGTTTTGCCATGTGTTAAAAAAACGTTATGATAGCACGTTAGTTAAGAGGTTTTTAATGAAACCACCACGTGGGAAGCACATTTATGTATCCATTGCACTGAACAAGTTAATTTTTTATTTATTTATTTAATAACATAGCAATAAACAATTTATTGTTTCTCGGAGATTCAAACCTAGGTAGTTATATGCTTCAATGGAAGGCAACCAGATTAACTTAGCTATTGATCTTTTTTCTTATTCCTAGATGTTAACGGTTATAACAATTAAAACAAATTAGAAAAATGCAAACAACAATTATACAAGCCATTTAATTTGATTTTGTATTGATGTCTTGGCCACATAATTTTTTTTTTTTTTAAAAATGAATCATGAAATGAATTCAAAATTTTTATTGCCCTCTTATAACATTAACTGTAAATAAGTAGTGAATTGCAAAAATTAATAATATATAAATAATAAATAGATAACAAATGCCAATCGGTACCAGTCTGAGTTGTGCTGCTGAATGCAAGTCATACTCAGCAGCGCTGATTTTGTTACTTTACTTAAGTTGTTTAGTTGGTTACTAACAGTTTTCAATATAAATTACAGTGGCACCGAAGATCGATCGTCGTAGCCTGCGCACGATTAAAGTTCGTGAGGGTGAACCGATCTCATTGGATGTTAAGGTCTCCGGTGAACCACCACCAGATGTTACATGGTCTCTTAACGGCAAGATGGTCACCAGCGGCAATGGACTCAAATGTATGTACAATTTTGAATAATCATTTACAGACATTTATGACATACTAGCTGTGTCAGCGACTTTGTACGCATAATAGTTGTGTTGAACAGTTTTTGTATAATTAATAAATATTGTTTCATATGTTATAGTGGTTAATGTGCCTTACTTGAGCAAGTACCAACATTCGAGTCCACGTCGCAAGGATTCTGGCACATACAAGATCCAGGCTATCAACAAGTACGGATCAGACACAGCTGAAGTTGAAATTACTGTCGTTGGTAAGTTTTTGTTTTTTTTTCTGCGTGGAATGGAGGATAAAGAGTTAATACTAGCTGCATAATAAAATAAGAATGATTTGACTGTACGAGTCGTACGCTTTCAGTTAAAACACGTTTAACGGTTTAAAAACGTGTCCATGGCTGCTGCAAAGCATTCGAAACATCGAACCGTAGTTACAATGATTTGTAAATAAGTTTAACTATTACATTTCGTATTTTAAACCGTTAAAAGTGTTTTATTTAAATCATTAGATGTTAAGCGTTTCTCGAACCTAGTAATTACGATGGACGCAGACCTTAAAATCCTTAATAACTAAATTATTACTATTGTATTTAAGTTCATAATTGTTTTATTTAAATTATCACCTTTACATACGATTTATAAAGATTTAATTTTTTGCGCAGGTAAGCCAGACAAACCAGAAGGCCCGCTCGAGGTGTCGGACATCCACAAAGAAGGATGCACGCTGAAATGGAAACGGCCCAAGGACGACGGTGGTGAACCAATCGAAGCCTACCTGGTCGAAAAGTTCGATACAGAAACTGGATCATGGTTGCCAGTTGGCAAGACCATTGGAAATGTACCTGAAATGGAGGTACGTAATGCGCTTTAAATTAAAAATACGGTGACATCAATATTAATTTTGTGATTGTACGTTTTACACATATGGGTAAATCCTATTTTTCCCCTTGGGGCGTGGTGCATCCACATTTTTGTATCCGTTTCACTACTTTGTGCCTTGCCGACCGAAATCATATATTGTTGCCCGGGGATTCGAACGCAAAGCCCTTTTGAGCTTTTAGGCCATTCTAAGTAACACGTTAGGTCATTTAGTTACAGAGTAAAAAGGGCGGGTAGAGGATTATTTATCTAATTATACAAAATAAAACATAAAAAATACTCTGGCTGCAGACTTAGCAGTTTGCTGAAACACGCAATTAAAAAGAAGCTATGCTTTTAAAATATGAGATTAATTTATATTTACACACACCAAATATAGTTGTTTTAAACGCGATACATATATTACAACCCGCCGCTCCTTTTCTACAGCAGTATTCACAAGAGATAATAAAACTCCATTGCTATTGTATTAAAAAGGATTTTTTTTCTATGTAAGTACATATTATTAAAATATATTTACAGGTTGATGGATTAATTCCTGGCCACGAGTATAAGTTCCGCGTGAAGGCCATTAACAAGGAAGGTGAATCTGAACCACTGGAGACCTTCGGACCCATCGTCGCGAAGGATCCGTTCAGTAAGTTATTTCATCTTTATTTCTAATAAGAAAGAAATGGTAAGTTGACGGTGCATCTTATTTAGATGTTAAGCTCGTGGGTCTTATTCTGTTAAAAAGTGACTTGTATTATGGATTATCAGTTAATTAAAATCATGCAAAATTCATTTTATATATACAAGCATCAAAAAAACTCATTCATACACTCTTGCGCATACGCAGGCACACACGTATACACACATCATTCTAACATATCATTTCAAATTTGTAACTTATATTATATAGCCATGTAAAATGTTATTTCAATTGTAATTTATTTTCTTTTTAGGCTGTTGTAAACACGAATACTAAATAGAGAACGCGTGAGAAATAAATTTTGATAACTAATATATATCTATCAGCCCATTCAAACGTGTTTACATAAAACATCGGAAATATTCGGACTATAACTATTATGAATTGATTTTTTTAAATTACATTTCGGGGAATGTACATGTATATGTTGTAAACATTCGACGATGACGTGTAGGACACGGTATCACAATTAGTTAGAGCAACAGCACGGGATGCTGTGGATGCCGGTTCAAGTCCTGCCCGTGTCGTATTTTTTTTTTCAATTAAAAATGGATTTTTAATTTATATAGTTTAATCATGTGCAACAACATGTGAAAATATTAAAGCTTTCAAAAACAGTCTTGGTTAAAACCTACATACAGTTGAATTGACGAATTTTTGACCATTGCAGCCACTCCAGACGCTCCATCCGCACCAGTACCAGATGACTGGTCTGCCAACCATGTGGACCTCAAATGGGAGCCGCCCGTATCAGATGGAGGTTCACCTGTTATTGGTTACATCGTAGAGATGAAAGACAAGTACAGTCCACTTTGGGAGAAAGCAGTTGAGACGCACACACCAAATCCAGCTGCAACTATTAATGGGTAAGGCTTTTAATTTTAAGCAACAGCGTATCTGTTTTACTTTCCATCAAAAGTCTGTGCTCTGTCATAAAAAAGGGGGCTTCATCTGGAAAATCTGGTTATCAAATGGCTGGTGTGCATGTGGCATTCATATTATTCATTCGTAAACAACGGGTCACGAGTTCGATCCCCACAAGTTCCAAGAAGTTTCTACTCAATTTATAATGTTTCTAAAAAATTTTGGACTTTGTCTGGAAATATGGAAATAAAGTGGTACGGAATTTTCCATCCATGTCGCGAACCATCGTCCACAAGTGGAAAAGCCGTGAAATTTTATCATTCGGTTTTAGTCTGTGAATATCCGAATAACCTAAACCCATTGGTGGATAGCGCATCTTGTTGAGATATTATATGGTTGGAGTATTACACCTTCCATCCACTGAAACCCATAAAAAAGAAGTGCTTGGAAATAACATTAAAAAGATCTTAATAGACGCCTAACATCTTTATTTTCACTTCCAGCTTAATAGAGGGCAATGAGTACCAATTCCGAGTCATTGCAATCAACAAAGCTGGACAGAGCAAACCGTCTGAAGCGAGCAAGAACTTCGTGGCGAAACCTCGCTTCCTCGCTCCCAAGATTGACAGGCGTTACCTTCGTGACGTCACCCTTTCTGCTGGATCTACGCTGAAGCTGGAAGCTGCAATAACTGGAGAACCAGCTCCAGCAGTAGAATGGAGGTGAGGATTTTATTTAAACTAATAAATATAGCTGTAAAGTTAACGCTTATCTGAGAAACTAATAGTTCGAATAAAAAAAATATTTTTGTATTGGTCAGTGTTTATCGAGGAAGGCTAAACGCGCTGTGATTAATAGGAACAAAGAAACAGGGGGACATGTGGAAAAATCTCGGTTCTCGTTGTATTTACGGCGTTTAAAAAAATTTAAAACGTGTAAACGTGTAAAAGTTTAAATATATTAGTTTTACTTATTCGAAAGTTATTATAACCACAGCCCGACATTTCGGATGCTTGACAGCAGCTTTCATCACGGGGAAACTCCGAAATGTTGAGCCGTAGTTAAAATAATCTTCAAATAAGTTTAACTAATGTTATTCGCCGTTTAAACCAGTAAAGTGTTTTATTTAAATATGGCGAAATAGCAATTTCAGACAAAATTGGTCAAATGCGCCCCTAGTAGCAGCACCTACTAGAATCTAGTTATATGGCCTTAACTTAAAAAAAAGATTGTAAACTAGGTTTAAGCTAGCTTTTCAAAATGGCCGCTAAAACCTTAACCATTGTGTAACATAAACATTGTTGTAATGTATGCCTCTTGTTAATATAGATACCAGAATATGCCACTCCGTCCATCGAAGGCAGTCACCATCGATTCACCAGACTATTTCACCAAGCTTAGTGTAAGACCCGTAAGGAGAGACGATTCGGGCGAATATACCGTCACAGCTGCCAATTCAAGCGGGAAGGATACTGTTACCATCAACGTGCTGGTCACTGACAAGCCGAACAAGCCCGAAGGTCCTTTGCAGGTGGGTCTTTGAGTCTAAATCTTAAAAAGTCGGTAGCGCATTTTGTTGCTATTTATGGCTGGAATATTTCACCTTCCATCAGGTAAAACCCTTGTCTTCGCTCGCCTTTATGGCTTGTCTGTTCTTTTCTAAGATATAATAGGGCTACAGCATACCAAGTTGACCAAGAAGACAAGTATTTTTAATTTAGAACCAATTTAAAGTTTTAAATAAAAACACGTTCCTTTTAGATTTCCGATGTCCACAAGGACGGCGCAACGCTAAAATGGAAGAGGCCGAAGGACGATGGTGGTGCGCCAATCGAATATTACCAGGTCGACAAACTGGACACCGAGACTGGGGTCTGGGTGCCATGTGCTAGATCTGATGAGCCTAGTAAGATTTTCATCTTCTTTTAATGCCCTTTTAAATGGAAGAAGTGCAATTAAGCCCGTTTGTTTTCAGAATGCGACGTCACTGGGCTTACACCAGGCAAGGAGTACAAGTTCAGGGTATCCGCGGTCAACTCTGAAGGAGAGTCTGAACCGCTGGTCTCCGAGACTAGCATTGTCGCTAAGAACCCATACGATGAACCTGGTAAGTAAAACTATTAAAACTGGTTGAATTTTTTTGCTGATTTTCTTACTATATCAAAATAGTACTTATGTTCAATTTATAATATTATATTATCAGTTCGTATTACAACCACGAAATTATTGTCTTTAGTTGCGAGTAGTACATATTTAAATGAAACACTTCTGACTGTTTGAAACGCGAAACCTTAGGACTCGACGTTTCGTCGTACTTATTAAACATAAATTACTGAATAATCTTCGGTTTATAACCCCGTGTTCCATAGTGTTTTATTTTCCTATTTGATTTTACTATTGGAATTTTTTTATGCAGGTGCACCAGGAACTCCATCCGTCACCGATTGGGACAAAGACCACGTGGACCTTAAATGGACTCCACCGAAAGAAGACGGTGGGGCACCTATTGAGGGTTACATTGTGGAAAAGAAGGATAAGTTTGGAAACTGGGAGAAAGCATTGGAGGTACCCGCTGATAAGACCACATGTACAGTACCTGATCTTATTGAAGGGCAGACCTATGAGTTCCGGTAAGTATTTATGGAACTTAAGGATTTGTAGTTACAGAAAGTTTTATACAAACAAGAAGTAAGCAGAGGAAACACATTTTTGTTGTTTACTTATGGCGAGCTACCCTATTTTTTGGCAATTTGTCTTATTTGTATTTCTGACTCAATTCTTTTATTTCGTATTTAAATTCCAGTGTACGTGCTGTCAATAAGGCTGGCCCGGGTGTACCAAGTGACAGTACACACCCAATTGTCGCCAAACCCAGAAATTTGGCGCCAAAGATTGACCGGACCAATCTTATTGATGTTAAGATCAAGGTCGGACAGAAGTTTGCGTTCGATGTCAAGGTAAGATGTTTTCCTTTAAAAAATTAAACGGTAACCTAACCACCTTAAATCTCTACTAGACGCTGTTGACCAATTTTGGCTTTGAATATTTGGAAATCCACAGATTGTAATCACAAAACAATTACAGTTTACAATTTAGTATTCAGATTTCCAGACCAAGAACGCCATGTTTTGTAAAAACCATAAATTGATTATAAACTATTATTGTTTTGTCATAACGTATCATACATAACGTAGTTAGACATATATGTTTTACATTAAGTCATACAAGCTATCATCAGACAAGCCCGTAAAATGTTTAATATTGTGTTTTTCACCCTAAGGTATCTGGGGAACCTATGCCCGAAACCAAATGGTTCCTTGGCAAAAGGGAAGTTAAATCAGGCGGTGATGTCAAAGTACAGCATTCTGATTACAACACCAAGATTACTTGCAAGGCGGCAAGACGAGGTGATAGTGGAAAATACACAATCACCGCTGAGAACAGCAATGGAAAGGACGTCGCTGAAGTTGAAGTTATTGTTTTGGACGTGCCTAGTCCACCCGGAGGTCCACTCAAGGTTTGTACAAATCTCGTAATAATTCTTTATTTACTATGTTCATGTTGATCTGACCCTTCAGTAACAATATTAATGACTAATACTTACAGGTATCCGACGTGCACGCCAATGGTGCCAAGCTGTCTTGGAATCCACCAGCAGACGATGGCGGTCAGCCTATTGATAAATATATTGTAGAAAGAATGGATGAAGCAACTGGAAGATGGGTTAATGCTGGCGAAACCGATGGCCCCGCTACCAGCCTAGAAGTTGATGGACTACAGCCCGGACACAAGTACAAGTTTAGAGTTCGCGCTGTTAACAGGTCGGTTTGAGAAATAGCATAATTGATATTGTTCAAAGTAGGATACGAGTATTGTAGAATTAGTTGTTATAATTGAAGTATTCGCACGCTTAGTATTAGAGTGACCTAACTCAAATATTGTAGTAAAATTAGATTTATCTGCACTGACATTACTATAATAACGCCATCATCAGTTTTATACGATTTGCCAAAAAAGTGTTTTTTTTTTTAAATAGGTCACTGTAATACTAAGCGTGCATATTGTAAACAATACTACAATAACTAAAAGTTAAATTATGCAATATAATAATTAATTTATCTTTCAGACAAGGCAAATCGGAACCGTTAACAACACCACACGCAACTGAAGCCAAGAATCCGTTCGATGTTGCAAGCAAACCTGGAACACCAAAGATTAGGGACTTTGACAGAGACTTTGTTGAACTAGAATGGACCCGTCCAGAGAGTGACGGCGGAGCTCCTATTACTGGATACGTCATTGAAAAGAAGGATAGATTCGCACCAGATTGGGAAGAATGTGCCCAGGTAGTGTTTAAAAAAAATAACTTAAAACGAAAATTAGAATTCTCGGATACTGTTCGCAAATTTTAACGCTTACATTACTTGTTTTCTTTACAGATTGAAGGTGATGTAACATCCGGAAAAGTACCTGATCTCATTGAAGGCAATACTTACGAATTCAGAGTACGTGCTGTTAACAAAGCTGGTAAAGGAGAACCTAGCGACGGAACGGCACCACATCTCGCAAGACCCAAAAACCTTCCACCGAAGATCGATAGAAACTTCATGTTTGATATTAAGATTAAGGTTGGACAAAACTTCGAATTGGATGTTCCCGTTATTGGCGAGCCCACACCTACAAAAGAATGGATTCATGAGGACAATCTCGTATTTAACAGCGATAGGGTGAAAATTATTAACGATGACCACTCCACAAAGATCAGGGTCGTTGATGCAAAACGCGCAGACACAGGTTCCTACACGCTTAAAGCCAAGAATATTAACGGTACGGATTCTGCCACAGTAAAAATTCTGGTTATGGACGTACCCACAGCGCCCGAGGGTCCATTGCGTGCAGATGATATCACCAAGAGTGGCTGTTCACTCAGATGGAGGCCACCAAAAGACGATGGTGGTTGTGAAATTACTCACTACGTTGTTGAAAAAATGGACCAAGAAAATCTACGATGGATTCCAGCTGGAGAAGTTCAAGGCTGTCATATTCGTATTGACCATTTGATTGAAGGACACGACTACAACTTCAGAGTCCGTGCGGTCAATAAGCAAGGGGAATCTCAGCCATTGGTCGGCCAAGAGCCGATTACCGCTAAAGATCCCTATGGAACACCAGACAAACCTGGAACTCCAGTGGTTAAGGATTGGGACAAAGACCATATGGATATCGAATGGGTGCCGCCCAAGAAAGACGGAGGATCCCCGATTACTGGCTACGTCATCGAAGCGAGAAAGAAATACGGACCTTGGGAAGTGGCCGCCACTGTACCTGGAAACAAAACAACAGCTACAGTACCAGGCTTACAAGAGGGCGAAGAATATGAATTCAGAGTTATCGCTGTTAATAAGGCTGGCAACGGCGAGCCAAGTGACGCGTCTACGCCTCAAGTGGCGAAAGCAAGATTCTGTGCACCGACATTTGACAAACTTCTTTTGTGTGATAAAACTGTTAAGGCTGGACAGAGAATCCAATATGAAATACCGATAGAAGCCTCACCGAAACCAACAGTTGAATGGCAGATTAATGGCAAGCCCGTCCAACCTTCCGACAGAATCGACATTCAAGTTTTACACAACAGGGTTATTCTAGACATTCCATTCTCCGTTCGTGCAGACGGAGGCGTTTACAAATTGACCCTCAAAAATGATCTCGGAGTTTGCTCGGCGTCTGCCCAAGTCGTTGTATTAGACAAACCATCGAGGCCAGAAAAACCATTAGTGGTATCTGATATCACTAAAGATTCTTGCTCCTTGTCGTGGAAAGTGCCTTTGGACGATGGTGGTTCACCAATTCTACATTACGTTATTGAGAAAATGGATTTGTCTCGCGGTACATGGTCCGATGCTGGAATGAGCACGTTCTTATCACACCAAGTAACTAGACTTATTCACAAGAAAGAATACCTATTTAGAGTAAGCGCCGTAAATGCAATCGGTCAATCAGAACCATTAGAATTAGATCGCGCAATAATCGCAAAGAACGAATTCGACGAGCCTACAGCTCCTGGTAAACCTCAAGCAACAGACTGGAGCAAAAATCACGTCGATTTGGAATGGGCGCCGCCAAAATCAGATGGTGGTTCACCTATCACTGGATACATCATTCAAAAGAAAGAAAAAGGCAGCCCCTACTGGGTTAATGCTGCACACGTTCCAGCTAACAAGAATAAAGCCACAGTGCCTGATTTAGTAGAAGGACAAGATTATGAGTTCAGAGTTATCGCTGTTAACCAAGCGGGACAATCTGAACCAAGTGAACCTTCAGACATTATTACCGCTAAAGATAGATTCGTGGCGCCAAAGATACTTACCCCACTTAAAGAGATCAGCATCAAAGCTGGTCTTATATTCCATTTGGATGTAGACTTTATCGGTGAGCCGATTCCTGAGGTCAAATGGACATGTGACGGAAAACCAGTTGTCACAAACGAAAGGACAACAGTTACATCTGTCGGTCATCACACTATTATTCATACAGTCAACTGCAAGCGCTCAGATGCTGGTAAATATCATCTTTCACTTAAAAACGATTCCGGTTCTGATGAAGGAAGCTTTGAGTTGATAGTGCTCGATGTGCCTGGTCCGCCGCAGCCACCATTTGAATATGAAGAAATTACTGCGCAATCAGTCACATTATCATGGAAAGCGCCCAAAGATAACGGTGGCAGTGAACTGACTGCTTACGTTATTGAAAAGAGAGATTTGACACATGGCGGCGGATGGGTGCCAGCCGTCACCTATGTTAATCCGCGAAACACTCATGCAACTGTACCGAGGTTAGCTGAAGGTACTAAGTATGAATTCAGAGTGTTCGCCGAAAACTTACAGGGACGCTCGGAACCGTTAGTGACCGATAAACCTGTTGTTGCTAAAAATCAATACACAGTTCCTGGCAAGCCCGGCAAACCAGAACTTGTTTCTGCAGACAAAGATCACATTAAAATTAAATGGTCTTCTCCTATATCTAATGGCGGATCAAACATTCTCGGCTACGATGTTGAAAGGAGGGACAAAGCTACTGGCCGATGGATTAAGGTGAACAGAGAACCTGTGAGATTTAGTGAATATAACGATGAGAGGGTACAAGAAGGTCACCAGTATGAATACAGAGTGTCTGCAGTTAATGCAGCAGGCGCCGGTCAGCCATCGGACGAATCGAATGTATTTATCGCTAAACCAATGAAAGAAAAACCAAAATTAAGCTTAGACCATCTTATTGGGCGAAAGATCAAGGTGCGAGCGGGAGAACCAATCAACGTAAACATTCCAATCGCCGGTGCGCCAACACCGACTATCTCATGGACCAAAGGATCGATTCCTCTTGTACCTTCGCACAGGCTGTCTTCTGAGACAAAGTCTGACGTCACAAAACTTTGCATCGAGAAGTCTACAAGAGACGATGCCGGAAAATACACTATCACAGCATCTAACGATCACGGCAAAGATTCGGCTGATATTGAAATCACTGTCGTAGATAAACCAGGATCACCAAAGGGACCATTATCATGCACGCCAATTACTCACGATACAATAAGCCTAACGTGGTATCCACCTACCGATGACGGTGGCAGTGAAATCACTGGTTACATTGTTGAAGTATCTGAATTTGGAGTCAACGACTGGCGTACAGTTGCTGGATTCTGTCCTAAATGCTCATTTAATGTTAAGAACCTAACGGAGGGTAAGAAATACGTGTTTAGAGTACGAGCTGAAAACTTATATGGTATCTCCGAGCCATTGGAGAGCAAACCTATTGTGGCCAAATCACCATACGATCCTCCAGATGCACCTGATACTCCTAGAATAACAGGTTACAGCGCAAACAGCTGTTCCCTCGAATGGGAACCACCGACAAATACTGGTGGAAAACCTATCACTGGATACTATGTTGAAAAGAGAGAACGCGGTGGTGAATGGATCAAGGTTAATAACTACCCGACTCCCAACACGTGTTATACTGTTCAAGACTTGCGTGAAGGAAACAGATACGAATTCCGTGTTATTGCTGTCAACGAGGCCGGACCAGGTAAACCCAGCAAGCCTACAGACTCTATTGTTGCCGAAACTCAAAGACGTAAACCGAGTGCTCCAGAAGCGCCTAAACCAGATAGAGTTACTAAAGACTCTGTTACGTTATCTTGGAGGCCACCAAAGAGTGACGGTGGATCTCAAATCAAGGGCTATATCGTTCAACAAAAAGGTAAAGGTGACAAAGACTGGAAGGATGTTAACGACACACCGATTCCAACTTTGGTACACACGGTGCCTAAGCTCAAAGAAGGGGAAGAATACCAATTCAGGGTCATCGCCGTCAATGATGTCGGTAAATCGGAACCTAGCAAGCCCACTTCAGATATTACTATCGCCGAACAACCAAACAAACCTTGTATGGACCTCGGTGGTGTGCGAGACATTACAGTTCGCGCTGGCGAAGACTTCTCAATCCACGTACCGTATGTCGGCTACCCGCAACCGACAGCATCATGGTTCGCCGACGACAACCTACTCGATGTTGAAGGAGACTCGAGAATATTCCAGAAGATAACACCAGACTCTGCATCTCTTGTTGTCAAAAACGCAAAGAGGTCAGACGGTGGACAATACCGCTTACAATTACGTAATCCTTCAGGATATGATACGGCCACTATCAATGTCCGCGTTTTGGATAGGCCTGGAAAGCCGGAGAATCTTCGTGCGGATGAATTTGAAGGCGAAGCTCTCACGTTATACTGGAACCCACCGAAGGACAATGGTGGTGGTGAAATCACCAACTACGTTGTCGAAAGGCGCGAGGCTCGCACTCCAACGTGGACCAAAGTATCCGGTTACGTCACGACACCGTTCTTACGGGTGAAGAACTTATCAGTCGGCAGGAGCTACGAGTTCCGCGTCATGGCTGAGAACCAGTATGGACAATCTGAACCGGCACAAACGCTCGAACCGATCCGAGCGAGACATCCCTTCGATCCGCCCGGAGCACCTGGCGCGCCCAGATCTGTGGAAACCACAGAATCTTCGATCACTGTCACCTGGACGAAGCCACGACACGATGGAGGATCTCCTATTACTGGTTACATTCTTGAAAAGAGATTAATAACCGAGGACAAATGGACAAAAGCTTCCCACGCATACATTCCAGACACTACCTACAAAGTTACAGGCCTTATAGAAAACCACGAATACGAATTCCGTGTGGCAGCAGTTAATGCGGCCGGTCAAGGTCCTTACTCGGCCAGTTCGGACGCGATACGCGCGTGCGCACCACCTAATGCGCCGAGGATCACAAGTGACCTTAGTCTCAGGGACATTACGGTGATTGCTGGAGAAGAGATTAAGATCACTGTACCTTTCACTGGCAACCCCAGACCGAAGGTTAGTTTATTTAATTTATAGAATAATGTTTAAGTGTGAAAGCCTTTCCCCCTCGTGGGACATGGGGCGAACACATTTCTGTGTCCGTTTCACTGATCCGAGAACAATTATGTACTATACTGTAAAATTCTCCTCTCCTCTGAAACGGCTGATTATGACCAACCCCTATCTTTAATATCAATTTTGTCATCGTTCATAGACCCCTTCCACTCCCATACTATATCCATCCATACTTACAAGGATTTAGTTCTTTTTCTCTTCTTCTCCACATTAGGAAGTTCTTATACCAAATTTTAAATTAACATTTTCCCTATAAATATAAAAAAAAACTTTTGTATTTATTTAAATTCAAAATCTAAAAGATCGATGAGGCAGGCATCAACAGCCATCCATGCTGCTGCTTAAACCAATTTAGGTGCCGTGTCTCGCTCATCATCGTCTAATTTTAACCCATATACATCTCTCTTTTTACCATATATATTTCTCTTATTTCAGGTATCATGGATCGTAAACAACGACGAAGTATTCCCGGATCATCGCATCCGGTTTGTGACATCAGACATCGATACTGTCTTCTACAACTCTAGCGCAAAGAGATCTGACACAGGCTCATACACTGTGAAACTTGTGAACCCAGAGGGATCGGACAGCGGTACTTGCAGAGTGAGTCCTTTTTAATTTCTTTTTTTGGTGGTGTAAATGCCTAATGCACGCCCTCGTCGGGCAAGTGTGACGTGGGGAGTGTGGTAAATCGTATAGTCGACCGGAATCACTAAACACACCACCAGCCCTCTACGGTGCTTTGAGGTAGCCCTGGGTGCAGAGTAAGTCCTAGTTTTGTACTGACAATAATTATTCACTACTTTTTTTATTATATACTATATACTATAGTTTAGGCGAGTAGTAAACATTTAAACGGTGTAAAACGTGAAATATATTTCACGTTTATTAAAAATAAACATTTATTAAATATATTATTTTAACTTCGGTTCGATGTGTCGGTTGCTTTGCAGCAGGTGGTTATGACGAATGTGGGGGGAGGGTGGGTAATAATTGTTAAATAAGTTACAAGGATTTAGTTCTTCTTCTCGACATTAAAAAATCCCTAGAATAAATTTGAAATGAACATTATCAATTAATGTATTTACTTTATTATCTTTCCATCAGGTTCTTGTGGTAGACAGACCATCACCGCCGGTGGGTCCAATGGAAGCATCCGACATCACACCAGACACTTGCACGGTTTCATGGAAACCGCCGCTAGATGATGGTGGTTCGCCAATTACCAATTACATTGTTGAGAAGATGGATAATACAGGAGTAAGTAGTCTTAACTTCAGTAGGAAAACTAAATATTAATTTCACTCAATATATTGCTAGATCGCTTTGTTTGTAACTTATAAATTGGGTTAAGCTTTGACGGCCATTTTGCTTTGAGTTGGCTTTGGTGTGACCTGTTCTGCATTTCTAGTCGACGCACGCGCAACGTCTCCTAATGTCTTCTACTCGTGATGGCGAAATTTGGAGTGCAAAGTCTCTTTTATAACTGAACAACTTGAGAACCCAAGAAGCAAAACACTTAGTTTTAAACGCGAATTATATTAGTAATACGCATAACTATTATTTATTTAAAAGGGTTTTTCCAATCAAAACTAAATAGATTTATAAATATCTGTTACTTGAAAAAATATATTTTTCTTAACAGCCATAATAAACTACAACAGCCCTAAGTTACTAATGTGTTTCAACTACTTCCAGGTATGGTCAAAGATATCATCATTCGTCCGAGGCTGCCATTACAACGTGATGGGCCTGGAACCAGAACGCAAATACCTGTTCAGAGTACGCGCCGAGAACCAATATGGAATCTCGGAGCCACTAACAATGGACGACCATGTTACTGCTAAGGTAATTCTTGTTTCATTTTTATTCATGACTAGTTTTGTCAGCGACTTCGTCCGCGTAAAGTAGGTATTATGGGCATCCAAATAAGTTTTTAAAAAACCCCAACGTCTTTATAAATTTAGGCTGTCCACTATATCTTTCGCGTCCCGTTCTTGCAAGTTAATCTTAAAAGTAGTATTTTTGTTAAATAATATCTATTTAGATATTATTTAACAAAAATCTCTTTGCCAGAAAATAAAAAATATTATGTTCATGTCTAAAAGATTACACAAAGATATAAATTGAGCCCAAATTTTACTTCTTAAACCTGCCTTTCCCACAGTTCCCCTTCACGGTACCGGATGCGCCAGGTGTCCCACGGGTCATAGACTGGGACGGCTCCACAGCCACTGTCATATGGGACAGACCCAGATCCGACGGCGGTGCTCGCATTCAGGGATACAAGATCGAGTACAGAGACGTCCGGGACAACATTTGGACTAGCGCTGATTATCTCGTCAAGGATTGTAACTACCAAGTGAGTTAATCTGACATTGTAACTTCTTAATAGAATATTTATGCTCTATTTCAATATTAAGAGTAAAATATTCGAATGTCCAATTCAAAAGTTCTGTTTTGAGGTACACAGCTGGGGTATGTTTCACCTCCCATCAAGTGAAGTCCGTGTTTGTTTGTCCTCCTCTATATTAATTAATAGACTTCTCAATGCAGGATGTGTATTGCACTAGTTGTGCCAGCGACTTCGTTCGCGTGGAATAGTTATTTTATCTTTATAAATTACATTTGGTAACCCACGACGGTCAGTCGCGTCCCGTCATTCTTGCAAGTTAATCTGAAAATTAACAGGTCTTCGTCGCAGACCTTTTTGTTTCGTAATTTAAAGAGGATTTTTTCTCATACGTATTTTTTGGTTCCTTGAACCCAATTTCGCAGTGCACACAACGTTGTATAACTTTCCCCGTTTTTCCACATATTCCACTGTTTTTTCCCTTCTATTAGTCAAAATAATCTATAAGAACCGGTAGTTCCGAAGATTAGAGCGTTCAAACAACTAACAAGCAAACAAGTTCTTCAACTTTATAATATTAGTATAGATAAATATGCCATATTTGTCACATTTATATGCCATAACTGTATAAAGCCAATTGATATATTTTAAACTTTTATTCTTCCTTTCCAGGCCTACAACTTGGAACCAGGCCACGAGTACGAGTTCCGCGTGCGCGCTAAGAACGCAGCCGGGTTCAGCAAGTACTCTGCTACGTCGCAAGTGTTTAAGGTTCGAGGCCGTGCAGGACCACCATCTGCGCCGAGGTCGCCTAGAGTGCTGCGCGTGGGTAGAAATTACGTTGATGTCGCGTGGGATGCACCAGCTAATGACGGAGGTTAGATTATTATATTGTTTTAAAGTTAAAGTTTGCACATAGCCTAAAATAAAATTCAAACGAACAATTTTTTTTTAACTATAAATATACAGTATAGAATGCTTCCTGCTTTATAAAACACTGCAGACCTGGTTTCGTTGCAGAACTTATGAGCAGCTTATATATAAAACGATATTAATATAAGGAAAATTTTTGTGAACCACAAATATTACAACTGTTCTTCCATAGGATCTCGTATAACTGGCTACATCATTGAACGCCGCGAGCTATCCAGCTCAGTATGGGTGAAGTGCAATGACTACATTGTACTGGACACTAGCTTCACAGCACTGAATCTCAGCGAGAAGGCTGACTTCGAGTTTAGGATTATTGCTGTGAACGCTGCTGGTAAATATTCATACTGTAACTATATGCACTATGCATTCGTTTTGAAATAACTTCCTTTTTTTAAGTATTGTCTGTAGTTTACGCGAGTACACACTCAAAGAGTTAGAACACGAAATATATCATCTTATTTACTTTATTTTAACTTAATTTATTTTAACTACGCCCCGACATTTCGGATGCTTTGCAGCAGCCGTAGTCACGGAGGCACTGAAGATGGGGGGTGTCCCTAATGTCAAAGTCACAATCTACTATGGTAGCGCCATCTATTTCAATATTTAAATTAATAGATTTCGCGTTTTAAACTCTTAAAGATGTTTTGTTTAAATGTATACTACTCGCGTAAACTATATACTTTTTGCCTATTGCAAGTATGTAATTATATTGGCAAATAAGCGCTTTCATATACTTTAATGTATTCTAATATTTTTTGCAGGCAAATCCGAGCCATCAACATGTACAACACCAGTGAGGACCGGCGAAGAAGTAGGTGGTGCTAAGCCCGAATGGCTCAAGAAATTGGCACCTCACTTGAATGCGCCCATGGGCAGACCGTTCACTTTGGAGTGTGTCGCGTCCGGCAGTCCAGTGCCCACGGGCAGATGGATGAAGGGCGGCCGTGAGGTCGTGCTTGGTACAAGGTGGGTATCGTGTAGTGATTGTAAATCAACTACGAACCTAAGTCACTGGTCATAAAAAGTTTCCTGAACGGCAAATACTTCTCCAAATAAATATTTGCGTACAATTGAACTTTAATTAGTAAAAAACGGTGAACTCCAATGATACATATGAGTTTGCCTAGCTGTGGGGCACATTAGTCGTAGAGAAAGAACAAACACTCACGCACTCCACCTTCTGCTGCACCAATGGGTCCAAATAAAAAAATATATGTTTATTCGTGTAGGTAACTAGGTACATTTATGAACGTCAAAAACGCCAGTTAAAACTAAAAACTAAACTAAAAAATTACATTTACTACCAGTTCTTAAATAAAGGGCGTAGGGAGAACGAGAAGAACTGGCAAGAAACTTTTATCGCCCAATTTTATTTCACAATCTCTTTTCTTTTTATAAATTGGTTTCCTCCCCCCACCGCCCAAGTTTTTGTCGAGTCAATATTGATAAACGTCGTAATAACCCTTTCGAACCAGTTTTTGTTTTACATACGATTTAAACTTATTTATTGACAGTTCTTGAACACGGGAGTTTTTATTAAAATCCTCTTTGCACTTTACTTACATCCTCCACATGTTTGTTAACAGATTCATAGCTGAGTCACGCGAGGGTACCCTGCGATTGAACATCCTGGAGGTGACTGAAGCTGACGAGGGCGACTACACATGTGAAGCCTCCAACTCCATTGGGCACATCAACTGCACAGCGCATCTGAAGATCGGAAGTGAGTTATCTTTCCTTACTGGATATTATTTATATAATAGAGGACAGACGAGCGTGAGTCTCACTAGATGGAAGGTGAAACACTACAGCCATATAACATCTTAGTAAGATTTAGTGGAATAGTGGAAATTTGGAAATCCACAGGCTGAAATCTGTGTTTGTGAGCCGGGCGGAATTTTCGAACCATCTATTTAGTATCCAGACTAAGTCCAACATATTTCATCAATATATATTGATTCAAATCAAATCAAATCAATCATGATTGAAATCAAGAATAATCTTATTTTACTTATTCTCTTTACATCTTCATCATCTTGGATCTTTTTCATTTAATGAATTTTATTATTCTTCTATCTGATTTGATCTGCTCAATACTTATCGGGAATATTATAGTTGTTTTCAACAATGATTCATCGTACTTGTTTCAGGCCCACCAAGAATCACCAGAATGCCTGGTGACCTGCATCTACCTGAGCATGACAACACAAAGATCAAGATTCTGTACACGGGCGACCAGCCCGCTGACGTCACGATATCTAAGGACGGCCGCACCCTCAGTGAATCACCACACTTCAAGTTCACCGTTTTCGATGACTACATCCTTATATTTATCAAGGACATCACCAAGGATGACATGGGTAAGTTAAGCTTAACATAAAATTATCAATATTATTCATAAAAAAACTACGGTGCTTAGTCCATTAGTAACTCTAGTTTTTTTTATCTGCTATACTTCAATGGTATATTAAAAAAATACCGGTTTAAAACGCGAAACATGTTAGATAATCTATTATAAGTGCAACTCAACGTCACGGAGCTTTCGTAACGTCGATGGTACGTGAAACTAGCTAACTGAAATATTTCGCGTTTTAAACAGTTTCAAGTGTTTTATTTAAATGTTTACTACTCACGTAAACTATAGAAAGTGTTTAGTCTTCAAAGAATATTAATAAAATGATTTTTGAACAACACTTCAACTGCTTTGTTTTCTCTTCAGGCTGTTACAAGATCACCATCAAGAACAGTTCTGGTGAAGTATCAGACACGTTCTCAGTCACTGTCACTGGTTTACCTGGACCACCACAAGGCCTGGAAGTGGCAGACATCACCAGGCACACTTGCACACTGGCCTGGAAACCACCCAGCTATGATGGCGGCATGCCTATCACCCACTATGTGGTTGAGAGGATAGATATTTCTGGAACGACCTGGATCACCATTGCGTCATCTGTTAGGGATACCAGGTAAATAAAATAATTGATTCTTAGATTCTTCCGTTTTCTTAGACTTCTTCTCAGACTTATCCAAGTAGAATTTTCAAAAATGGATCCTACTAAATTCTACTGACTTTAAAAATTGAATCTTTTTCAGGTTCACTGTACATGGTCTTACGGAAGGTCAAGAATATAACTTCAGGGTACACGCTGCCAATGATAATGGTATAGGTCCTGGCCTTGAGGGTGTTAACCCTGTGAAGGTAGGAAGTAATTTTTATAGTTCCTTGAATATAAAGAGATATTTATAACACAAATAAGTAGAGAAGATTAAGAAAATAGACAAATATTTTTCTTTAATGATAGAGGGGGAGAGACGAGAATGGGTTTGACATGATGGTAGGCGAAATACCACAGACTGAAAGCGAAATGTGATTAAATTTCATGGCTTTTTCATCGGTGGGCGGTGGTTCGTGACTTTAATATCCAGATTTTCAGACTAGGTCCAACATGTTTCAGAAAAAATTGATTAGAAAAATGTTGGCCCAGTGGAGGTCGAACCCATGACCCGTTGATTATTAGTCTACCATTACACCAACGACCCTCAAAATCTAGTCTAGATCTAGTCCCTAAGAAACACAACCAAATGTCTCTCTGTGAATCTTCCTTTTTTTAAGTTTTCAGGCTATTTGCCTTATACAATATAATAATTGTACAATTATAATGTTTCTTATAGGCCAAGGCACCGTTTGACCCACCATCAGCGCCTGGAATTCCAAAGATTGTGGAGGTTGGTGGACACTTCGTTCACCTCGAATGGGACAAACCCGAAAGTGATGGAGGCGCTAGAATACAGGGTGAGTTATATACGCGAAAACATGAATATTCAAAGTTTATTTTTTGTATGATTGCAAAGCATTGACATGTTTGGATTTTACTCAATGAAAGGTAAATATCCTGGCCAACAAAACATGTAAAAAAGATGCTTTGGCGATCCATTTTGTCTTTAGACGTTGGACTGGATATAAATTTACGAAAAACTTTAGATTGGCTATTAAAAACGTGTTGTAATCGATAAGAACCGAAACCATGACTCGTTAAGATGTACATTGCTACCTACTAACAAGCTCGTCGACACGATAGCACCAACCCCACGACCTGTTGTTAAGTCATGACTACCAACTGGCCCGTTGTAAAGATTATTTTTATATAATCATCTCTAAACCATTACTTCAATTCTAGGTTACTGGGTGGATAAACGCGAAGTAGGATCTCAGAGCTGGCAACGGGTGAACCCAGGTCTTTGTGTTGCCACGCAGCTGAACTGCGCGAATCTCATAGAGGGACGCCAGTACGAGTTCAGAGTGATTGCGCAGAACGAGGCCGGTCTATCACCGCCCAGCACGAACAGCCAACAAGTGCGCGCACAGGATCCAGCAGGTAATTGACACTTTGTTTACTTCTTTTAGTAGCTTGGGTACTAGAAATGATTGGAATTATTTTCCTGCTTTTTTTTAAATCATTTTTCTTACATTTCCTTACACTTTCCTTTGCAGCTGCGACACCACCAGAAGTAGTGAAGCCACTAAAGAACGCCAACTGCATCCAGTACCACAATGCCAAATTCCAGTGCACCATCACAGGTGTGCCGCGGCCTACCATTACTTGGTACAAGGGTAAGTTTGCCTTAAAAGTTTTATATCAGTATTTTTTTGTCGTCGACTTTTTAAATTTATAACAATGTTTACTTAGGTGCTCGTGAAATCACAAATGGACCGAGATACCGCATTTGGAGTGAGGGAGACAACCACTTCCTTACGGTTCTGGAAGTTTACGGCGAAGACGCTGATGAGTACCAGTGCAGAGCAGTCAACAAGGCTGGTGCTAAGAGCACTAGGGCAGAACTGCTTATAATGAGTGAGTAGTAATTTCCAGTGATAAAATAGAAAAAGTGGCGGCGAGTTTTTTGCCATCTCTTCTTCGTTTCACGCCATTTACAAATGTTGATTTAGAGTCTTGTTTTTAATTTAACTTATTTACTTACCTATATACATATTTTTTTATTTACTCAATGTCATATACGTAAAATGTACGTTACATTTAATTCATATACGTAAAATGTACGTTAAATTTTATCTACAAAGCTGACCTCTAAAAATAGTTTTATTTGTGATTTACAATAAATAAAATATTTATAATTTTTTTCATTCACCTTTTAGCTGCACCAAAATTGAATGTGCCGCCGCGCTTCCGCGACACCGCCTACTTCGACAAGGGTGAGAATGTGGTGATCAAGGTTCCATTTACTGGTCACCCAATACCCAAGATAACGTGGGTGCGAGAGGGAGAGACTATTGAATCTGGTCTGCACTACCACGTTGAGAGGAAAGGTACGTTATCATCTTCTCAAAGTATTAGACACGATTCGATGTACGCAGAATTTTAAGGCTCAAAGTTAAGGGTCGTAGGTTAAATTTTCTATTGGACCAGCTTGTTTCTAAATATCAATTCATATTCTTTTTAAAATGCTAGACTTCGTCTGGAAAATTTAGATGTTAAATAAGACGTAGGAATATTGATATTCGATTCTAGTTACTCGTATACCTTTCGGTTTTAGTCTGTAGATATCTACTATGTCGGGTTTAAATAGGTTTCCTAATATATTTCGCGTATTAAACCGTTAAAACTGTTCTAATTAATTTCAGAACGCCACGCAATCCTGACTATTCGGGACGCAAGTAAACTTGACTCTGGACCATACCGCATTACGGCTGAGAACGAGTTAGGACAGGACTCGGCTATCATTCATATTGAGATTAGCGGTAAGTTTGCGGAGAGACATATACAAAACCATAATTCATTTAAATTATTGATTTATCCTTATCTCTTAAAGCTAGACATATACTGTCGCTGACCTATTTTTTTAGATCATTTAAAGCAAAATCATTCTTTCCTAGTTATTTTTTGGGTATTTTGAACCGTTTTCGCAGCCCACGGAATGGAAACCCTCAAAATAATAATTTTCCTCCGTATCTTCAGTCCTATAGGACGCAGCCTGATGTTTTTTTATTTATTTATTACAGCTTTATTATTCATAATACATACCACAAAAGCAAAAAATATGTTTTAGAGCTTAAACTCTAAAACATCTTTTTAGTTATCCTTCCTGGATTAATAGTCTACCCAACACATTTTTTTCTATTCGAATCAGTAGTTCCTGAGATTAACGCGTTCAAACAAACAAACTCATCAGCTTTACAATATTAGTATAAATAAAAATGTCTCACAAAATGTTTGCAGACCGTCCGGACCCACCACGTTTCCCAGCCGTCGACAACATCGGCGTGGACTCGCTGGCTTTGAGTTGGCGTGCACCACTCTGGGATGGCGGTTCAGATATCACCAATTACTTGGTTGAAAAACGTGAACACCCTATGTCTAGCTGGATAAGGGTTGGAAATACTAGGTAAGAGATATATTTGTTTATCCTTGCTGTAGTCGTTAAAAGCCACCAAGGTGCACTGGAGCTGTGTGGTGGATCAAAGCCTTTCATCCTTCTCTTTTATGACAATGAGGACCTGCGCCTAGCCAAGCCATTAATTGGTGTATACTACGCTTTATTATTTCTAGAGCTATTTCGAATGAAATTAGATACAGCCGGAACTTGAACTGGCATCCACAGCAATCCTTGCTGCTGTTCTAACGTCATCGTCGAACTTCTTTAACCCATTGATTGAAATGCACCTCTCGTCAACTTACCTTATATAAATTATTATTTATTATATATACGTAATTATATACTTATATATACGTAAAAAACGTCATAAAGCTAACAAAATATGTTTTTTTTTTAGGTTTACAACAATGGCTATCACGGGCTTGGCTTCAGGCAAACAGTACGAATTCCGCGTCTACGCTGAGAACATCTACGGCCGTTCGGAGCCAAGCGAGCCCACGTCTCTGGTGCAGACCAAGGCTATCATCAAGAAGGAGTTCAAAAAGAAGGAATACCCTGGTATAACATCTATTGATATTAATTATTTTTGTTTTTGTTTGTGACACCAAATATTTGATCATAGTCAAGAGTCTAATTTATATCGAGACTGGATTGTCGTATGACATCCGTCGGTTTTAAATTATTGTCGTAATGCATTGTATTGGGCCGTGGGTTCGATCCCAACTACGTCCAATATGTTTCTAATAAATTTATATGTTTTCGGAAATATGTTGCACTAGGTGATAGAAATATCGATATTCGGTTTAGATCACAAACTATCGTGTACAGATGTAATGCCGTAAAGTTTAGTTTCACATGCAGTCTGTGGATTTCTGAATATCTTAAGTTAAAATAAGTCGATAGAAGATAGAAGCTTCTTGTTTAGAAGTTATATGCCTTGAGTATTTCACCTAACAAGTGTCCGCTTACCTCTATCACGCTTACCTCTATCATTAGTGTTGTTCATAAACAACAGCTTCAACACAATTTATCTTCTTCCAGTTGACGAAACCGGCAAACGAATCCGAACGAACGCTGATCACGGACCAGTCAAAGATTACGACAGTTACGTGTTTGACATCTACAGCAAATACGTGCCACAACCTGTCGAGATACAGACCTGCTCGGTTTACGACAAATACGACATTCTCGAGGAGATTGGTAAGTATATATTATTGCTGAACCGTTTGTCCAAAATCCAAAGCCGCATTTTAATTCAAATAGTAAGGCGGGAATGTCATTTTATCAAATAAAAGATGATTGTCTATCAAAAAACGTAACTACCCTCTTTAGAGAATTGGGTTTGAAGTATCGCAAATGATTGTTTTATTAGCTTTTTTAAATTCCGCTCGGATCTTGAACCACCAAATTTCGGCTTTAATCTGTGCATCTCTATTTAGAAATGTGTTTAAAAGTAAAATACATAGATCGGTAGCGCATCTTATTAAGGTGTAATGTGGCAGGAGTATTTCACTCGGGTATAAAAAAATTAATGCTAGTTACTAAAAATGTTTTTATTAAATAATAATTTACTTTATTGAACCTTAAATTAAGATAATATACTGGTATGTATGGTTGACGCTTTAATACAAAATTAACAACGGTAAAAATTATGATGGAGTTTAAATAAAGTAGAATATCTTTAAATTAAACAAATGATAGTTACATAACTTTGAATTTAAATAAGTAACGGATTGTTTAAGTTTACTGACATGTTTACCATAGTGTAGAAATTTAACTCACGAAGTTGCTTGAGAAATAGTTAACACCGACTAACCAGAGTAGTTGATTTTGAACCTTATACTTGTATAAATAATGTCGAATTCCGCAGGTGACTTCGTGAGAACGTCTAAACGGAAAACTGCCAGAGGTCTGTGTGTGAATAGATCGATGTAGTTGCATCTCTTTCTATTTGCATCTGTCTTTTTCACACGCATAATACTTAATATATATTAGACATATACGTATTGTAAAGATGTATTTATCGTGGCACAAGCTTTGATAAGTAAAAAATATATTTAGGTATAAAATTTTAATCTGCAACCTAACTTAATAAAATTATAATTTTTTTATTTATTCAAAAATATTTTTTTTGTATTTTCAGCAGCTTCTTAATATTTCAAAGAATAGTATAACCGAGTTTGCGCTTAATAATTTTAGAAGAAATTAATTTATATTTTATACGTTTTAAGTACTGACATTTATCTATTTATTTAAAGTTTTTAAATAATACTTATTAAATTATATTATTATAATTTTGCACCTGCAGACCTCGTTATTAATATATTTTTAAGAAATTTAAAATGGCAGATATTGTTTCGCGTTTCCCAAATCACATGTACGAACTCCGCACTGATGTTTCAACACTATCGTAAACTGATTGAATATCGAAAATAAAAACAGGCCAACAGCGCATCTTTTGCATTTTATGTCTGGGGCATTTGCCTATAAGTAAGCCCCATATATTTCAGTTCTGTCATAAAAAAACACCAGTATTTACTAGATGCCTAAGGTTAAATAAAATGTTGTAGGCACAGGTGCGTTCGGCGTGGTACATCGTTGCAGAGAAAGGGCGACTGGCAACATTTTCGCTGCTAAATTCATTCCGGTGACTGGCGCTATGGAGAAGGAGCTGATCAAGAAGGAAATTGACATTATGAACCAGCTGCATCACAGAAAGCTGATCAATCTACACGATGCATTTGAAGACGACGATGAAATGGTCTTGATATTCGAATTGTGAGTTTAATTATATGTTAAGACTTCGTTTGGAACCCTTGATATTAATTTTAAATATTAAATGTGGTGGCAGAAATATCGAATTCCGTCCGGGTATTACATTAGTAATACACAGATAAAAAGCCGCCAAGTTAAATCGCATTTTGGTTTCAGTCTGTGGATTTCCTAATATCTGAAGCTAAAATAGGTCGATAGCGCATCTTGCCTAGATGTATTTTATTTCTTTTATATTTACTCATTCTAACTTTAAATGGGATAGAAATAGTAAATTCCTATATTAAAAACTTACATAAAATAACATATCTCACGCTACTACGTATTTTTAATGAGATAGGTAGCCACTACCACGTGAGCCACCTGCCGCCATTTTATATTTATTTACTCTTATTTCTGATATAGCTTATCCGGAGGAGAACTGTTTGAGCGTATTACGGAACCTGGATACAATATGAGCGAGGCAGAAGCCGCGCACTACATGAGACAAGTCTGCGAAGGAGTTAAACACATGCACGAGCAAAATATTATCCACCTCGATCTGAAGCCCGAGAACGTCATGTGCCAGACGAGAACTGGTACTGATGTTAAGGTAAGTCTTATATACATCTATACTAATAGATAAGGCTGAAGAGTTTGTTTGTATGTATGTTAGGAAATGTGGAGAATTCGGGGAAAATTATTCACTTTTGTGCGTATCCGTTGCGTACGCTGCAAAAACGGTTCCTGATACCAAAAAATACGTATGAACGAATGATTTCTCTTTAAATTATCTAAAGTCCGCGACAATATATGTTTTTCTTATATATTAACTTGCAAGAACGACGAATCTTCGAATCTTAACATTGCCCACGACCACGACCCTTGGGTCGTGGGCAATGTTAAGATTCAAAAGCGAACGAAGTTTCTGACACAGCTTGTCATTAATAAAAATTCAAATATTTTATAAGATGAATAATAGTTGTTTATATAACGATATCAAAGTTTGCCCCTCCTCCTTTAGTTCATTGCTCAACGCGTAGCCTAGTATTTCTTTAAGTACCTGGACCTGATTTTCGGTCAAATCTGATCAACTACTTGCCAGTAAATAAAATCTATCAGTGAAATGTTGCTTCACGATATTATAGGCAGAAACGGGCTTTCAGGCTTTTACTTTTATATAATAACGATTATTTATGTCTCCACTCACAGATAATCGACTTTGGTCTAGCAACTAAGTTGGATCCAAACGAAGTTGTAAAGATTTCAACGGGCACCGCAGAATTTGCCGCACCTGAAATAGTCGAGCGCGAACCAGTTGGCTTCTACACTGATATGTGGGCTGTTGGTGTGCTCTCTTACGTTTTGTAAGTAACTTTCCTGAATTTTATTTATAATATATTATTTATAATTCTTTTCCTGATACAAATAAGTAACGTTACACTAAATTTGATCCGGCTCGAAGGATCAAGAGTTTTTGCTACATTTAATTTCATTCATTCACAGATTGTCTGGTCTTTCGCCGTTCGCGGGTAACAACGACATCGAAACCCTGAAGAACGTGAAGGCTTGCGATTGGGAGTTTGATGAAGAAGCTTTCCAGCACGTATCAGATGATGCCAAGGACTTCATCAGACGTCTGTTGATTAAAAACAAGGAGTAAGTGTTTTCAAACTGACATTTGTTTTAAGAAAACTGTAGCTCTGAAAGTGATAGTGAATAGAAGGAACTATCAATTGCATTCAAATTAAGTAATCATTAAATAAAACGCAATTTTATAAAGTTAATTATCAAAATATGAGGGTGCTTCTCAAAATCCATGATTATATGTTACTTAAATACTAAACCATTACTTTTTATTAAAATTCAAATATTAATTTCAAAGAAAACGCATGACTGCGCACGAGTGCCTTGCGCACAAATGGCTGGCAGGAGACACATCGTCGAGAACTGCCACTATTGCGGCGAGAAGATACGAAGCAATGCGCGACAGACTGCGTAGAAGATACGAGGTTAGACTTTTTTCAAGATTGAAGACTGAGATTTTATACATAAACTATTTATGATCAAATTGCAATGAATTAATTTGTTTTATTTCAGAACTGGTCATCGTTTGTATTACCCATTGGAAGGATAAGCGAATACAGTTCTCTACGTAAATTACTAATTGAGAAATGGAAGATTTACGATGGACAGTTTGGTTAGTAAATGTAGTAATGTATGTTTGTTAGTAAATACAGTTTTTGCTACATTTGTAACGAAAAAGTAATTGATACTTTGTTTTACTTACTTCTACTAACCATTTCTTATTTTCATTGGTGATAAGACACACTGTAAGTTTTAAGTTTCCCTCTCGTTTTTGTTATAAATATTTAATTGTATCTTCCATGTATAGATCGTCGTCAAGCAGCGCCAAGATTCGTGATCAAGCCACAATCTGCGTTCTGCTACGAAGGACAATCAGTGAAGCTGTACTGCCGAATTATTGCGTGTGCAACGCCCACAGTGACATGGTCTCATAACAACAGGGAATTGAGACAGTCTGTTAAATACATGAAGAGGTAAGACCAAATATAGACCGCTCTGAAACCTCGGACTCTAATAGGCATTTAATATTTAACTGATAGTATTAATCATTCCTTACCATCATCATTAAGTTTTAATATTTATCCAGGTACGCTGGTGATGACTACTACTTCATAATCAACCGAGCCAAACTGGAAGACCGCGGTGAATACATCATCCGCGCTGAGAACCACTATGGATTCAGAGAAGAAGTTGTCTTCTTAAACGTACAACGTAAGTATTTTGAAGAATTTCTATTTACGAAACAAGTGTGGTGTTAAGAAGTTGAAGGTGTTTAAATTGGTATCAGCCAAAATCAATTAATTAATCATCATCAAATAATTTTCAAAAATCCCCTAGTGATGCAATCTCATGATCGCGAAACATCGAAAATATTTCCCAATTATGACGGCTACTAACGGGATAAAAACGAGTTTCCAAAATGGCTACTTAAGTTTCATACAATTTACGGTAATAACTTTTAAAATGATTTTAATATACTAAAAATGGTATTTACAGCTGTACCAAAGGTACAAAGACAACATGTGCCCGAAGCACCTCGACGTCGCGAGGCCACCCCATACACCTTCTGGCAAGAAAGCAGCGAGACTGCGCCGTCCTTCACCTTCCAGTTGCGGCCGAGAGTTATGCAAGCTAGGGACACCTGCAAACTGCTCTGTTGTTTGAGCGGTAAACCTCCGCCAACTGTCAAGTGGTAAGTAGTTCGGCTCGAAGGACCAAATTGTTTTGCCTATGCAAGACTTTTAGAGATATTACTTTACGTTGGGTCTTCTTTTAGGTACAAGGACAAACGTGAGCTATCTAAATATGACTACGCTATGACGAACTCTGATGGAGTAGTTACAATGGAAATTATCGACTGCCGACCAGAAGACAGTGGAAAGTACTCTTGTGTCGCTACAAACGTACACGGTACTGACGAAACATCTTGTGTTGTCATTGTTGAAGGTGAGATTTCATAATACACGAAATATATTTGTTTCTTTTTACGACAAGACTTGTTACTGAGCATCGGCAGCTCTGTAACTCTCAAAAGTATTATTTATATTTATTTATAAATTCAATTTTTATAATATATTCTTAATACAGGTGAAGTAGTAAGCGCGGAGCAAGCTGCGCTAGCCCACAACTTACTGCACTCGGGTGAGAGGCGGTATATCGAAAAACCGCTCAAACCTGCGCCTGTGCCGATCATTACGAAAACAAAGGTGATTTTAAAAAATATTTATTAATTAAACTAAGAAAATAAAATTATTGACAGCCTAAATTTTATATTTTATTCAATAACGCCTAGAGGTATTTATTTACTCGCAAGAATTTTGACAATTCACTTAAAACGAGAAATAAAATTCTCCTTCGAACTCTAAAGTTGCTAGGCTGATCCCTCAAATAGGATAGTTCGTTTCCCATACTTGGTGAAATTTTTTAGTCTTTAGCACATTTTTGTTCCTCAAGATATAATAAGTGTAAATAAATTAATACAATTCTATTTTTTTCCTAACAGGTGACAATTGACCCACCAAGCAAGTCTTCCACAATCCAAAGGCCCAAATACTCGCCACAAAGCTCAGTTGAGGCCAGCAAGAAGAAATACGGCGCAAAACTGGATTCGGACTCCGCGTCACGGTCTAGGAGCGCGACCAAGGAATTAATTTGTAAGTGTAAAAAAATATGTTCAAATTCAATCATCAAATTAAAAAAATAAAAATCAGTACATAGTTTTCATGTAGTTTGCCGTGGTAACGGTAGTGATCTATTTCTATTCATTAGCGCCCCCCCCCCCCCCCTTATTTCTTCTATTTCTTATTTAATTTAGAATCTTACAGTTTAAATATTTGCATATTAAATAGACTAACGAGTAACAAATCTCAGCTCACGAATGATAAAGACGTGAAACTTAATCGCGTTTGGGTTTCAGTATCTAAATAGCTCTACAGCATCTCTGTCTCCCTATGTCATATTTTAAAACACATGGTTTTAAAAAACAGAATGACTTTAAATAGAGCAAATTTGTTTTTATATAGTAAGGCTTTTTTTACAAATAGTCTTTCTCTATCGTCTATGATATGTACCAATAAACATTTCCTCGTGTAATTATTGAATGATATTATGTTCAAATTCTCCAGTACCAGCATCAGACTCTTCGATGTGCGCGCCGTCCTTTGCACGCGCGCTACCAGATACATGGGCGGCAAGAGATGGCGCCCCACTACTTCTTTCATGTGCGGTGCGTGGAGACCCCGACCCCAGGGTCGAGTGGTTCAAGAACGGACAGCCGTTGCACTCTTCAGAGGTAAGGAAGAACAGATTACAGAATAAACGTTGTCTTTTTTGATACCAGGACTGTGCCTGATTCGAATCCCAGTAAAAAATAAAAGCTTCGGTCGGGCAGGACAGAGAAAAAAATTAATATTATTTTAAGTCAAAAATAAACTGTCTTTAGTTCAGTAAATCCAGTAGAATCCAGTAGTACACAATTAAATAAAACATTTTAACGGTTTCAAAAGCGAAATATGTTAGTTAAACTTATTTCACCTGATTGATTTCACGTGATTTCATTAACAGGTGGTAGACCTCAAGTACAAGAATGGTGTAGCATCGCTCGCCATCAACGAAGTATTCCCAGAAGATGAAGGCATCTACTCACTGAAGGCTATCAACAGCCAAGGTGAAGTGGAGACCAAGTGTACCGTCAGTGTTAAAGGTAAACAATCTTTTTCTTTCTTTCTTACTAAATTTATGTTATAATCTAGGAATGTAAAGATATTGCTTTGTATATAAAAATACTAAGTTTAGTACGTTTAAAAATCATCTAACTATATTTATGATCATTTTAGCATCAGACGGAGGCGCGAATTCGAAGATGGGCGACAAACCACCGAGGATAGTCGACCACGCAATATCACAAATTGTGAATGACGGAGACGCTGTTACGCTGTCCTGCAGGTAATAAAGAAAACATTTGTTTGTAATTGTCGCGAAATATACTTTATTTGATCCATTATAAACGGTTTAGAACGACTACAACATTAGTAAATAGATTGTGCGTCCAAATTAACTGAAATGTTTGATCGTAGTTAAAAGTTTTAAGAAGTTCTTCAGCAGAAAGCATTCTAATGTGAAGGTCAAATCTGCTACGCTAGCGCCATCTGTATCGTCAAGATTGATATTTGCAGAAACTAGCCGACTCCCTAACAACTGCTCTTGTTATACGTTGTTTTTAGAGTACAATAATAATTAAACCCGAAAAGTAATATCACGAAAATTCTCACAGGATAACGGGAGCGGAGCGCTTTGATGTAGTGTGGCTGCACAATAATAAGGAGATAAAGCCGTCGAAGGACTTCCAGTACTCGAGCGAGGCAAACATTCACAAATTACACATTGCTGAAATTTTCCCAGAGGATGCCGGTAAGTTGTACTTCGTAGACTTACAATAATGTTTTCCTAATCAAAAACTCTTTAAGGCTCACTAAATAATGTGTACAACCCTTTGATATTTTTAATTTAATAGCTTATTTCAAATCTAACTGAGGAAATGTTTAAATTATAAATAGTGGTGCGCCAAACCAATGGCTAAAGATTTTTAATAGAAATATAATCAACGGATCGTTAGTAATATCCCCACTGAGAATATGTTGGATTTCGTATGAAAAACCTGAATTCGGATATTGAATATGCGGTAGAAACTCGATATTAAAATTCCCTCTGACCCATGACCACAGTCGCCAGCTGTGATGTTTAATCTCGTTTTGGTTTTAGTCTGTATATTTCCAAATGACCAAAGCCTATAGGTAAATAGCGCGTCCTAATTAGGAGTTACGCTCGTTGTTTCATCTCTCCTCCACTGTCGTAAAAAATAAGTAATAATACAAAGAAAGGTGTTGAAAAACTTGTAACAAATGAATAAAAATCTCTTGACAGGTGTATACACCTGCGAAGCGTTCAATGACGCGGGCGAATCTTTCTCGTCGTGCACACTCGTAGTGCGCGTTTCTGGCGAGACTATCACCACACCTCAATACACCAGCTTCCCCAACTCAGCTACAGTAGTCAGCGGGGAGCCAGCCGTTTTCCTAACGGAGTTGGACAAGGTATTGTTTCTCATTATCATTTTCTTTATATATAAATGGAGTACTTTGACGCGTGACTGCACTTTAACTGTTTTAAATTGCTACAAAAAAAAACTTGATTTAAGTAAAAATACAACAATGGTCTCTTTATAGATCCATCAATCACAAATTTCATTCTTCAATCTACAATCTACCTAAATTGACATTTATAAATACTACTCGTAGTTTAAATAGACGTAATATTTACATTTTATTCATTCCACAGCCACCACTCCAACTCCAATGGTTAAAGGATGGCAAACCGATCGACGAATCCTCGACTCGCTACAGATTCACGATGGAAGACACATCCAAGTACCGATTTGAGATCGCCTCCAGCTCGACCGATGACAGCGGCCAGTACCAGGCCAGAGCCGCCGGATCCAAGGGCGATGCCTTCGCGGCCTTCTACCTTAACGTAGTCGACAATTGAACGACACTGACTGACATATAACATGTATAATAGCAGCCCCAACATCACACCCTGCGCCACCCCACATGAAGATTTCACAAAACAACGCTATTCTTTTCGAATGATACGATTTTTTATACTTTACGGAGTCTCGATAAGCTCGTTTTTATAAATTAAAAATATTTATTATTATTTATTAAGTAATTTAAGTGTTACCCTATCAAATGCATATGAGAAGCTTGGAACGTTTCGCTCTAGTCATTAAATGTTTATTTATTGTCCTCTAACATGCAGCTTCTGAAGATTTAAGCTTGGAATTAATATGCGAAGATTAGAATTGAACCGGCGACCCTTTCAGCTGCATTCTGCCCGCCACCGCGGAGTGCGCGAGAAACGGTCCCCGGGAAATCCGAGTCTTTATTTTTTACATAACTTGTATTATTAAATTGTAAATAAATTAATTTATGTGACCGCATAATTTATAAATAAATATATATACTTAAAAATATACAGCGTTTTTTTATTTCTTTGAATGCAAAAATGTTATTCATTCACTATAGACTATTTATAATAAAAAGGGCGAAGTTAAGTTGGAAATTACTTATGTTGTCATTATGTGAAAAATAAAAGAAGTTACGAGAAAACTGTGGGATTGACAATCGTTTAATTAAAATAAAACGAAAAGAGCTTGAAACAAGCTTTAGCTTTAATTAAACGAGCTCTCAAAAATAAGACTCGTTCCATAGACTACACTAGTAATAAGATGTAGTTTACTTTTTTTAGTCCATTTGATGGCATTTACAAAGGATATTGAATTGGATACCTATTGACACACTTTAATTATTACGCGTACGTATCATCCGAGAAGGTTATTTTTATAAAAAAAAAAAAAATTAAGATATTACGTGAGTAACTTAAAGTTCAAACATTTAAACAAATTAAACACTTACGTAAATACTTAACTCCCTGATGGAGTTGACCAAAGCAATAACACTAGAAATATTAATAGGCAATAAAACGGTAGCTCCGACTGCAGGATACAAGCAGTAAAGTGTTCGGAACGCCATTAAGAGAGAGAAATTAAAAAACTAAACGTTTACAAAAAATGGTCAAGCGCGAGCGGAACGAGGAGATGGGTTTCGGACGTTACAAGAACATTTATCCCGTTAGGATTCGGTTAGATTTTTTATGATTCATTTAATGTTAATTAATGAAATTAATTTAAAAACACAAGTTAACAGTAATAGAACAAAGCTTAAAACACCAGGTAAACCTTAGAAGTTAATTTACTTTTTTTAATAAAGCGGTTCAAAACGCGATATATATTCGTTTAACTTATTTGAAAATTAATTTAACTACGGCCGACGCTTCGGATGCTTTGCGGCAGCCGTGGTCACGGGTCAGTTAAGTATTACGATATGTATTAGTTAAGTCAGTCTTAACTAATACACATCGCGTTTTAAACCGTTGAAGTTTTTTTATTTGAATGGGTACTTTTTTTCTAACATTCTATCGGATTACAACGCTTGCCCTAGATTGAAGATCATGATTATAATTTTTATTTTTACTTAGTAATTAATTCAATTACATATTTGGATTTTGTTTTCCTCCGAAGAATCCCACCAAGTCAGGTCAAGAACAAAAAGTATCACATCTCATTCCATATTTCAATATTTATCACAAGATCGCTCTTTTCGTACAAAACTCGAAAAGGGTATGCTTGTTGGTTTTTTTATCCAGTCAGTTCGGTTTCTTATTATAAATGAATGCGCTCAGTCGAATACATTTTTTAAAAATCATCCGTTTTTGAATTTAACTCGATTCTTCAATTCTGGTTATCGTTCGCTTTGTGTGGACATGACTTTTTAATAAATACTAAATATTTATTTTTATGATAGAGTAGGACATACAAGCATGTTCACTCGATGGAAATACCTCAGCCATATAACAAACTAGATGCGCTGTCGGCCTATTTTGACTTTGGACGTTTGGATATCTTTCAAATAAAACACTTTAACGGTTTAAAACGCGATATATTAGTTAAACTTATTTGAAAATGATTTTTAACGGGGAGACCCCGTGACCACGGCTGTTGCAAAGCATCCGAAACGTCGTCGCGAAGTTAAAAATCATTTTCAAATAAGTTTAACTAATATATCGCGTTTTAAACCGTTAAAGTGTTTTATTTAAATGTGTACTACTCGCGTAAACTATAGACAGTATGTTATTCGGATATCCATAAACTGAAACCGAAGTGCGATTAAACTTGAGGGATTTTTAATCTGTGCTCGATAGTTTGTGACTCGGACGGAATTTCAATGTACCTATCACCCATTTTATATCTAGAATTCCTGAGAAATTCTAACATGTACTTAAAGGTAAAAATTGATTAGAAGCATATTGGGCCCGGAGGAGATCGGTCCCACGTCTTGTCGATTGTCGACCATACATTTCCTACCATTGCATAGAACCAAGACCAAGTTAGAGTCTACATATATAACTTGACAAAATTAAAAATGAAGACCTACCAATTAAGTTAAAGAGAACTCTACAACTTTTTCAAACTATGTATATATTTTTTATTTTTACATAGGTTTTCATATGCATGTAGGGTATTAAATACATAAGAATTTCTTTTAATAAGGTTAAGTTATTTTTCTGCTTCACGCATTCCTTTTTATTACTGAATTTTCATTTGTACCACGGTTGCTTGGAAGAAATAGCTATTTAGCTAGTAGTCGCCGTTTATCCTTAATTTGCATCAATTTTTACTATTTCTGTTGTTTTATGACAATAAAGAATATTTTCATTTATACTTATAATAATTATCGACCAATGCCGGAATTTTATAAAGCTTATCCACACAAATCAAAAGCTATTAAAGTAGTCCTTCGTCGTATTAAGCTTTTTCCTTCAATAGGATCGTTTTTAATCTTGGCTTTTATCATATTTTAATTCAGCTTCTCTTTGTTCTAGATAAAAGAATTTATCTTCTCGGTCATGCGGGTCATTTAATAGATGTCGTATTTCTAAGATAATTATAATTTTATAAAGCGTAAGCAGGCACACTTAACTAAGTATTGCCTATTGAAAAGAAATGCGAAATATTAACAGATTTTTAAATATTCGGTTATTTTTTCACCCGCAAAGTTTTCATATTTTCCAATTTTTGGATGCAATTAGTGTCTTTTCAATAAATAATATTAGTTTTATTAAACATTTAAACGTATTTTAGTGTTATTTTCATAATTTTTATAGCAATCGACAAAGTTTCTAGGAGTATGAAATTAGAATCATTTTTAGTTTGAAAACATTAATATTTTTCACATGTTATTGCACATGAAGGCACTATATAATTTAAAAATCGAAAATAAATTGAAAAAATTTTTCGACTCGGGCAGGACTTGAACCGGCATCGTCAGCTTTCATGCTTCAGAGCAACAGCACGGAAAGCTGACGATGCCGGTTCAAGTCCTGCCCGAGTCGAAAAATTTTTTCAATTTATTTTCGATTTTTAAATCATTTTTAGTATTATTTGTTGTTATTATTATATTTTTTAAACACCATATGAAAGCGTTCGAGCGCCTTTGTAGCAAAATGGTTAAACGTATTGCTTAGCATTGCGTTAAGCGCGCGAGGTCCTAGGTTCCAATCCTAGGGAAACATAAAATTGTTTCGGTCGGGCAGGGCAAAGAAGTCTGATCAACTACTTGCCCCTTAAAAGAAGGGATCAGTGAAACGGACACAGAAATGTATTGGCCCCATGCCCCACGAGGGGGAAACGAGCTTTCACTTTTATATGAAAGCGCGATAGCGTGAAGATAGTAACATTTTATTTTAAATAATTTAAGTATAATATTTTAAAAATAACTAATTTATAGCATGACTTAGATCCGAACACATAACCAACAACTGTTACCTTTAGTTAACCGTAAGTAAATTTGAAAACAATTCTGATAATTAACATCAGCGCATACGCATGTGCAATTTGCATGTGAAAATTATAATGATTCAAGTATTTCGCGTTCGTTTTTCCTCTATCAATAATTACAGTCGTTAACGATCCCCCACTTATCCGGTCTCCATAATAAGTCATACCCATGTTCGTTGGAGCTTAATAATTTATTCCTTATTTCTGATAAACAAAATAGTCGAGTAAGAAACACGAAATAAAAGAAACGGATTGAGAATCGAATTCGCCGCGTCATTTCACTCGTCGGCTCAAACAATAAAAATATAACTTGTTCCCGAAGATTTCATATTTTAAAATATGTTTAAGCTTAGAGTGTGTGGCGTAGAGCGCGGCGACTTGTTATGAACTAGCGAAGGTTGCATATAGGTAAATGTTTATGATACAGGAGGATAGAAAAGCATGGTCTGCTTGAAGGTAGGTGAAAAACAGCCATATAACATCTAAACAAGTGTTTTATTCATACCACCCATTTTTTGACGTTGTTTCAGAAAAAAATATAAATTTATTAACAAATGTTGGACCCCAGTAGGAATCGAACCCAATATAATAGGTAATTATCAAACATACATTGCTATCAAAACCAATTTCACCTATCAAATATTATTATTGCCTTCATGGATAAGTTGAGCTCAAATGGCTCAAAGAGTCTTGTTCGTTAAGTGCTAAGTTTTAATCCCAAGGAAACACAAGCGCTTAGCGATACAAAAATTTTAAGTCTTGATCATGGGTGTATTAGAGATGGAGGGTGTTCCTAATGTCCAAGACTAATGTGCTAATCTAACGCCATTTGTTTCGCCGTAGCTGATATTTGGAGATCTCTGAAATGACGGGCCGATGTAAAGTAAATTTAAAATTACTAATATATTTCAGACTTTAAACCGTCAAAAGTTTTTTATTTAATAATACAAAGTGACATTTTTTCAGTCTATAATTTTTTATCTGGCTTAATTCCGTAAAAGTACTACGATTCGTCTAAACTCGAAAATCTATGTGCACGAACGTCGCTCTACACGGATAGATGTTTGAGTTTTGAATAAGCGGTTAGTGC